GAGCAAAATGTGTTGGTGCTTGCGACTGAGCAACAGAAGTATCTTCCGGCGAAGAAATGGACACGCGCTTGGGGGTCCTTGTGCCACGGTCAGACGTTGGCTGGGACGATGCTGAGGGCTTCAGCGATGAGCTCAGTGGGAGATTATTTGTCAAAATGCTGTTTGCAGAATGAAAAGGCAGAGGCGCGCTCCACGAGTCGTCGGTCTCGGGCACCGTATCTAAGCGGCCATTGGTCTCTCTGATAATCTCGTACGACTCCCTCATACTGCTGTGCGCGCTGCGAGACACCGTGCTGGAATACATTGAGTGTCGCCGGTACGCCATTGCCGCAGTCGCTGCGGCCGAGACAGACTTCTTAAATATGGGCTTTGTGAAGAAGCAAACGAGTCAGTGGTGTAATTGCTGCTGTACACCTGTGACTTGCAGTCAACGCTATTTATGCTGGGAGAAGCCACCGATGTTGAATTATTTTGCACCGGCTCCAACAGCGACTCGCGCATGCCATCCTCCAGAGTGGTTGGCGGTAGCCGAGGCATGCTCAGGCACCTTTGCTCCAGTCCACGCCATTGCCGTTGCCTTGCGACTTTGGCCGCGCCCTGCGACCACTGTGAATAGAAAAGGAGTTTGGCCTAAGCGAGACCGCGTTTGTCAACTGGGTCTGTTTGGCCAATGACAATCTGGCCGACGATGCATTGGACCTGCGAGCAACAGCCCTCGTGTACCTGCGCATCAGTTCGGGGGTCGATTTTGCCTGCACGGTTCCGCGCATGTTCAGCATGCCAGCTTGATTCAGGTTGTGCACAGTGCTTGGTAGCGGCATGGTGGTCCACTGCGACACTCTAAACGTTGGAAACTGCGGCTCTGAGTACAGGTACCGGGACATCTGGTCGCAGCCGATGATTTCCAGATGCTGACGCGACTGCACCACAGCCGCGTAATTGCCGTACTTTGACAACGCAAACCCGGTGCCCCGACTGGTCAGCATTGATAATGACAGGCCACTGCTATCTCCGCCGCGTGAGGTTTGCGATATGCTTGAGGTGCCAAACACATACGGTGTAACTGGCGGAGAAAGTGCCGGCGGCGGCAGAATCATACGCGATGCATTGAGTGCGCGCGAGTACGCCGGAAAAAGCATATCATCGTCGTCGCTGTCATCATCATTGTCGCCCTCGTTATTACGGTGGCACTACAAGCTGCTTGCCAGGGATCCTAAAGAAATTGCGAGCTGTCCGTCGGTTGCCCGATCCAAGTTGCCGCTGCCCCGTGCGATCAAGCCACGCCTCAACGAGCCACCACTCAATGCTATGCATCGTGAAAACAGAGGTCATGGCAATTAAACTAGCCCACGCACCATATCTGTCGGAGAAGCTGCCCAAGCACGGATTGGTCAACGCAGATTTGCCGCGGGGAATAGGTGGATGAAAGCTGTGGCAATAATAACTCCGGCACCAAAGAACTGCCCGAGCTGGATGGCAAAGCTGGGTACGCCCAGCCCGCTAACGCCGCGAGTTGTTTGACTGATTATTGGCAAGAATACGCCGACTGCGCTTGTGCCTATGATGATAAACAGGGAGGCAATATGCCAGTCTTTGTCCCACTCTGAGGCAATCCCGGCAACGTCGCAGCCTTGTCCCAATGGCATGTTGAGTGTCGACATGTCAAATATAGATGTGTGGTTATTTTAAGTAGAAGTAATAGTTTGATTAAAGTAAAAAAATAAGTATGTGTGCAACGCGACAAACAAGAATATTAAAAACAGAACGAAAAATAACACGAAAATTGCAAAAAAATGCGAGAGAAATAATTTCCACGAAATGAAAACCTTTTTGGCCAGAGAAGCACAAGGGCTGTGTGTGATATTAAAAACCAGTACCTTAGTACTGATTGGGCCCATCAAGCTATATTAAAGGCAAGCTTTATTTCGTCATATTACTCGACATACCTTTTGAAGCAAATTAAAGTGTATTGTTGTTGGAGTGCACCGCACCGCATCCACACAGCACAATCGCAATCATCAACCCGGAAGTAATAGGGAGCAGCTTGGGATGCATTGTTAGCACCAACTGTTCTTTGTAAACGGTGATGTGGCTGTATTTGGCGGTCTGAAGAGGTTTCGTTCGGCAGTTTGGTCAAACATCGGCTGTTGTTTATATAGTTACTTTGCATTTTTGGGATCATATCCGATTTTTGCTGCTATATCGCCCGCTCATTTGTTCAAAGTTGAGAATAAAAGCAGTTTCAATCAACAATGGTTCTCGACCTACCAAGAAACTGATATGGCAGTTCATGAAAAAATGACAACAGATTTAAATAATTGCGTTTGTATTCATTTGGGTTGACATCAACAAATTGATCCCCCATTACCCCCAACTCATCAGCCGTTCGTTCATACAATTGCCTGCTCTTTTTATTAAAATAATGTAACCCGTACCGACAATTGCTGGTTGTACAGAGCCCTCCCTATTTTTGAAAAGTAACTTTTTTGTGACCTTTTTTCTTGCAATAAGAAACTCTCAAACAAAATAAAGCAGCCGGAAACTACAAACTTAATATAACCAGAAACCAACACAGTTTAAGCCACAAGCGCCACAATGTTGGCACGACAGAGTCAATTTCAGCGGAATAAACATATAAGTATTTCTCTATATTATTAAGCTGCAAGCGTGCAATAGAATCATTCCTGCATATTTCAGTGCAATATAAACTTATTTTGTTTGGAGCTTGCTTTCCAAATTTTAATCTAAAATCAAATGGTTACAATATAAATTATATCGTCAAATTAAACATATATACGCGGATCATTTTTAAACCAGCGCACTCTCCCCATTCTCAGCAGCACAATGTCTAAAATATTATTTGTTTTATTTTAGTTTTAAATATCGGCAGCAGAAAATACAATATCTATTCGAGTTGAATGGTGAACTTTTGTGTTTGCGACAAATGTGACATGTGCGTTTGTTTGTTCCGAGTGCGCGTGTTTAAATTCGGAAATAAAAAACAAGCAAACTTAGTGGCCTCCCCATTTTTATTTATAGTGTATTTATTTTTCTGTAAAGCTATTGTTTGCGCATATTCCAATTTGATATAAAAGATTAAGTGGCAAATTTAACAATTGCATTTGCACGAGTGTGACTACAATTTACCATATGTGCAGCAGATGAGATGCGAAGATGTGAAATATTGTTTTATATGTAAATAATTGTAAATTTTTTAAGAATTAGATAGCCGCCACCTTCATTGCACTGATTGTTCGATTTGCCTGCGTTTCTCAGGGCCGAAAATAAAGTAAAAATGAATGGCAAATTTGCATGTACTGCTGGTTATGTCGATAGTAATGTTGCTGTCGTTGCCATTGTTGTTGGTGCCGCTAATATCGCCATCCTAGTTCTGCTGCCGCTGCTGCAGATAATGTAATTACCCCAATAGACAACGGCAATCACGACAAGAACAATATAAAAAGCGCGGGTTTTGCAATAGCGTCACGAGAGATGTGCTTTTTGCGATGCGATGCGATGCAGTGCGCCCCTCTAATTCTTGTAGTGCCACTTGGCATTATGACCCGACTTCCACTTGGAAAAGTAAGCGACTGTCTTTTCCGCATTGCCGGACTCGTTGACAACGGTGTTGCGCAAGAAAATCACGTCCTCTTGTGACAACGGGTCGAATCCGCAGAGAATCAGCTTGGCCATCAGCTGCTTATACTTGTCACAATCGCCGCCGCCGCAGCCGCATGGCTCCTTGCGATCATGCACAAGGAACCAGCATGCTGGCGGAACGCCCTCCAGCTTGCAGTGTTTGTGCTGGTGCGGAAGACAAGCGCAGGCCATTGTTCAGAGTTGGGGGTGTTTTGTGTGATATTATGCTGTATCGTTATATGAGTGCTATTGAATGATCGTTCAAGCAGCGCTAGTAGTTGTGTGGGAGCGAGAGAGGCACGGCTGGTTGGGCAACAAAGAAATGAGCGTTGATAATTGATAATTAATGCGAAAAATAAAGCTAAATAAAAATTTTTGGAGACAAAAAAGCGACGACGACCACTGGCGAGCAATCAGATACACCTATGCTCAATTATTTTTTAATTTTGTTTTCTTAGCTCTTAGCCTGTCAACAACGAGAAAGAAATAGTGTGCGAATTCGCAATAGGGCAAACTTTAACGGGTAGGTTCGCTCAAGCGCTCAAGTCCAGGCTGGCTTCAAAAAATAAAAATAAAATTTTAGGCTTGTGGCCAGAAATACTCCTTGCCCCCTTTTTTCGTTGTTTTTTCCCCAACTGATCCGATCTCCAAAATACCAACTCTTTGACTGTCTTACTGCCCAAAAGGAGAAAAATGCGGGCAGTTAAATAAACCCGGTATAGTGCAGATGCCATGCATCGGTTGTTAATGTTTTTCATACCTGAAGCTGCGCAAAAATGAAGAGAAACATGGAAAAACAAGGGCAATTTACACCCTGCTTTCAATATTTGTGACAGCAAAAGCTTTGCGAGTGATTGCAGCAATGCGGGCACAAATGGACGCATCAAATGACAAAAATTGCTGTAATTAAATAGTACAAAAAGACAGGAAAAAAGAGAGAGAAAAGGCCAACAATGCAACAAACTAATATAATTTTTTACACATTGACTTACTATTCCGGCTACTGCAGCTGCTCTGCTGATACCACGTCTATATTCCCTGTTCTTGGCCATGGTTGGTATGTGTCCCTTATATTATTTTCCACTTTCATTGCAGTGGGCAGACACAACACCATGGAATACAGCAGATGCAGGCGAACAAAAAAACAATATTGGTGCGATGATATGTTGAATCGAAACAAAAATAGAATGCAACAGAGTTATTTGGGGTCATTTTTTCGCTCTGAAAATAGTGTGTTTGGCAGAAAGAGGGTCGGGCATTCAACTGCGAGGCACACTCTACCTCATGGAAGCGAAGTGTGAGGTGAACAAAACAGGAAATTTGAGCGACTGATAAAAATGGTTGAAAATAAAAGGGATACAGCCAGAAAAGCAAAAAAAATTACATGGTATACCCTATACTTTTTTATTCTAACTCTCTTTTCTAAACCCACTCACTTTCTTTCATTGTTTTTATATTACATTTTTACTCTTTTCATTTACATATTCTAAATAATCCACCAAACCAAAGCAACTTAACCATGATGTACACTTGTGTCCAGGGCCGCATATTCCAAATCGAGCCTGTTTTCACCGTCGAGAAGTGCGTCGAGAAGGTTGTCGAGAAAGTCGTCGAGAAGGTTGTTGAGAAGAAGGTCGAAGTCATCAAGGAGGTTTGCTGCTGCGAGAAGCACAACCACCATGGTTGCGGCGGCAACAGCTGCCACACCATGTGCACCATCACTGCAATCCCTGCGGTGGCAGCTGCAGCGGTGGTTGCAAGGAGGCCGAGGTCAAGATTACCGTCAAGGTCGAGGAGAAGAAGTGCTAAAACACTTGTTTTCGTTGTTTTTTACTTTACTTTATTTTCATATTCTTCATTTCAAATTATTATCTCAAAATCGATTTTTTTTCTGACCACTCAGTAACATAAAAACAACACTGGCTGTAGTTGATAGACTGCATTGATCAGATTTTAACCAACACATCGTGAAAGGTGCTTATGCTTGTGTTTATGTTTATGTGTAAGTATAAATATTTAAATAAAAGAAATGGTAAAATGAAGAGTTTGGATAGATAGTAAGCAAATGTTGATATTTGCTCAGCTAGAGATAGTGATATAGAGACAAGCAGACAGACAGACAGACAGACAGAAAAGCGAGTTTAGCTGAATAGGAGCATGGTCGTCGCTAACGTAAAAATTGAATGAGAAAACAGAACCTTTTGAAACGGTACTGCAAAAAAAGCCATGTAATCACATATCCGCCGTCACTACCCAGTTGTCATCAATCTCGCCTCCAGCCAACCTTTTGGTAATGCTCACGCGAGCGCATTAGTCCTCGAGGAAGAAGTAGTTACCCTCAGCCTTCTGCTCTCTGTCCTTGGCCGAGTCCATCTTGTTAATGCGGGGGCGGTAGTTGGTCGGGTCACGGCGGAAGGTGATTCTAAGCGACTTGAGGAACTTGTTCATTCCGAGAGCAGCGACTGCGGCGAGTTGGCCCTGGCCTTGATGGATGGAGTACCGTCCATGACAATGACGTTGTCGGCGAGGTACGTAGCCATAATGAAATCGTGCTCGACAATAAAGGCGGTCTTGTTGTGGTGCATGATGAAACGCTTGATGACCTTGGACGCGATAATGCGCTGCTCCGAGTCGAGGTAGGCTGAGGGCTCATCGATGAGGTACACGTCGGCCGGGGTTCCCAGGGCCAGCACAAGGGCCACGCGCTGCAGCTCACCACCGGACAGGTTCCTGACATCGTTGTCGACAATCTCCTCGATTCTCATCGGCTTGACAACGTCAGTCTGGAACTGCGGGTTCATGAAGGCGTTGCGGATCTTCTTGAGCATCAGCATGCGCACGGAGCCGTCAACTTGGGGGCGATCTTCTGCGGCTTGTACGACATCAGCAGCTGTGGGATTTCCTCGTTGTTATCAGGCTTGAGGTTTCCGGCGAGCATGCGGATCAGCGTGGTCTTTCCGGTTCCGTTCTCGCCAAGCAGAATGATGACCTGCGACTCGGTGAATGAGCCTCCCTTGACCGACAGCTTGAAGTTGCCCATGGTCTTGGTCATCGACGGGTACGTGTACGTGTGGTGGCGTTTGATCTCCTCCTCGGTAGCCTGCTCGACCAGACGGAACGACAGCGCCTCATCACGGAAGCGCATGTTCTCAGTCGGAATGTGGCCGTCGAGGAAGATGTTGATGCCTTCGCGCACCGAGTAAGGCATGGTGACAACACCGTACACGGAGGGCGTACCGTAGAGCATGCAGACAAAGTCTGACAGGTAGTCCAGCACTGACAAATCGTGCTCAACGGCAATAACGTAGTTGGTTGACTGCAGCAGACTGCGAATGACACGGGCAGCGTTCAGGCGCTGCTTGACATCGAGGTACGACGACGGCTCGTCAAACATGTAGACGTCGGCCTGCTGCACGCAGGCAAGGCAATGGCAAAGCGCTGCAGCTCACCGCCGGAAGCTGGGCCAGGTCGCGAGTTAGGACATCCTGGAGGTCGAGTTCCTTAAGCACATACGCAAGGTTGTCCATGGTAGCCTTCTTGTGGAGCAGCTCCTCGACACAGCCCTTGACAGCGCGCGGGATGTTGTCGACCCACTGGGGCTTGATCATGCGCGCAGGTCGTCCTGTAGCACCTTTGTAAAGTAGTTCTGCAGCTCTGAACCACGGAAATGCTTGATGATATCCTCCCAATCGGGCGGCGAGCTGAAGCGGCCCAGGTTGGGCTTGACCTTTCCGGCCAGGATCTTCAGCGCAGTCGACTTTCCCGTACCGTTGGCTCCACCAGGCCAAGGACCTGTCCGGGACGCGGCATAGGCAGCCTGTGCAGCTTGAAGGTGTTGGCTCCGTAGCGATGGGTGGTCTCCTTTGCCAGGTTTACCGGAATATTAATAATGCTAATGGCTCCGAACGGGCACTTTTTGACGCACATACCGCAACCAATGCACAAATCCTCAGAAATTGTCGAAATCTTGGACGTCGGCCACACGTCAATGCACAGCTTGCCCATTTTGTTGACGGGGCACACGTTCTTGCACTCCTGCTTGCACTTCTTGGGCTTGCACCTGTCATTGTTGACGATGGCGATACGCGTCTTTTTGTCCATTTTGTAGTTTTATGACCTGTGATTTGACAGCAGATTAAGAATTTAAAGATATATAAATAAAATGAAACGAATGAGAGAAATGACGAACCAAGGGAGCAAGATTCAGCAAGCTTTATTTTTTGAAAAGCTATTAAATTTTTCTTTTACTGTTCTTGGTTGGGGGCGGGCGGCTGCAAAGATGCGTCGTCGCTGTAGCTGTAATATCTACTTTGCCAGTATTTCCTTAAGAGCCGACCTTTGCAAAGGCTGCAGTAAATACCAAAAAAATCAATTGCCCAAAAAAATACACCCTAAAAAGGACGCCAAAAGAAAATTTTTTTTGGTGATGCTCAATTAAAAAAAGAGAAAAAAATAAAAGAAAATTAAAACTCGTTTTTTCTTCTGCTTGTGCATGTGTGAGAAAAAGATCCAATCGATTCGCTCGCATTCATGTTTTTTTTGGTGGCAGAGATTAGATGGCGGATCAGACTTGATCTGATTTTAATCGTCCGAGCACCATTGGCGCGTGTGAAGCAGTCAAGGGGCCAGGAACACTGGGCTCTGTGAATAACACGCTCGCGACCCCCCTCTTCAAGCCCTGAAGACCGGCAATGAAGCAAAGGCAGAATAGGATTACAATCAGAGGCAGATGAACAACATGTGTGGTGGATTGAAATGCAGTTCTGTGCAAGATCTCTTCTCACTGCGATTTCATCACTTCACATCTCATCTTTTTTTCTTTCTCAGCCCGCTGATGGCATCTCCTTTCTCTTATTTCTGCATGATGTCAGATGTATCCCCAAGAGATCCATGATCTGAAGAGCAGGCCAAGCATTGAAAGTATAAAAAGGAAGAGCCTCCTGGGAAATATATTCTCAGACGAGAAATGTCTTTCTTTTCAATACGGCTGCTGCTGCTGCACACACAATAACAACCCTCTTTTTCATTATCACTAGCAATTACTCTCTTGCCATTGCTCTTGCAGCCACTATAAATCCCCGACTTGAAATGAACCCGCCGCCGACTCCTGTCCTTCAGCCTGTTCTGACGACAGAACAATCACGCCATTTGTGCTGTGAAAAAATACAGGCACATTGAACTTTTTTGTTAACTTGGTTCTTTCAATATATTTCTGTACAAATGAACAAGTGATAAACGACTATTAATACATTAATTATATATGCGACCGTCTGATTTTGCGAGCTGCGAGCTGCTGGCTGCGACTGGATCCTGGGTGCTGAAATTGAAATAATGATACAGCGCGAGTGACATCATCATATGCCGCAGTATTGAGTGGAAAATTACCGCTACGGAATATTACTTTTCTAATCAGCAAGGCGGGGGAGGGCTTTTTTTCTCACAAAAAGCACAAAAAATAAAGCTGTGTGCCACGAGATAAGCGCCAATCACAGGCACTCAGGCCTGGGCCAGTGGAAAAAAGTAAAGGCCGAGCGCCATGCCACCTTTCCTTCTTTATTTTTCTTTTCTTCATTGACCCACCAATTTTAATTGCTTTATATATTTTCGAGTAGCTCAGCTATAGATTAGACCATTAGAGCTTTGAAATGCTACGACATCAACTGGGCCGCATTGCGCCTTTTATCGCCATCGCCATTGCTGCAGCCGCGGCAGGGGTGCTGGCGTCGCCTGTGGACACAGTGGAATCAGTACCACTGCCAGGTGAAGAAAAGCCAATCCCTCCGGGAGAATCCGACTACTACATCCGACTATTCGCATGCGCCGTGCTGGTCATTGCTGGTGGGCTGCTCGCCGGGCTGACCCTCGGGCTGATGTCTCTGGACGAGACCAATCTGCACATCCTGGCGACGTCCGGAACGCCCCAGCAGCAGCTGTACGCTAAGCGTATCCAGCCGATCCGCAAGAACGGCCACTGGCTCCTGGTGACCCTCTTGCTCGGTAATACAGTGATCAATGAGACTTTGCCCATTGTCATGGACTCCATCCTCGGCGGCGGCGTCAAGGCCGTTCTGGTATCGACAGCATCGATTGTGCTGTTTGGCGAGATCATCCCGCAGTCGCTATGCGCTCGATACGGCCTGGCGATTGGCGCCTTTTTCGCCTACCCCGTGCGCATCCTGCAGTACATTTTGTCGCCACTCGGCTACCCTATCGCCTTACTTCTGGACTACGTGCTGGGCCCTGACCACGGCATCACGTACAAAAAGGCAGCTCTGAAAGAGCTGGTTTCCCTGAGTGACACCGCGCACGGCGGCAACCTGTCGGCCGACGAAGTGACGATTATCCGCGGGGCGCTCGAACTGGGCGAAAAGCTCGTCGTCGAAGTAATGACTGATCTCAACAACGTCTACATGGTCGACATTAACGCGCGGTTGGACCGCAGCCTGCTCACCGAGATGCTGCGCCAGGGCCACAGCCGTGTGCCAGTGTACGAGGGCGAGCGCACAAATGTCGTCGGCGTGCTTCTGGTCAAATCCCTGATCCTCCTTGATCCTGATGATGCCGTGCCGGTGCGCGAGACACGCATGTCGGACATCCCGTTGGTTACGCCGGATATCTCTCTGTACGATATCCTGAATGCCTTCCAGGAGGGCGGCAGCCACATGGCCGTTGTGGTCGGGCCAAGGGCGGATCGTGAGGGAACCAATTTGCGCGCACAAGAGTCCACTCCTCTCCTTGGCGCCGCCACCGACGATCCAGCCTGGCCACCGCTGTCGCCGCTGCCGCTGGTGCGCAGGCTGTCCGGGTACATTCGAGGAACGCACAAGGTATTCGGCGAAATATCTGAAGAAACCGTCAGACACTTTGCACCCATAGGTATCATCACTCTGGAAGACGTTATCGAGGAGCTTATTCAGGAGGAGATTATCGATGAAACCGATGTGTTTGTCGATATGAGGCAGAAGATTAAGGTTATGCGGGCCGTCAAGCTTGTGCAGAACTTGAGTATTGCTCCGCAGGGGAAATCCAACGCGGCCTATCGGTCGGTGACGGGATCTTCTGCGCCAACCGGTGATGAGACGCAGCAGGAAGTGGCAGCTGCGGCGGCGGCAAAAAAACGTGGAGTGGCATTCAGCAGCAGGCGCCGTAGAAACGATTAAGAAAATAATTTACCCTTTATATATATATATTTTTTACTCACGGTACAGTGAATCGTATTCATTTCTATTCAAAGCTGCGCACGGGGCATCCTTCCTTTATTTTATTTTTTCATATATCACATGTGGCATGCAAATAAAAAAACCAAGCTTGATTTTTCAGTATAAATTTATACAATACAGGCGGCAGAGATAAACACCATGAATACGTGCGATTTGGCTGACTGCGTACATTTGCATACGCTCACCTATTGTTTCTCAAAAAGGATTGCACATTGGTTATTGTTCCACGTCCATAAGCCAACAAACCAATTAGCCAATAAATTTGCTTAAAAAGCACCACATGTCGCGTTTGTTTGCCAAATAAATTTTAAAAGTGATTTGAATCCATGTTTTTATCCAATAGAGTTTGGTTTTCGTCTATAAATGCGGCGCGGGTATCTGTCCCTGAGATTCCAATTAAGATCGGAACGAATGGAGGTAGAATTGTTGAGCTCGTTCTTTTTTCTTTTTTCTTCTCAGACCATTATCTTTGACAAAATTGGGTAAATCCTATTGATTATCATCCGATATCGATAGTTTTTATTATCGTTTAAAATTGACCAACAAGAGCAAAGGGAAATTGACTTTGGGAACACAAAATAGCGTAAATATACGTCATATAAATGTAAAGTGTCTTTAACAAAATCATTTTTGTTAATGTAGCACAATGCATATCTATGTGGTACAGATCACTCTTCGTCCTCTTTTGCTTTTCAACATACAAGCAAGCAAGCAAGCAAATAATTCTATTCTATTCTTTATTTTTGCCTTGCTTCTCACATGAGGATTAGAGCAAATGAATGGATAGATGCCACATTGTTTAAAGTGGTTTTTATGCCCATACAATTGTCCCACGCTTCCTTTTCAATGTCAAACAACTTGAGTACTTCAAGGTTGTTGACATTGAAAGATGTTAGTGTACGACCCTGCTTTCCTCCCCTTGAATCTATTCACCTGCTTTTTTCCGAGGCTAAATAAGCGCTTCTATTAGTTTGGAGCTAATTGTATTTTTAGATCGACCAACCAGGGCGCAAAAGTAAGCCAGGATGCTTGCTGCTTCTGATGTGCTGATGCTGTGTGCAGCGGGACCCCTTTTTATTTCTGCCGCTCTGATATAATTTTTTAAAAGACGAAAAAATCGCGCGAAATAAAGAAAAATTTTTGGACATGCCACATGACCCCGTTGCACGCATCAGCAGCAGAGAAATATAGCAAGCGGCCAAAGCAGACAGACAGGCAACACTTGGCCTTCCCCAAAAAGATGAATTGTTAGGCACACTGGTTCTGTTGTGTGTGCTGCGCCTGGCTGTGCTGTGACGAGGAGAAAACGTCGTGGCACGCCTGTTTTTATTTACTTCGTGTCAATTCGCTGATATTCTGTGAAGGGGCCGAGCCAAAAAATGAAGTGTTTGGTCTCTTAATTCCGCCGCTGACTGTTAGTGCCTTAAATAGGCAAAGCGATGCGCCCAGTATTTATGTGGGTGGCCTTACTCTGCCACTGAATTAATTTTTATTCTCTTGCGCTCCCCAGTCTCTTTGACCAACATCTCTCTTTCATTCTGCCTTTTCTTTCTTTCTTTTCTTTTCTTTCGAGTATATCAACGCACGTTCCTCCCCCGACCCTCCCCCTTCTTTTTTATTTTATATTTTATATTTTTTTATATTTCCCTTCCTTTATCGCCTGCCCATTTTTCCCGTCCTCTTTGTCCTCAAAAAGCAGGCAAACACCACAAAAAAGGAAGCCCTTTTTGTATATCCTATTCTCTCCCTGTATTTAAATCCTTTATTCTTGTTTACACAAAAATACAATGACACCACAACCACGGCCACTATCACCGCAATTGCCCAGCCTCGGCTTGTGTCGCAGCACTCGCTGCATTTATTTTCGCAATCTCCAACAGCAAATTACCCAACAACAAGGAGAGCAGCAGCAGCACCATCATCTGCAACAGACCCTGCGGTGTCGCACGCCGGCATTATCCACCTCTGCAACAACCACAGTCAGCAGCGCCAGCACCAGCTCCAGCTCTAGCACCAGCTCCAGCAGCAGTAACTCCCAGTCACCAACCACACGCAGCAGAGGCCATCAGGAGCAGCAGCAGCCGCGGCGGCGGAATTCGGAGACAGCAGAGTCATGGCCGATGGCTGTTGAGGCGCTCGCACAGCGGCTGTGGGATTGCGGCCGCGATGCATTCAGCCGTCATTGCCCCTCAACAACAGCCACTCCCTCCCCATCGTCCCCCGAACTGTCCTCAAAGCTGGTCTTTGACGACGAATACGTCGACTACGACGCTGCTACTGCATCTGTGCTCAGCCCCCCGCCAACTGCTGTTGCTGTGTTCCCCGGCTGTGAGGACGGCGCGGGGGACGCGCTGTGCGATGGGCCTTATGTGCGAGTGGACTATGCCTGCGAAAAGAGAGCCTTGATCGAGTGAACGTTGCTGCTGCTTCCGTGAAGGGCGATTGCGAGCGGCGGCAAAGGATTGTTCTGTTGAAGATAAGGAAGGACCGTTGGGTGTGGCTGCGACCGCGACTGCGACCTTGGCGGATATTGCCGGAGTTGGAAATTCCGGTGATCATTCCGGCGATATTCAAAGCAGGAGGCATCAAAAGCAGCAAAAACAACAGCTAAAGCGTCAGGTGCCCTTATCCACATGCCCTCTTCTTCACTACCAGCCAATGTCCAATCCGTTCAAAAACATGATCAAGCCAAGCGCCTGCTTTCCTTCATCCCCCTTATCACCGCCTGTCATGTCGACGCTGGTCAAATCCGGCCACCTCCTGCGTCCCCAGCACAAAGTCAGTCCATCCGGGCCCTCAACTGTTTCAATCCATGCGTCATTGGTCTCTTGTGTCCACTGCAAAACGGGAAATTTTCTTGAATTCTGTTTTGTCGCTGACCGCTGTCATTGCGGATGCCACAATGACTGTCCTTGTAAACCGTGTGTAGATATTCGGGAGCAAAGGCACCCAAACAGGCGAATGATGGGCGTTACTTCTGCTGCTGCTGCTACTGCAGCGGATATTCAAAAAGCCACTGCCCCCCCTTTGCTTGTGTCGACTGAGCGGAAGCGCAGCCAGGGAAAATTCCAGTCTCCACATATTGCTCCTCAGAACAAGACACATAAAGCTTGGGAGGACGAGTCGGGTTATAGGCAACAGCAGCACCAGCACCAGCACCAGCACCGGAAACACCAACAACAGCAGCCACGGATTCAACGCCAGCAGCAGCATGGTCTGTGCTCAATGGCATCTTGATTGTATTTTCTATAGTATTTTTCTTTAATTTGTAATTCTTCAGTATTCTTTCTTTTTCTAAAAAAGAAATATTTCATCCGCGCATCGCGATGAATTTGGTTTGTAAAATGGGTGAGCTCTTATTTTATTTTTTCATTTTATGCACGCACACATGCATGCATTCATGAATGAGTGAGTGGCTACATGTCCCTCTTTTTATGGCATGGCATGGCATAGCTGTCGTGTGTCCGTTGCCGAATATTATGCAAATAAAAAAGACGTGGACATTGCTCCAGTATTTTTTACATCATTTCTTTTACCTTTCGGATGCCTTGTATGTACGGCGTGCTGCGTTGACTCGATGTACCACGCATCCCAACTAATTATATTTTTTTTTGTAAAATTAACATATTTTTGTCATATTTATATTCCATATAAAGCCTATCATAATTTTTCTATTCAATAAAATCTTATCTTTGTTTGACCCAAGAAAAAAAGTTTAAAAAAATTCAATTAACCTCTTTCTTTTTTTTTTTACTCAAAGTATTTATTCAACTTCAAATATCAAATTAAAGTAATTATGAAAACCATTGTATTCAAATACTTTAGCGCCCTGACTTTGTCCCTAGTACTCGCCTTTCTTCTTCTTCAGGTCCAAGGCACAAATGCCGCTGCCATAGCCATCGACGCCGATACTGACGCCGATGCTGTTGCCCTTGACAATGAGGTTGTGGTTGTTGTTGAGACTGCAACTGTAGTTGCGGGCTCTGGGCCTGCAGCTGTCGAGTCTATTTCTGCCGACTATGTTGATTCTGCCAACTCTGTTAACTACGATTCTGACTCGGACTCTGACTCTTATTCGGCGGATGTCAAGCCCGTTTACGTTGGCGTTGACCCTGATACTGACTCGGGGGATAATAATGCCCGGTATAGTGACAACTACAAGTACGACTATGGCTACGACTACTTGAGACCAAGACCCAGACCATGTAAGTATCACAGTTCAATATGCCACATAAAAAATACCCACTACATTTATTCACAATACTTTATTACTAAAAAACCAATCCAATATGTATCTTTACCCGTCAAAAGTTCATTTATATTTTTTAGCCTCATGCATCATGTATGAAGTGAGAAGCGGCGATTACTGCTACAAGATAGCAGAGGAAAACAACATGCCCTATGAGCAGTTCCTGAGACAAAACCCAGGAATCAACTGCAAGGGCCTGAGAATTGGACAAAGCGTATGTCTTTTCCCAACAACTCTCCCTGGAAACGCCTTTGATGGAAGAGGAAAAACCCAAGAAGTATCTTGCACAACCTATGTGGTCAAGGAGGGCGACTTGTGCTCACAGATATCGAGAGAAAACGGATTGTCTATCTATAATTTTATCAAGCTTAATGATGATAGCTCGACTTGGAAGGGATGCACAGGATTGGAAGTCGGCCAGAAAGTGTGTGTCGGCTGATATGTACTTTAATTTTGCATTCTAATAGCAGTATAATAAAATAAAATAAAAGGATTAATTTATTTGTAATTTTGATATGCATATATATGTAGACAAGAAAATATAAAAGTGTGGCGTAAAAAATCCGGGGTTTTCCATAAAATTGCATTTATTACGTGTTTTTAGGCTTTATTTTACGTTTTATTGATGGCGTACCTTTGAATCAACAATAAATTATGATATATTAGCATTTTTTGTTGATATGATGAATTAAAGTGTTAGATTAATTTGTAGACTGACGCGTCTGTATGTATCAAATGTTTTCTAACAATTTTTGACAATGTCAATGCCTGCTTTTGTTAGACGCAATTTATATATTTGAAAGGTTTTACATTTTTTAAAAAAAAACTCTAAAATGAATCATGCTGTTTGAGAGTAAACGTTAAATAAATTTTTTAGTTGTTGTCAAGAAATACCATGAAATATGAAATATATATATATATAAAGGTTAAAGTAGTAGCGTAAAATTTAAACTTCCGGCGCTAGTTGATCACCGACGACCACCACTTCTTCGAACGCTTAGTGTTGGGTGTTGACCGCGGGTGGCCAGCACCATGTTTTCCATCGCCCATGTCCTGGTTGAATCCATGTCCGCTGTCGTCATAAAATGGAGCCTCGGTACAATCAGCCGTGCTCTCGAGGGGAGATTTGTGGATTGGCTGGCGGTCATTATGCTGCAAATTCTGCCCACTAAGGGCTTTGCCAGCCAAAGTTGTCTTTGCATTAAATTGCCACATCAGGCTTCGGCGCTTCGGCTGCACACTATCAGCAAACGCACGTTCCAATTCGGCGTTGCGCAGCAAACTGCCATTAACAAGGACGACAGAGTCCTGAGGTTTATCTGCGCGGGCAGCATTGTCAACTGGCAATGCCGCCATAGTTGTGCCGGGAAGCGCCGCATCAGCTGTGTCGTCGGATTCGGGCAGCGGCTCAGCTTGCCTAAAACTACTATGCGCCAAGTGCAGGCTCAGTGACCGGCGCGAAGCAGCCGAAAGCTCGTCCGAGTCAGGCACGCTGGTATCATCGAAGAACCCCAAGGAGTGAGACGGTGGCGTGCCCGGGCGCGAGTGTGATGGCGACAGGGGAAACATCCGCGAGTCCGCCGGCACCTTAACCATTTCCCAAGGACTACTGCTACCGCGCGGGACTACGCTAACGGAGCCGCGCGGTGACCTGTACCGGGCATCGCCACTCAGCCGGCTGTTGATTGATGACACGTTGTCGAAGGACTCGGCGCTCTCACCGGGCGACCAGTTGTTTTTTGCCGGCAATGCCGCCGACGTCGGGTGGAATGCAAGTGGAGCTGGCGCCCAGAACGCTGGCGCCCATTTTTTGTTGCTAGGGTCAAGCTCAACACGTGGGCTAGCAGTGCGGTGCTGCTGGTCGGTGGTGCTGCAATGGGTAAATGATGATGGCCGCCCGCCGCGGGCCTGGCCAGCAGAGCCATTGGTGAATCCATTAGCGGAATCAGCTGTAGGTGCAGAACGCGTGTCGACTAAAGGAGAGTTTGTGTTATGCAGTGGATCTGGCAAAGCTACTAGAGAGCTCTTGCGGGCAGACATGCTAACGCCAAGTCCCAGCGCGCTTGCCGAGGATCCAGTCGTCTGAGATGCTGAGGGTGCCGCAGTATCTAGGTGTTGATAGTCGGCAACGCGGAATCGCGCTGCTTCCAGCGATTGGCACCCTGGCCGGCCTCCGCATCATTCTCAGCCACACACAGGGCCAACCCAGACGCGCTGTCCACCGACCACCGTGGGCAACGATGAAACGCGCGCCGGACGCACATCTTCATTGTCATCAAAACTGAGCCTCTGCGGCTGTTTTGCATTGCGGCTCGTGCCATTCAGTGCATCCAAAGTCTGCTGGCGAATCTCCACAACGGACAGTGACAGGCGGTTTGCTTGTTCCTCATCCTCACCGCTGACATCCATGACGTCCTCGAGCATGCCACTTCCAACGTTACCTCCAAGAGCACTGCGCAGGGGCACGTCCTCCAGCTTGAGTTTTCCCAGGAAGCGTGAGATCTCGCCCGTGGACTGCGTCACCACGCGGCGCCGGCGCGCCTTGCCAGCACCCAGCCCGTCGTCGGCCATGTCGTATTTAGCAATGATATTGTCCAAGTCAGAATCGGCATCGCCAGAGCCCCGTCTATCCAAACTGCTGCCGTCAAACAGACGCGCCAGCCATGAGCGTCTGCTGAACACCTGCATCGAATGAGGGCGCGAGGGTGCAGATGTCGAGCGCCGTGTCTGTGGAGTAAAACTCAGTCTGTTTGCAAGCCTTCCGCGCTGGTCGCCGCCACCAAGGCCTGTATCATTGCTGCTGCTCAGGCTGCTTTTGCCGCTGGCTTGGCGAGATGAAGGCTCGCTGCTCAGTTCACCTCCAAGTCCCAGTCCAAGCGGGTACCGCCCAGCCGCCGATCCACTAGAGTTGAGCGATTCCTGAGACAACTGGCGCCTGGCTAGCTTGTTCCCCGAGCCTTGCTTGGTGTGCAAAATTCCGGCCAGCAGTGTCGGACATGAGTCAGCCGGTGGCTCCTGCTTGTCATCGGCAGGCTTGAAGCCCATATTGGCATGCACAGCGGCACCGTTAACGCGCTGAGCCGGCTCGTAGATACTGGCGAGTACATCCGATTTGTTGCCCAGAGAGACGCTGCGTCTACTTTGCCTAGAATTGATTTCGTCGTTGCGCTCGTCCACCGGCGCCGCAGAGCTGGTGGATCCAGAAAGACGCAGGACTGAAAAGAACCGACTGCGGCGCTTGGGTTCGACACCGGATACAGGCCAGCCACTCTTGCGCTGCTTCCACGGGCGGCCATCCAAAGCATGTACTGCGGAGGCATTGGTGGTGTCACTCCCATGTTCGGAGCTACTGATTGCGCCGGACGACTGCTGGTCAAAGATATCCATTTCTTCGTCCGTCATCTTGCTCGCGATAATCTCTTCAACCGAGTGTTCATCGCGTGGCATGGCAGTGATGACCTTAGCAAGCTCCTCGACTGAGTTGCCCATCGCCTGCACGTTCTTGGAACTGTAGTCGCCGGAGAACACGCGTGGGAGATGCTGCAGCGGCTTGTCATTGAAAGAGTATCCGGTGACAAAGCCTGACAGGGGCCGGTTGACGCGCCGAGGGTCGGGCTCCTCCGCCGATGCGTTTGCGTTTCCTTGAGTTGCCAATGGCATGTTAACTGTTGTCGAGCCACTCGGATCCAAAACACGATTGTCATCATCTACGTCGTCCTGCTGCTGCTGCTGAGAAACTGACTGCGATCCACGTTTTGCATCAGAGGCGGGCCTGGCGCCTGCCCCAAAGAGGCTGCTGCTGACATCTGAAACAAGGTGAGTCCATAGGGCATGCCCATGAGCCGCTGGCGCTGCTCGGGTGTCAAAACAGACTCGAGAACAGCCACGCGCTGCTGCAGCTCAGCATTGACCACGTCGTAATGCTCTAGCCGCTCCTCCTTGGCCTGTACCACTTGCTTGAGCGCAGTGATAGCCGAGCGCGCATGGCCCAAGTCCCGAATCAAATACCTATGCTGCTCAACAAGCATGTGGTTCTCCACAGCAAAGCGCAGCTCACGGTTACTCAGCGAGTTGTACTCGTTTGTTCCGGTTATACCAAACACCTCGGCAAGGGACGCCATTGGTGCCAGCATGCGCGCGTCAGGCAGAATTGGACGTGTTGCACGCGGATACTCGACACCACTAGGCAGGCCGCTGAGTCGGCAATGCGGGACATGTCTATTGGCTCGTATACCGGAAGCGCTGACACCAGTCGGCTGGCCATATTCTGCTGCTGATTGCTGCCAAGGCCAGAATTGCAGATGATGCTGTCACTATCACTGCTGCTGCTGTTGTTGTTGTTGTTGTTTCCAAACCACTGCCCCGATGCGTAGACACTGCCGCCGTCCTGCCCTTGCTGCCTATTGTTCGCGACATCATAATTGACACTACCAGGGCTGTGCCTTCTTCCATCGACACTGCCGTCACTCTCGCCAGTATAATAATGACCTGCTGTGCTGCTGTTCATGTTAATGTTGCTGCTGCTTATGTTGGCAAAGCCGCCATACACGCTGCTTGGAGACTGTGCGTAGTGCTGCTGTTTGGGCGTGCGCGCCAGCAGGTTTGCTGTGCGCTCGTTGCTGGTGTCCGGCGACCTATTTGCCGTATCGTGAGACATGGCGTTGTGTCCGCTGGTAGCGGAGCCAGCGCCCGATTGTTGGTGGCCATTCTGCTGCTGTTTCTGGTTAGATGTGGATACCGGCTGTGAGCTATGGCGCGAAGGTCCCCGCAAAAGCTGCGAAATAAACCCACCGCCACTTCTGCTCTCGCTGCGGCGCTTAATCGCCCTGCTTTCTCCTCCTTGGCACCAGGTCTTTCATTTTCAGCTGAAGGTGTCTCTTGCGGCGGCGGCAGCACGCGTACCGATGGGCGATGCAGCGCCTGCGCTCTAATGGTGGCTGAAGACTCCGAGTGAGACAGGGTGTGGTCACTTCGGGTGTCTCTGGATGAGCCCTCTGAGGACGTCGGCGATGCTGATGGCGACTCCATGCTGCCTGCTCCTCCAGTGTGGCGAAGCCGGTTGAGCAAGGACACGGACGGCCGTGGCGGCCAGGGGCTTTGGGCGTGGCCGCTGAGCGCGATGGCGGGCTTGGTGCATTGTCGTGGGCACTCGGTTGGGGTCACCAAGGGAATCTGCTTCTTGGCCAAAGGCGAGTTGCGGGCGTCCGTACGGATGGTGCAGTATGAATGGCGGCTCTTGGTGGGCGGTTGCCATGGGTAACTTTTGTCTGCGCACATTTTTGAATGGTACTTCATCATGGGAATATGGTTGTTGGGCTGTTTCAGTGGCGGTGGTGTCCCGGCTGCTTCCGCTGCCATCCGTCGACGCACCGAGTAGATGGTATCGTCGGAGTAGCTTATTGGGTGGGTGTAAATCAGGGCGTGGTCGCGCATCGGTTATATTAAAATTGCGTTCGAGTGGAGCCTGCAAAAACACGCATAAAATATCTAGAATAAATAAAATAAATAAGAATAAGAATACTAAAGAAAAAGAAAATATGTGTATGATCAAGCGAAAACAAAAAAGTCGAGTTTATAATATGAAAAATAATAAACGCCCAGTTTATATGTATATATTTCTTTCTTTTTCTTCTATATTTTTTATTTCGTTCCTGTTTTCAAAGACGAATGGGATGATGAAATAAGCCCGTTTTTTGTTGTTTGTTTGTTGGTTGAATTAAAAATAAAAATAGGACATGCGCCTTTGTCTTGTTTGGGATAATATTTTTTTAGAGTTTGGGTATAAGGAACGGGACAGAAGAGTTAAAAGAGGGGGAAAGGATAGGATAAAGAAATCAAGTGTCTGTTTTCAGTTACTAAAAAAAGAGTAAGAAATAAAAGTTGGAATAATTAAGTTGAGGATTGGATGTAGTCCGGTCTGGCATGGTTCGTATCTGGTGTGGCATGTAATTGAATGGCTTGGTCCGTCTGGTCTGGGTATTATCTTTCCAATGGGCCACAATTAGTCAAATGATGAAATGGAATTTTTTTTGCATTTACATTTCCCCCCTTTTTTCTATCTTTGTTCTTGTGCAGCCCTCATTTGTAAAGAAATGCTTATTGGGTTTTGTTTGCTTCGCCACTCAATATGCAAGCAGTAAGGATTTTTATTATATTACGTGTGGCAGTTGGCAAATTTGGATATATTTATTTTTTCCCCCAAATTGTTTCTATTATTTTTTCTTTGTTTTGAGTGGATGAGTAGAGAGCTATGCTTACTACTCGGTAGTACAGGCACCACGTTTTTTGTGATTTTGTGATTTTGTGTGTGTGTGGTTGATAGTAGTGGTGTTTTTCTCAGTTGCGTTATTATAATAATGAAAATGTAAAATGAGCTGGTGCGGTTTATTTTGAAGTCATCAAATATAATAAAAAACTAGAATCAAAACTAAAATCAAAACCACACAATACACTTTAATTCCCTTGTTTTACAAAAAGAAACAAAACCTTTGAGCGAACAATTGGTTGTCTGGAAATATAAAAACAATTATACTTTTCAAAAGATATACAATCAAAGTGTGTATGCAGTTTAATCGCGAATGTGACCAACGATGATGGATCCCCGTTAAATCCTGTTAAAGCGCTGAATAATTAATAACAAGCAGCAGGTGTATAAGGAACGAGGGGCGTGGCGACGATTAGATAGGACAACATTACATTTGCCTGTCCTTCACTTATTTCGGCTTTATATTATATTTTTTGAGAACTCCATTATTTCATTGATATTTGGAGGATATCGGCGTTCTGGTAGCACGTACAATTGTCCTTTATGTTTTTATTTATTTATTTCACCAGGTTTTTTTTTTGGGGGGGGGGGATACAAGGGACGTCACTTGCAGAAACACTGATATTTGCTGAGGAAATACACACTCACATAAAAATAAGGACCCAAAACATAATCAAAGCAGAGCAGAGCGGTCATTGTGTCGGTTTAGGAGGGAAGGGGAGCAGGCCCATTTTTGTGTTGTTGACATATTTAGCAGTATCTTGGAACTTTGGCAAAGTGGTCCCCTACAGCCCTTAGTTAGTCCCCACAAGGGGTGTTGTTTGGTATGCGTTCGGTGTTTTCTAATTTTTCATTTAACTCGCTCCCAAATAATAATATTCATTTTCATCAGTGGTCCCGCTACGGTCCCAGCGCTCAAAATGCATTGTTTAAAAAAGGTTGATTTATATTTTTTCCCACGAGTGCGAAGCTCTCGGAAATCAAAATATAAATGACAGGGCGTAAATATGTATAATATGTATTTGTACTCCAACGCATGCAGAACACGAACACTGAGGCAGCCAAGCAAGAAACCCAAAACAACTTCACCAGCCGAGTATCTTCTGCTGCGTGTCGTACATCATCAGCGCAATGCCGAACAGCGGCGCCATGGTCAAGCACCTGGGCACCACGCCCTTGAAGAAGGCAGCCGGGCCCTCGCTGCGCATAATCCTCACAGCACAATCGACAACTCCGCGATACGCCGGCTCCGGCTGCTGCGACGACTGCAGCCTGGTCTTCACCACATCAGCGGGCGTCACAGAGCCAGCCGCAATGACGCCGGCAACCGTGCTGCCAGCCAGCACGCTCAGCGTCGACGGCCGGCCATCGCCGCCGCCCATCCACATGTGCGCGCTCTTTGCCAGCTGCGCCTGCAGCGGGAAGAAGACCAGCGAGAACGGCACATCGCGCAGCAGCGTCGCCGCGGTGCCGCGGTACAACCCGCGCAGGCCCAGCTGGCGCACAACGGCCAAGGCCGTCAGCGGCTGTGCAGCGGCGCCAGGCTGCGTCGCAGCCACCTGCAGGCGGATCTTGACAATCTCCATTGGGTTCGTCGCAACGACCTGGCACAGCCCAGCTGTCGCGCCTGCCAAGGCCCCGTATGCCCCGGCAGCCGGTCGACTGACGTGCCGGCGCGCTGCGCCAGGATGCCGCGCATAATGTCGTTGACAGCCAGCTTCAGCGCCTTCTCGGGCGTCACACCAGCCAGGTTGGGCAGCAGCCCGCGGTACAGAGCGCGCACGCCACCCTCTGTGCGCATAATCTTCCGGAAGCAGTCGCCGATGCCCGCATACGGCAGCTGTCCGCGCACTGGCTTCTGGTTTGCAGCCGCGTCTTAACCATGTCCAGCGGAAACACTATCGACACGCCGTGATGCCGGCCACGGCACCGTTTCCCAGTTTGGCAAGCAGCCTACGGATTTCACCCACAGAACCTTCCGCATAAGGAAAGCAGTTTATTCAGTGTTAGTAATAATGCGTCTTTAGGCCAAATAAAACCACTCATGCCTGGTGCCTTTGCGCTTGCGCTTATTGCTTACTTTATCGCCGGTGTGGGGCCGCTCGCGGCTGTTGTCTGTGCTGATGTGCCTGTGCTGCCTAGCGAATGGAATTGCTCGCCATTTGTTATTCAGGCTTGTGTCGGCTGGAGAAAATATCAGTAGTTGAAACAGAATCTGAATCAAAGAAGAAAATAGAGAAAGAAAGAGAGAGAGCGTGGCAGGTATTTGTATTTGTCTGTGTATGTGAGAAAAGGAGTGTAGAAAAGAAGGTGTGAGCATTAATGATTCTGCCACTTTGGGCCACCGCTTAAATGCTAGGTGGAAAAATATAAATAAAAAGCCCCTGCTGCTGTTGCTTTTTTTGATTCCTTTTTTTTTGTGCCAGCCACTCAAGCGTAATTTTTCTTTTTATGTGACCCGTGCGATCAATCTTTTTTCTCTGCTTTTTTCAATAAAAAATTATATAGAAAAAGCCCTGAGTAAGAAGAAAAAGCGTGTATCTGCATATGCTCATGATGCGTCATTTTTGGTAACAGCCCAAAAATAAACAAGGAATACGCACTTTGCACGCTTATTTCGTTTTTTTATTGTTTTATAGAGAATTTTTTTTTTTTTTTTTTTACCAGCGATCTCTCATCAATGCGAATATTTTCTCTTAAAAAATCCCACTCACAATAATGGTGGCGGTGGCGGTGACGATGGCAACGTGGTAAGAATCAAATATTTAATTAGCATATCACCAAAACCTAAGCCAAAGCCAACCAATTAATAAAAAACAAAGCGTCTGAACTATATGGTCTTCATCAGCAGATACATGTTGTCGCCAACAACAAAGTTCTGCAAATGGCGAATGTCGCCCTCCAGGCACATCAGCAATCCGCCAAACGACACAAAGGCCGAAACCTTCGACCCGCTCGCATCATCGTACCGATAAACCCTGCCAAACATAACATAGTCGTAGTCGTCCGCCAACGACCTCTCGTCACCATTGATGTACGCACGCCAGTTCGCCTCACCCTTGCCAAAGCTCGCCTGCTGCTGCTCCTTGGCGTCCGAGAGGGAAAGCGATGATGCCAGAGTGAGCTTGAATTTATCGCCAGCGTCGATCGGGAAAAGCTCAGAGTTGATGTCCAGGATAATGCTCATGTCGTGCGTTTGGCTGCGCCCGTCGATGCGCGACACCCGGTCAAACACTTGCCGCCCTTTTGAGGTCCTTGACATCGAACGTGTCGCTGAACAGAATGTTGTCGCGCTTATCCATCTCTTATAATATCTTTATGAATGTAGAAAAAAAAGAAAAAGAGAAAAAATTTTTTTGTACAAATTTTATGTCGATCGGTTTTTTTTAGCAAATTTAATTTTTTCGATGCTCTAAAAACAAATAGGTCACTGCCAATAACCCATGCACACAGAGTGTCTATGGGCAGATGATCACGTGTTGCCGACCGAATGATAAAACATTGGGCTAATCATCGCCAAGCGAAAGCTGTCCCATTGCATTCGCACTCGCACTCGCAGGATTAAGCGACGAGTGCACAATCTCCAGGTCGCAGCAACATCCAGCATGTCCTCTCAATAACCTCGGCCCAGTTGCGCACATCACCGAGCTCCTTCAATGACGCGTTGAACTGATCCACCAGCTTGGTCCACTTAGCTGTCGAGCGCACGTGCTGTTGAACGAGGTGGGCGCAGTCGCGGGAAAGCGACTCGATTTCACGCTGGTTCGAAAGCACACGGGTAAGTTGGGCAGAGAGCGAGCTGGTGGCCGTGTCGCAGAGGTCGCCAATGTCTTTGATTGCGTCTTTGCGCAGTTGCTCTGAGGCTCGCTTGTGGTCGAGCGACCCAGAGGTGTGGTCGCGCATGATGTCTGAAAGAGAAGAAGATGCCATGGCTTGTGGGTATAATATGGATGGAAATAGAGCAAATATGGTGTGGCTGTGTCTGTACAAAATGCTGTTTAATTACGATGTAAATGAAATGAAATAACTTTGGTTATGTTTTAGGGGGGCGGAATCGACACCTTTTGTTATTGATTTGCGCTTTTCGTGGCTTATTCGCTTTGATTGCCTGGGTCATGTGCGCGCTTTAGTTTTTCTGAGCTCTGACTTTTGGCCAATAAGTGCGCCCAGACCATCATCCCCCTTTTTCAATATGGCTTTTATCTTATTTTGGCCCAAGCTGGGCGCTACTACTACCGCTACCCTTCAGCCCTTTGCAACCAACTGATGCAGGCGCTGATCCCCCCCCGCCTTCCATCCTTGGCAGCTGCAGAAGTGGAAAAATAGATGAAAAGAGTGACTCACAATAAAGGAAGGAAAAGGCCTGAGGCAAAAGCAATGCCGCTTTGGCTCTGGGATCAAGCAGCAATCAACAATCAGCACGGCAGCAAGGCTCCTCAGTTCCTCTCTCGCTTCCCTCTCTTCTCTTTTGTCTCCGCTTTGGCTCCCACAAAATAACTTTATTTTTCACACTTTACTTTTCGCCGCCCTCCCCCTATCCCACGCACAATGAGCACGTTCGGCAAGGCATTCCGCGTAACAACGTACGGCGAGTCGCACTGCAAGTCGGTCGGCTGCATCATCGACGGCGTGCCGCCCGGGCTGGCGCTCAGCGAAGCCGACATCCAAGTGCAGCTCACGCGGCGGCGGCCCGGCCAGAGCGCAATCACCACGCCGCGCAACGAGAAGGACCGCGTCACCATCCAGTCCGGATGCGAGTTTGGGTACACCCTGGGCACCCCGATCTGCCTGACGGTGGCCAACCAGGACCAGCGGCCACGCGACTACACCGAGACCGACTTCTACCCGCGCCCGTCGCACGCCGACTACACGTACCTGCAGAAGTACGGCGTCAAGGCGTCCTCCGGCGGCGGCCGCTCGTCGGCGCGCGAGACCGTCGCACGCGTCGCTGCCGGCGCCGTGGCAGAGAAGTATTTGGGCGAGGCGTATGGCGTCGAGATCGTCGCCTTTGTCACCAGCGTCGGCCCTATTGAGATGCCGCAGGTTGCGCGGGGCATGGGCAACGAGGACTTCCAGGCGCTGCTGGCCGGGATTACGCGCGCGCAGGTCGACGCCAACGCCGTGCGCTGCCCGGACGAGGCGGCCGCGCGCCAGATGGAGGACGAGATCCTGACTGCAGCCGTGAGCACAACTCCACCGGAGGCACCGTCACGTGCGTCATCCGCAATGTGCCCGTCGGGCTGGGCGAGCCATGTTTCGACAAGCTGGAGGCCGCCTGGCCCACGCAATGATGTCGATCCCGGCAACAAAGGGATTCGAGGTTGGGTCGGGCTTTGCCGGCGCGCGTGTCCGCGGCGACGCGCACAACGACGCGTTCGAGGCCGACGGCAAGGGCGGGCTGCGCACGCGCACCAACCACTCTGGCGGCATCCAGGGAGGCATCTCCAACGGCCAGAACATCTACTTCCGCGTGGCGTTCAAGCCTGCTGCCACCATTTCGCAGGACCAGCGCACGGCCACGTATGATGGCCGTGATGGTGTGCTGGCTGCGAGAGGCCGCCATGACCCCTGTGTTGTGTCCAGGGCCGTGCCGATCGTTGAGACGATGGCTGCTGTTGTGCTGATGGACGCTGTCGTGCAGCAGAATGCCGCACGGCCACTCGCTCGCTTCTGGCGCCGGTGCCGGCCGAGCTGAAGGGCATCAAGCCGGTGTGAAGCCATTGCGTAGCCGCTTTGTGGCGGTGTCCATACCAGTGTCTATTTCTTCAACAACAAAAAAACATCTTTTTAATCTAAAAAATCAAATATGCTCAAAAGGGTCGCACCTTTTTTCTTATGTCAAGGGCAGCGGTTGCCACCTGTCCGAGACATCGGATGTCTCGGCTCCGACGAAATAATGTCCCCTAGCGATACGCTGTCCTCGAACTCATTAATCGCGCTGCTGTTGCCGCTGGCCGCTGCCGCTGCATGCCGGCCGCACATCGCCGAGTCGGTCTGGCACAACAGAATCGCGCCATCATGCGAGCCAGCCGCCAGCACCTCCACCAGCACCGATCCGCCAGCATCGCCATCCATAAAGCGCAAATGCTCCGACTCAACACTGATCGACCGACTCACGCAGTCCAAAAACCGCGCAGCACGCACAACATCCTCGGGGTCAACCAGCTCCAAAAACGCCCTCCCCTGGATATCGCTCGAGTCCATGTTGAGCGTGCGCCCGAATGAGTTGGATGCAAACACTATGCGTGCGCCCATGGGGCTGCCTCCACCACTGCCGTCTACAAAACCCTCGTAGCGCTCGAGGACTAAGCACGCCTGCTGCCGCGCATATGCGCCCACAACGCTGGTGTGCATCCCGGTACTAGAACCACTGTACTGTCGTGTGGGTGTTTTTTCCACCAACCTCGCATCCAGCTCTCTCTCACGCGCCACTGCTTCTGCCTCTCCTTCTGCTTCTTTTTTTGCTGCTGCTGTCGGCTGTGCGACAATCGACGGCAGCGCCGCCAAATCTGGATACCTCAGCGCAACACTGAACTCTAACGCGTCACAAGTAAAGTGAAGCATGCGCAAGTACACGGGGGTTCCGCCGCGCGCATCCACAACCATATTGGTCACCTGGATATTGCGGTTTATCATCCGCCCAAAGTGCTTGATAAAGTCGTCGGTTTTGCAGTTATTTATAAAAAACAGAGGGAAGGCCGAGCACTCGTTGGGCTTGTAGTGAAGACCTCTTGGATATTCGGTGATACATAGAGCACACGCATTAGTGGCGTCTTATCGTTGACCGCGATGTAGGATCGTGGTGAGGGTTGTTGATGGTTGCTCATTTATGATATGCTGTTTATCGGGAGAGGATGGAGCTGTGGAATATGTGTAAAACATAATTGAATAATGCAAATACAAATACAAAAAAATGTATATAAAAGTTTTTTTTCTTGTATATAGTAAAAGAACAAATAAAAGTAAAAAAATAGAGCACTTTTTAAAGTGGCTTATTATTGAACAATTGTTATGATATTATATGTTTTGTTTTGTTTTAAGAATAAGATAATACTGTATTGGAATGGATTGGTTAATGAAAAGTGTAAGTACCTTTTTTATTTTTATTTATTTTCTTCTTGGCTGTCCAAACCTCGAAAAATAAGTACAAAGTTGAGTTGGCATCAAAACGCTTTTCTGAGTATATGTGAGTCCTATTTTTTTCTAATTAGTGCAACATTTTTCTCCCACTATATTTCAGTCATAGCACACAGGCTGAGAAAGAAAGATAAAAGAGGAATAGGGGACAAAAAAAGGAGAAAGAGAAAGAGAAGCAAAAAGAGAAGCAAATAGAAGAAAAAACAGGTAAAACATTGCATTTTCTTTATGCATTTATTCCATCCATGGCAATTAAAATGCATATATTCCCCTCCCAAACATATTTCGCACATATCGGCATTACATAAATTATACAAATCGGAAATCAAGTTGTAATTTAATTATTTATTTGCGTATACCTCGCAACAACAACAACAGCAACAGCAACAAAATATAAATTCACCGATGCGCGCTCCACGTGTCAGAAAAATTTGAAGTCTCAGCATCCGACGAAATAAGCTCATCCAAAGAAACACACCCGCCAACATCCTCCAAACCGCCACCATCAACACTGTTTACGCTGCTCCAGGGTGTTTTTATTCGGCACATCAGAATCACGCCCTCAACCGATCCAGCTGCCATCGCCTCAATAGAAACAACACGCGAGACATCACTATAAAAATCACCCGCAAGCTGAAACGTTCAAAAATAACGCCAATGCTATCAACAATTTTCTCCAAAAACATCGCAACCCTGGCCACATCTTCCGTGGACACAAACGACAGAAACGGTCTGCCCTGCACATCGCCGCAGTCTACTTCGATAATACGCTCGAATGATTTAGACGCAAATATAACCAACGGACCATCAGGCCGCCGATCCTCAGATTCAGATTGTCCTTCGAGAATCAAGCACCCACGCACTGTTCTCTTCCAGCCATCACAATGTATTTCCGCGCCATGCCAACTTATTCGCTCCACTGTAAACATTCCATCAATGTCAATTCGCTCACAGATTCCGAAGCAACAAATATGGTGTTGAATGCCATATTGTCGCAATTAAAATGAATCACACGCGCTTTCACCAGCCGACCATTTCGAGCAACTATGTGGATATTGGTAATTAACAGGCTGTGCTCCGTATTCTGTCCGATAGCTGACTTGTATTCTGGCTCTTTCCATGTCCGACAAATGAAAGAATAGATTGGCCGAGTATTTCCTCACGCTGGTATTGAAGAATATTCCAGATGTTCGACGATATATAGAGTAACCGCATATCTGCTGTCCTATCGTGCACCGCGAGAATTACTTGAAATGGCGATTTGAATCCTGATGTTGTCGTTATATGCGTTTCTAATCCTGACAGCATGCTATGGCGATTAATATTTCCTTGGTTATTAAAAATCTTGATTTACTCTAAAGAAAAATAAGGAGTACATATGATAGAAGCAATATCTTTTATGGACCTAACGTAAATAAGGAAACTGTCAGGTGCTAAAAAATATCGTGTGGTCATAGATATCCAGCATAAAATCTCGATGCTACTGACTTCTCTTTTTTGTGCGTTTGGTCTACTGCATTTTTAACATATCGCACAAATAAAAATTTGTGATTATACTCTATTTTTTATTATTAAAATACTTGACCAAAATCAGTTTACTATTTCAAGCAACAGCAGCAATAAAAACAAGTAAATAAATTTTTTGTTACAATAAATTTATCGTTCTAAGCCGCAATGCATACGCGTTTTTATCTGCTTTTTCTTCTACGGAACATCTCGATTTACAGAGACAAGCACGCCACTATTTCAACAACAAATGCAAGAAAAAATTGTATTGCGTAATGTGTTTTTAAAAATACAAAATATCTCGCAACATAAAAAATTTTAATGTGGCGTTGCATCGCGCAGACAAGAATTTTTTTGAGTTCAACTAAAACTATGGAACTATGTCGTTCCAACTTCGTCAACATCGTTGTGTCGTAGTCCGAAGAGATCATGTCTTCTAGCGACATGTAGCCGCTGGCCATGTCTAATCCTCTTTGTCTGCAATATCACATGGCATGTCCATTTGAAATAGTAGCATTGCGCCCTCATCCGACCCCGCCGCCATCACTTCAACGGAAACACTGCACGAGGCGTCCACATCGGAGTCCACCGCAGGCGGAACCGCTCAATGGCAGTATCAGCTATCTTGGCGACCCTATCCAGGAACATAGCTGCCTTGACCACGTCCTCAGTGGACACAAGGCCAAGACGCCACTCCTTGAATATCGATAGAGTCGACGCCAATAATGTGCTCAAACGAGTTGGACGCAAACAGAACCAATGGCCCATCGGGTCTATGGTCCTCGAATGTGGTTTGTTTTTCGAGCACCAAGCAGGCCTGCACGGACTTGTTCGTGGTCTGGGTCTTTTTCTGCCGCCCAAGCGACACATGAAAGCTGTGTTGCCCAGACACGCCTCCTGCCCTTTTGCAATCCGCGTCGTCAGTATCCGCATTGTGCCAGCCCATCCGCTCCAAATTAAGCCCCCTTTTGTCTCTCAGTTTGCTCACTGTCTCTGGAACAGTCACAGTAACGTTGAATGCCATATTATCACAGTTGAAGTGAATGACCCGAAGATGTATTAGATTTCCGTTTCGCGCAAGCACGTCGATGTTGCTACAATCATGTCATGTCTGGTATTTAATCCGATTGTTGACTTGTAATTTTGGCCGTTGCTATTGGCAATGTACGTAAACGCGGGTTGCCCGATGATGTTTTCGGGCTCGTATTGGAGGATATTACGGATGTTTGAGGAGACGTAGAGAACACGCATATCGGGTGTCTTGTTGTGAACCGAAAGAATGACCTGGGGTGAGGCAAACTCCATTGTCGCGATAGCTGGTAAGGAGGAGAGGGTTTCTTTTTAGTATATGTGCATTCTGCTTGAGTAAGCGTGTGTGTATAAACTTGGTAATCTAGGATGAGATTAAAGCAAAATAAAAAATTGAAAAATAAAAGGAAACGGATGCAAAAATAAGAAAATTACATTATCACTTCAGATTTCTGAGAGACTGACTACAAAAAAACGGCAATCTTTATTTATTTTTTGGGCTTGGTTCGGTGTAGCGAAAATGTTTTATTTTCTTTAATTAAAATTATTTTGTTTTTTTCACGCAGTCCTTTATTTGCTCTGGTTTCGCAAGATTATAATTTCTATTTTCATAATTATGAATTTTTCATCTCCGTAAAGCCGAGCGGCCAGTAAAAAAAAAGAAGAAAAAAGCAAACGATGTACAACTAGATAGATAGCAAAAAAATTGTTAAATGAAAAAAGCCCTTTTTGGAATGTATTCCGGCATAAACTATTTTCTAGCAATAAATTATTTCAGCTGGGCGCTAATTTTTTTACATGTGGAATCGCGCAAAAAATATTCAAAAAAATGAAATTTTAATTTACCCAACATAGTTATCAAAAATAGAAGAAACCCCCCCCAATAAAGCAGCTCGCTCCGATGCTCGCCTACATTGGTGGTATTATAATCTGACGAGATAACATCTCTAGCGACATGTACCCCGCTGATATTTTCTCCATTCTCGCTGTCGCTATTGCTCTGCGGGCTGTCCATTTGACCAGCAACACCGCGCCCTCATCCGATCCCGCCAACATTGCCTCGATAAAAACTGCCCGCAAAAGGCCATTATCAAAATCCATGTACAAGCCGAACTGCTCAATAAGGAAATTGATAGTTTTGGCGACCTTGTCCAAGAAAATCGCCACTTTAGATACGTCCTCTTTGGATACGAGCGACAAGAACACCATCCCCTGAATATCGCTGGAGTCGACACCAATGATGTGCTCGAACGGGTTGGACGCAAACAGAACCAATGGCCCGTCGAGTCTATGGTCCTCGGATGTGGTTTGTTTTTCGAGCACCAAGCAGGCCTGCACGGACTTGTTTCTGGCCCTCAACATCATGTCTCCCCACAGTGCCTCACAAGCCACGGAAATTCGGCAAGTTGCCCTCTCCGCCTATCGCCCTACTACTTTCCGCATTCGGCCGATTCATATCTGTATTGTGCCAACCAATCGGCTCGGATCTTAGCTCCCTGGACAACTCAGTCGTGCTAAGAGTCTCAGGAACAGTCGCAGTGATGTTGAATGCTATATTATCGCAGTTGAAGCGAATGACACGTAGATGCATTGATTTTTCGGTGCTCGAAAAACGTTTACATTGGCTATCGTTATGTCGTACCTGGTATTTAATCCGATGATTGATCTGGGCTTTTGGCTGTTGCCATCGGCAATGTATGAAAACGCAGGGTGGCCGACAATATCTTCGGGCTTGTATTGGAGGATGTTGCGGATGTTTGAAGAGACATAGACCACGCGGATTTCGGACGTTTTGTTGTGAACCGAGAGGATGACCTGGGGATAATTATCTGGTATCCAAGCTCTGTTTTTTGTTGATGTCGTTGTTGTATTGGCAAGTGTGTGTATTTCGCGTAGTGAGCGTACGTGTTGATAAAAATACGTATAAAAACAAAATATTGAACAATATAAGAGTTGAATAATGTAATGAAAAAATAAAAAAGAATACCAGAAAAGTGGAAGAGAAAGAGCGACTAGATAGAAAAGATGACAGAGAGTTGGGTTCATGTTACAACGGGGTATAATCAAAGAGAATATTTATTTCTTCCAAGGAGAGCAATTCCTGGCTGCCCGACAGCCGCTCTTTTTATATGCTTCCTTATGACATAAAGAAACTATAATAAACCTTATCATCATTGCTCTGATTGCCACGCGCGTAATCAATTAGTCTTAGTAAGGCAATGTGCAACATCATATGCCTCAACTGTGACATTTATTCCCTATATTGGTTGTACGGAATTTTATCTCTCAAATATAATGAGCACTTCTTTTTCATTTTTTTGTGCATAATGTCTTGGGATTCACTTGTCTTTACCATTGGCGATTTACATTACTATGTACTTGTACTTGTACTTTCCTGGTTTTCTCATGTGAATCGCTTTTGTGTAATATTCTCTTTTCCCTCCACTTTTTTGGGTTCATTTCATATCCACAGATCAGATTTCTCAAACAATTAACATTTCATTGAATGCTCAAAGGATTATCACCAAATAAAATAAAATATTATGTAAACATTTATACATGGCGTGCGATCGCGCACAATAACAGCAACAACAACAATAGAAACAAGACAAAATACTTCATACATTATTTCAATCTAAAATATTAGCTCGTTCCAGTACTCGCCGATATCTGTCGTGTCGTAGTCCGATGAAATGATCTCTTCTAGAGACATATATGGAGCGCCGTCTTCCTCTTTCAAATAATCGGCCTGATGTTTTCCAGCCACCGCCAAATTGCTTGAATTGTCCCCGCCCAACCTGCGCTTCTTTTGGCACAGAAGCACAAACTTGTCGTCCGAGGCTGCCCCGAACAGCTCTACATTGATTACCCGACTATCCGCGCCGTCACTGGGGTTTTGCTTCAGCATCAGGTGCACAGCTGCGGGCGAGTGACCTTGCACAGATTTTCCAAAAACATTGCGGCCTTGGCTATATCCGCGACGCCACAAGTGTGAAAAGCGGTTGGCCGATAATCTCGTGGCTGTCGATATCGCCCCCGAATATGTTGCTAATGAATTCGTCACGAATTCCACCGTTGGGCCCTGTGTGCTTTCATCCACCCGTCTGTTAAGCACAAAGCACGCCTTGGCTCTGCTCGCCCGCGCTGTGTAGATGTGGCCTTGTTTAAGGATTCCCTTGTGACCTTTGGATACTTTGGGTACACTATATCGTTGTTCTCTGACTCCAGGGTCGCCTCTGTGTCAACAGAGACAACGGATCCAGTGTCGCAGCCAGATGTCATCTGGGCCTGCTCACTGGCACGATCAAAGTCCACTCGTATTGGAGCTTGTAGAGAATGGATTCGCTGACCCTAATGTCGCCAAGCTCTGGATATGCGAGGATTACTGTGAACAAATGGCCAGTGCAGTTGATTGAAATGGCGTGCACGTAGATTACCCGCCCGTCTTTGCACCGCATGTTGTGAGGCAGCATGGTGACGCCCAGTTCGGGGTTGTCAGCCGGCCATTGGCAGCTGTAGTGCTTGGCATGCGGGTCGTAGGAGTAGTTGAGCGCACTGGTGCCAATCATCTCCTCTGGCGTGTATCCAAGCACGCCGTAGCAGTTGCCTGAAACGTAGAGGATGTTTCGGGTCCTGCCCGCTCAAAAATCAAGACATACGAGGAGGGCATTGTTTTGACAAAATGAAAGATTAAAGTATACAAAGAAAATAAGCGCTGGAAAATAAATAATAAAATTTTGTTCGTATTGAAAGAATAAAAGAATGAGAAAAAAAGGAAGAAACAACGTTTATACCCAACCACTTTGCACTTGAAAGTTCAATGTTTAGAGTGGTCGCGCGTAGTTGACTGGTCATCTGTGGCAAATGAATAGGCACCATATCCGCTGATTTTCATATACTAAATAAACTACTTGCAATCCGATTGCCAATTTACATTCACACGCTGCAGCAATTTATTAAAAAAAAACAAGTGTCTGCTGTTGATTTTTCTTATTTTATGCGCTTTTGCAAAAGTGAACTCGATTTTATCGGGTATGTTGTGCAATGTTTTTCATTCACACTGTTCTTGTTCATTCAAATTCAGGATTCTGTTTATTTTCATTTTCCCACTGGGAAATTAAAATAAAAAGAGAATTCCAATTTAATTTAACAAGCAAAAAGTTATAAAAGGAAATCGCTGCTTGTCTCTTGGCTATTCGGAGCCGCTCGGCCTCCTAACATCCCCGCACACAGCTATCGATAGCTTGGCATTGTTCTCAGCGTCTATTGGTCGATTTTTCGTTGATTGCTCCGCTTGAGATAAAAAACGCCATTTTATATTTATGGAATGTGGCTGATAGAAAGCAAAAATTGAAAAATGAATAAAGCAAAACTAATTCTGGAAAATCTACATAAAAAATAAAACAGCGAATAAAAAAGAGGGAAGCGCGTTCTGTGAAGCGCTCTTACGCCCACTTTCCAATAATGGACATTGCCGCGCAACCGGAATACAATATGATAAAATACATAACCCTCGCAAACTTTGTATACCGGCGGAACTCGGGCGACGAAAACTCCTCAACAAGCAGGTTCACGATAGCCGAATACATGAGGATTCCAGCCGAAAGGCCGTCGAGCACACCAATGGTCAACAATGTCGAGGGCGATCTGGGAGCAAATGACTCGCGGATACCAATGCCGATAATCTGGCCCAGCGGTGTCGTCAAGGCAAATATCGACGCATTTAAAATGCCCATGAGCAGCGGCCGACGGGTAAAATGTAATGCCGAAATGCGAGTGCCCAGGGCCAAGCCCTCGAAGAACTGGTGGAAGCTGATGGCTGCCAACAAGGTCTTGAAACCGGTGCCGCCGGTAACCGCCAGTGTCATACCGACGATGATCGAGTGCAGAGCGATGCCGAGCTCGAGAATGTACGTTGACAGTTGCTTGCGCTTCTGGTCCATATCAAGAAGCATGGGCGCGTGAACGTGTCCCACATCCACGCGCTTTTCATCACCGCACTCCTCATCTTTGTACTCCGGCGTGACCTCGCCGGCGCTCGCACTCTCTGTGGCCACAGAACATCTTGCTGTATCCAAAGACGTGTTCTTATGGTGTATGAGGCGAGCGGTCAGCACATGCTCCATCAGGTGCATTGCCAGAATCGCCAGCATGGCCAGAAACCCAGGCCACGCATCAAAGTCACCCAGCCTGCCCTCCAGACACTCATCCTTGAGTGACTCTATAGAGCCATTGAGCATATGCACGAAGGCTGTGGCCAAGATGACGCCAGCGCCAAAAACTTGCCTGTAGTGAGGATCTTGGGACTGACGTTGAGCCACTTGATGTGCTTGCAGGCCACGGGAAGCAATGCGCCAAGGCCGCCGACAGAGAGGATGATGAATACAGAGGCGATTTGTAGGTTGCGGTCCCAGTCTTTAACCCCGGCGGCTGAGCACTCAATCTTGAGACTGTCCCGCACATTGGGCTCGAGAGCGGATGCTTGGCTGCTTGAACAGGCGATGACTGAAATTCTGGCAGGGCGGGTGCTGGCTGTGTGTCTACACTGTCGAATATAAATTGGTTAGATACTAAATCTGTCGGCACGATGTCGGCATCAACCGAAATAAACTGTGCATTTTGAGGTGCAGCTGCAGCGAACGGAGCAACAGACGATATTGCCAATATGGCTACCAGCGATGACAAACCAGCCTTGGAAAAACCATTGTATAATTTGAAATATGAAAATATGAAGAAAATTTTGTAGAGAAGGAATACAAAAGATGGTTAGTGATTCAAAATATTACGCATAACTATAAAAAGTGTATTCACAAAAATATTTTATTAAATTGGTGTATGTTTATATTCTTGAATCTCTACTGCTCCTCCCTGTATTTCCACTTTTCTAATTGTTCTTGATAATTACATATTGTTATAGTCAAACGTTGTCCAATTCTGCCAAAAAATAACAATGGAAAGGTCACGACATTTTTTTTGTCTGTCGCCTCAAATTTTTTCTTCGGAAAAATGTATTTTTTATTTATCTTCACGCGCACTTTCCAACATCAATGGAAAGCCACATTTGTTTTTATTCCTAGAAAATGCCAGTTTTAGCAGCTTAAATCTCGATGGTCACCCAATGCGATATTTCGAGCATAAAAACTGAGGCAACTCACGCGTCACTTTAATTGCAATTGCAATGTAGAAAAAAGATAGAAAATAACTAAAATCATGTGACAGTAGTAATTATTTTCCCACTCTCAAGCACGCGACCATTATCTCTTGATTAAGAAAATTGTTTATTTTTTATCGGCGCTAGCAAAATAAAAAAACAGCATCAATGTAAATATTTTTTAACCCAAGCTTACAATCATAATTTTAAAAAACAGAATAGTAACTTTGGATTAGTGGATAATGGGAATAGTCAAGAGTAACCCCCGGTCAATACTCATCGCATGGTCAGCCATTATCGTGGTTGGATTCGGTACATTTGTTTTCGCAAAGGATATAGTCAGCACTGAGCGGCGCACAGAGGAAATTCGTCGGATCAAGCGCGAGCGCAGGATGCACGCATATGGTTCTTACAACAAGAACCACGATGATGATGGCGAGAAGCAGCAGCAGAAGCAGCAAGATTAGGACTGGCGCATTAGAAAAAGTTTTTTTCCAGTTTTTTTTAACTTTTTATATGCCGAAACAATATTACAACCAACATCTTGATAACGGTGTATATGATATAGTAACAAAAATACGAGTACAAAAAGTAGACGCCTGATAAGCAAAGCAACTGGAATTTGCTGTACTGGACAAAAAACGTCCACACTTGTAGATCCACAGATCCACTTGCTCATTTGACAAAGCCCTGTCATGTGTTCAATAATTGACGGCCACAACTGACATTATAAGTGGATAAATCAAATCCATGCGCTGCCCGCTTGGATGAGTAGCAGCCGCACAGCAGAGGGTTGCCCTCCTTGGATTTGCGCCTGGTTGCAGCTGCTGAGTCTCTGCCAAATGATCGCACTTAATTTCCAACCTCCGTTGAAGGGTGTTAACGCACTTATCTTTTAGCGAAATTTAAAGTTAAGTGCGTAAACGCAATCTCGAAAGTTACTCTGCAGGTTGAGGATTTGTTACAGTGGAATTAGCAGGACATGGACAAAGTGCAAAATATACGCATACTGCAAATCTCCTTTTAGGGCAGGTAGGGTTTTTTTGCTGTGCATACAATACCAGAGACGGTCGGCAGGGCAACTCTGAACTCTTTTAATTTTTAAAAAGAAGCAAACATTCGTGCCGCCAGAACTCATCATCAAAAGTGTGTCTCGCCTGCTCCTAATAGTTCCTTTTTATTTTTTATTATTTTTCTGTTTGTATCGATTTTCCCTTTCTTTTTTCTTTCCCAAAAAAATTTTCGTGCTATTTTGGCTTTTCAATCCAGATTCTTAAATTTATATTCTTTTTCTCTCGAATTTCTCAATTTTCTCAATTTTCTTTGTTGCTTTATATATTCTAAAACATGAGCGAGGCAGAGAGCGTCGAAAGCAAGCGTAAGCGGCAAGACAGCATCAACAAGAGCCAAGTCACCGACGAAATTGTTACTCCCGAAGCAGAACCCCACTCGAAGCAGCATCAGCCGAGGACCCAACAGTCACAGAGGTATCAAGCCCAGCCAAAAGGCCACGCACAAGCGAAGACGGTGAAGAAAACACATCAGGCAGCGAAGAGGCCAATGTCGCAACAAAGTCTGTAAAGGCAATCGAGTTGGATCAGAAAGACAAAAAGGAGCCTGTTGCCGCCGCCGCCACACCTGTGTTTGGGTCCCGATTTGGCTTTGGTATGGGCGGATTTGCCAGCGCTGCCAAAAAGGCCTCGCCATTTGCAGCGTTTACTAGCGGCGCGATGAGCAGTGGGTTTGCCAAATACGCAGCCAAAAAGGAAGAGCCCATGGGAGACAGCGCCGATGAAGGCAGTTCGTCTGCCGGTAAGTGGTCGCAAGAGGCGGCGCCAGTGCGCAGCGCCCAGGACGACCGGTCATTTGGAGACATGCTGGCCGTTCAGGGCGCGCAATCCCTCGAGGGCTGCCCGACACCCACCTGCCCTATAACCCCCATTGTGCCCTCCGGCCCCGTCCTCACTTTCGAAGAGGACGAGACCTGCCTGTTCACGACAAAGGCCAAGCTCTTTGCGCTTGTTGCGGGCAATTGGAAGGAGCGCGGCGGCGGCCAGTTAAGATCAACCGCCATAACGAAAACCATGCGCGCCGCCGCATGGTTATGCGCACCGATCTCACCTTCCGCCTCATCCTCAACTCGCCCATGTTCAGCGGTATGAAGGCCGAGTGCGAGCGCAAGTTTGTTCGCTTTGGCTGCATCGATGCAGAGACCAAATTGCCCACGACGCTGGCGTTGAGATTTCCCAATGAGGCCGCTGCTGCGTCTGCGCACGCTGCGATTGTGGAAAACATCCCGCGGGATGTGGCTGAGGAGACGCTCCCCAAGGAGGACAGCAAAGAAGAGACTGAGGGTGGGGAGAGCGGTAGTGAGGCCAGTGAAAGCGCTGTGAGCAGCCGTGCGTCGAGCCAGGCCGTAGAGGACAGGCCAGATGAGGCGGAGCAGGAGGAGGCGGAGGAGGCTGAGGCGAACGAGCCGAGCAGGTGGAAGATCGCGAGGAAGAAGAAGAGGAGAAGAGCTGGACTCGGAGAACGAAGCGGATAACAGCGAAGATGACGCCGATGGGCAAAAGAAGGCTGGTCCCAACTCCCAATAAACACTGACATGTCCTTTTGGTTACGCTGTTTTCTGGGGGTCAATGCAGGCCTCATTTGACGCAGTGTGGGTCTGACCCACCCAGCTGTCATACAAAAAACAATGGCGGCCTTGTCGGTGACACGTCCGCAGTCCTACACTTTCATCGCAATATCCCTCCCTCTCTTTGCAGTACTTTCAATATATTATTATCCATCCACGCCTTTATTCGTATCTCAAGCGGACCTCACGCCTGCAGGGCGCTGCCATACGCGTAGCCACCATCTGACCGCCGGCGGCTGAAAAGCCGGTTCCCTCGGAATCCAGCCGAATAACATCCCCGGCTTGACCTTAACTTGACACACAAAGCACACACCTGTAGGCTCGACAAAGTTGCCCACACACCGGTGGCACAAGGCGTGGCCACAGGGGCGCAGCACGTCGACCTTTGAGCTATTCAGCAGCTCCTTGTCGCACGATGGACACAGCTTATTCCCCTTTGCGTCGCTGCGGAATTGCACTGCCACCAGTGATTTGAGCTTCAGACTGTGCGGCAGCGATGCGTGGCATTGGACGGTGCGGCTGCTGGGATCTGCCATTGAAAGTTTGGTTTCGGGCGCCATGCTGGGAACCCAAAAGCTTGTCAGCCGAGGCTTTGCATTTTTGCCTTCTTCTTGCGCCTCCGGTTGGATTCCAGACTCTGCTTCGTCCTTGTGCTTAATCTTTGCCAGAGCAAACACTGGACGCTGCTCACTACTGCCACCGACGCCGTCGCCGCTCTTATCTTCAATCATTAGTTTCTTCCGACCGTCACTCTCACTGCCACCCTCTGATTGCCCCTGGTCCTCATAGCCCTCACCCTGCTCCGCCGCGCGTTTCTCGACTCGCTTTGCTCGCCACTTCCAAGCCCAACCTCGCGCTTCAAATACTTTTGCACCTCCCTCTCGTCCTCCTCCTTCCTCTTCCCCCTTTTTGCCTCATCCTCCCTCTTCATAAACAACGCGTATTCCTTTTTTGCCAGCTCGATAGACTGTTTTTGCTCCAATATGTTGTTCAGCACGCACTCCTTGCATGACACGTGTCCCTTGGTGCATGTCATTGGGCTGCGCGCAGTATTGAGACATAGGTGGCATGAGTCAAAGCGGCGTTTGGTGTCACTGCCTAGACGTTTGCTTTTGGTGCCATAGTCTACCATTTGGCGCTCGGCGTAGGTAAAAACCCCAGAGGCGGTGTTGTTTTTCGAATGCCGGACCATTATGTAGAATGTTTGTGGATTTTTTTGAAATATATAGGTTTAAAAGAAAAATATTAAAATATTGCCTTTATTGGATTATACCAAAATAAAACAAAAGCATAATCAACCACAACTTATTGTATGGGTCAAATAGCTTCAACTCGCGTGAATGCGGGGCCAGTTTGTTATAGGGGCATGTAGCAAGGTCTGTAATATAACCCCATGACTGATTTCAAAATAAAGTAGTAAATTCACAGATCATTGAAGGCGCACTTTTGACACGCCTGCTTCCTACCAATTATTTGGTTTCCAGACAAAGTGCACTGCAAAAAAAGATATTCCCAAGTAAATCCGACTTGGCAGTGCTGGATCTGTCGGGAATTGGCACAAAAAATCACAACAGTGCCTTTACAATCCAATCATCCATATATTTTGCACACTCTATACCCCGCCCATTTGTGCGAATCACTTGGACTACCCAGGCTCATAAATTGGTATTAAATCAGCAGCACAAAAAACAAAACATGACGAATCTTAAATTGGAATGTTCCGGTCGTTTAAATCTGCGATCTGCTGTTTTTTTGTTAAAGATTCGCTGGTATTCGCTATCAGACACCACTGCACACAGGTTGTGTATATTTTGCCGCTCGCACAACCTAATAAAAATACATGGCAATATTCCAAAATAACAATAGTTTTGGTGCATTTTTAAAAATATACCAATTTGCGTAATTATCCCCGAATTTATATTTAGAATATGATGCTTTTATATCTATCATGAAATGGGAACCCCGTGGGGTCCAGATCGACAGGCTATTGGGATTAACACGGGCGGAAGCTCGTACATTTCAACCGAAGCGTCAACAACATTAATACCGTTCTTAATAAGCCGCACTAATAAATTGTACCAGATAAACAATACTTTTGAATTGACAGCCAGCTAAGTAATATGCCGCTACGCACACACTAATCACATTGGTAGATGGCCCGCTTCTTGTTTTGTTGCATTCTCTAAAGATGCACCTCGCGTCGATCTATCTTGTTTTAACTAATTTTGCTTTAGTTTGCTACATGTCACCCGATTGGTTCCTCGAAATAATGTCTATGCAGGCATTAAACACACTGACGATTCCATGACAACACGGAACAACCCCCCTATCTCCAATTTCTAAATATATGCGTAATAAATGTTTGATGTGCATAAAGTAAACACAGAAAGCTGCTGGCGATGTGCTGCACTTATTAGCGCAACATTATAAATAAAAACACTAAAATAAAAATTAAAGTATTGAGAAAAATATGTGCACTGCTGAATAATAATATTGTTGCTTCCTTTTTTTTGAGAAAAAAAAACTGCATATGTGTTGACAGCGACAGCAAATTTTTTTTTGGACAGAGTTTCAAATACCAGTGTGCAAGACAGCACACAAACTCAAATCCATATACATATATAAGCACACGGTACTCCCTCATTGTTCAAATGGAATGTGTATTCCTAGTTTACTTTATTTTACTTTATATTTTAAAATAAAATATATCCTACTAATATTATTAAGGAATTTTATTATTTACACATAACCATTAATTAATTATACTTTATTTATTTAAAAATTAACTAAGCTTTATTCTGCTATCAAACACATTCCTATAAAAAAATACTTGACCACAACACATATAACATATTTATTTATAAACAATGGGCAACCAACTGTCTTTTACTTTGACTGAGACCGAGCTGCAGCGCCAAAAGAACGCCGAGGAAATGGACCTGAAGTTGGATCCGCGAGGCATGGCCGACATGATCATGCTGATTGTCATTTCGATGATCTATTCGTTCAATTTCTTGGCTGTCATGTACATGTTGCGGAATCGGAACTATGCGCCAATCAAGTCCAAAAATGTCATAGTCATGGCACTGATCATGGCTGTTTCCGTCGTATGGTTCGTCGGCGACCTGCAGTCCAATGCACATCTACCTGTTGCCGGCACGCTTCTGACCAACTGTAAGGCATTTGGCGTGTGGATGCGGGTTATCATTGGCGCGGGCGGCATGTGCTCTCTGGCCGCGTTTAGGGCATACGGACTGTACCGTGTATTTTACTTGCACAAGCCGTTCCATGGGCTGGGCCTCTACTTGCCGTTTGTCATCTACTGGCTGTGCGCACTTGTTGTTGGGCTGACCTCACAACTTATCAAGCCATCCATGACGACTGAGTACATTCCAGAACTCGACATGTGTACTTACCGCCAGAATTTTCTTACTTCGTTGTTTACTTTTCTCTGGGTGAGCGGGTCCATGGTAGCCATTACACATTGGATGATTCGCAATATCAAGAGCTCGTTCAACGAGACCCACGAGATAATGGCCACGTGCGCGATAATGTTTGTCGTTCTTCTCATCTCGACAATCGTGAATTACATAAACCCGATGTACTTGGTAAACTATACTCTGCGCATACTGATTACGTCGACCAACCATTTTGCAGCCAACTCTCTGTGGTGGCTTATCATGGGCAAGCCCATCTACAAGTGCATGTTTGATCGGAATCGCTACTACACATGTGGATACACAAGCTGCGCAAGGACGGACTGCAGAAGGAGTACGAGGTCGATACAAAGTCGCTTTTGGCCGACCATATTGTCCTGACAGACTCTTACGGCAAGTGTGGCAGGTCGGTGTCAGGGAGTACGGTTTGCTACACGAACACCGGCTCCTTCTACGAGCAAAGTAACAAAATTCCGCACTCAAGGATGTTGACTCCAGAGACACCGCTTACGCCAACTTTGTCCTGTCTTCCAAGAGAACCTCGTTTCTGAATGTAGACGCTGCAAGTGAACGGGCCATTCGGATTTCAATTGGAGATGGTCTATGTCAGGGGCAAATCCTGACTGACTGTCCTGACCACTGCATTGTAGCACTCAATGAGTCGCGGCTGTACGCACCGATTTCAGTTCCCGATGCTGCTGCCATGCCGCCGCTCAAGCTGAGTGCCGCTCACGTCAGGCACCTGGACTATTACAACCAATCCGAGCGTCAGCTGCTCTAATTTTATTATTAGTTTTATTCATGTAACCCCAAAAATATAATTTTTTTTAAAAACATTTTCTTGGGTCGATTTTATAGTTATCAAGATACCATTGATAACATCTTTAACATAACTAAATGTATGATATATATGAAATTTGTTAAAACTTTACAATGTTTATATTGTTTTGTAACTAGTATTTTTTTTTTTTTTTTTTTTTTTTTTTTTTTTTTTTTTTTTTTTTTTTTTTTTTTTTTTTTATAACTACAAACACATATACACAAGTGCTAAAAAAATTTTTATTTAATACTACACTCTGCTACGATGTTTAAAAGTTCTCCTTATTGTAATAAAACTTTGTTCCGTCCTGTCCCTTGCTTGACCACTTCTTCGCAGCCGACCCAATAGTGGAGCCCATCTTATGAGGCCCACAAAAGAATACACCAACATCTGTCGCTGGATGTTCATGCGCGACAGCCCTGAAAATCAGATCCAAATTGGGTCTCCCAAACTTCGTGGGACTGCGCAACCCCGTAATGGGATCAACGTCGCCGACATTCAAGTGAATATGCGTCATCTGCGTAAAATTCAGCTTTCCCGTCAAATACGTATGGATCTCAATCATACTATCGTCCTGACCGACTGATGGCCGACCAAGGGAGTAGGATCCAATATCATGGTCCATTTCCAACCGCGCCTCGTCTTCCTCCTCGATGGCTTTGAGGAGATCCTGAAACCACTCGAACGACTTGGTGTCTCGCTGCGTCCAGAAAAAATATACCTTGCGCAGCCGGAATGACCCCTCGGGGTAGCTCAGTCGATACCAGATGGACTTGAGCACGCTGGCAAAGGGCGTGCACCCAATACCCGCGCAGAACAACATGGCGATCTCATGGTTAAACACATCCTCCGACGCCGAGCCAAAAGGTCCATCCACAAGCACCTGCGGCAATATGTTGGCCGTCTGATGGGGAACAATGGATGGCTGTGAAGACGCAGAGGCACCCAGGCGGTTGGATATGACTCCCATAGGCATGGATTCCCACTCCTCATCCTTGTCACCATTCACAATGGCGTGCAGCTCCTGCATGTCGTCGGCAACCGCCGTCGACCCGCTGCCACTGGGTCTCCCCGATGATCCCATCTGGCTCTCAAGCAAGTACTCGTCCTGCAACTGCTTCAGCGTCGGAACTTTAGACGCATCATCACCCATCGGTCCGCGATTATTCAGGTAATGATGGTGGCTGGGTGCAGCAGGATGTCCAGTATTTGCCGACGACCGCGACCGCATCCGGCCATTGCTTGTAGTGGGCCTTTGAGAGCCGGTGACATACTGGGACAGACGCGAGGTCAGGCTCGCACGCTGGTTCTGGTTCTGGCTACTAAAGTAGTTGGTCATGTCCTCGAGTCCACTACCATCAGACCGGTCGATCAGCAGCATGGTGTTGCGGCGGTTACTCGACAGGGCGTATTGCGGCGCTCGCGGTTACCCCGGGCAGCAGAGAGCGGGGAATACGCCATGCTGTCCCTACCAAGCGCATACGCCGATCCAGGAGCACCAGGTGCAGGCAGCACACCGGCATCCCTAATCGCCTGGGAGTCGGCCAAGGGCTTCTTGGTCTTTCTTGCACTCCTCGGCTCAGCATCCGCATTGCCACTCGCCAAGGAAACCTCCAGGGCCTTCCAGTGCTCATCCTTGGCACCCAAGGCCTCCGAAAATGACTTCGTCCAGTCACCGACAACCCGAACATGCACCGAAACGTAGTCCTCCTCAGGCGCACTCGTCAGCGTGAAAGGGTGCCACTGCTGCGTGGACACTGCCGGACAGCACAAAAACGCATACTGGCCGGCCTGACCTTGAACCCGCGGGGCTTCTTAAACTGCACCTCGATGACCTTGCCCGGATGCAAAATAACCTTCTGCACTTCATGTCCTTTGCCCTCCAGTTTGCCCTAAACTCCCTTGAAAGCCGCTCGAAAAGATAAATGACGCCACTGGCCACCCAGTACTTCCAAAACGCAGCACCTGTGCTGCAAAACGGCGGCAAATTGGACTTTAGCAAGCAAAAGCCGCCGTGGATCGAGAAGCAGGCAAAGTAAAGCACGTACAAGTGATGCAGGTTCCAGAATAAATTGAAATGCTTCTGCCGAATCTTCACATACCCGGTGACGCCCATAATGATCATGCAAAACATCATCAAGTGGCCGGTGATGCTATGGCCGGTGGTAAATAGGATCCGCCAGTATGGCACGCCAGTGACCTGCGACACGACATAGTAGTTCCTGTAATGCGCGCCGGCATGCACCAAGGTGAATAGAAGAATAGAGTAGCCGACAAGCTTATGGAACAGCAGCGCGTGGTCAAACGGAATAACGCGATTCAACGGCGTCGTGCGAATCCACGAAATAACCGTGCGGCAAATAGGCAGCAGCACGAGGGCGGTGTTCACGTGCAGGACCAGTGCGGCGGACCGCGCTGCTATAAAGGAGCCGCCGAGGAGCTCATGCATATTTTGCCACAGCGGGTAGTACCGGTAGTTGACCGCCGCCAGGGAGTAGAGCAGGGATTGGATGAGAATCCAGAACCCCAGGTATAGGTACATTTTTCCGTCGTTGATCATCCAGAGCTCGAGCCGGTGGAGCAGCGTGCGTTGTCGCGGACGAACGTCCGAGTATGTTGAGTTTTTGAGGTCCAACATTTTTGGAATTTGGAGTAAGGAAAATACAGTAGTAATAACAATAAAGTGGAAAGGACGAAGAAAATGAAAGTGAAGGAAGGTGAGAGATGAACAAATTATAAAAGGCGGTGTCTGTGTGTGTGGATGAAAAGCGAAAGGAGAAAAACGAGGTGGACCAAAATAGATCTTGTGCTCCCCTTTCAGCCCGTCCGTCTTTGGTGTGGGAGCGAAAAAAGGGTGTATTGTCGATGATTTTTCGCAGAAAGGAATAATGAAAATTATTTTACACAAAAAGCAGATTAAAAATGGCACGATTTTAAACGAAAGAATGAAAAGAAAAAAGGCCAATATAAATTTGTCCTTTCTTTCAGTCACAATCACCCACCCCCTTTTGATTGCGTTCACACTGAAGAGGGATATCATCCAACCAAAAAGTCCGGCACTCCGTCATCGCAAAGCAGCATATCGAAATCGTGGTCGGCACCATCGTGGTCGGAACCATTGTTCCTTCGGTGATGCTTCGCGCTGCCGCTGCCATTGTTGCTGTCACCACCGTCAGCAAACAGAGCCGGGCGCTTGCGCAATAATGGCTGCGTTTCCGACTGCAATCCTCCTCGCGTGGCGACAGTAGACAGAACAGGCAGCGTCGTCATCGCTTCGCTCGTCAGCGACAACCGCGCCACACCCGGCCACCCGGCGTCAGCGTCGACCTCGACGTCGCCAGCCAGATCATCCCAGCGCCGCGCCAGCTGCAACGCCCGGCTCCTGGCCGCGCTGGCCGGCTCTGCTGCGGCATCCACCGGCGCCGCAGCGGCCTCAGCCAAACACCGCACGGCCCAGCCAGCGCCTCCAGCAGCGGTGCCATTCAGAGCAGCGGCAGACGGACTCAGGCAGCAGCCGCCGACCGCGCGCTGCAGCTCCTCGAGCCGCGCCCTCAGCCTCCCGAGCCGCTCCACGCGCTCGCTCTGCGCGGCCAGCGCTTCCTGCAGCACCACAAGCCGTGCGCCGACATCCGGCAGCAGCGGCGGCTCCGCCCGCGCTTGCCGCGCAAGCTGCAGCGTCGGCGACGAAAGCGCGCCGCGCAGCGCGCCAACGCAGGCGCCGGCCATCCGCACGACAGCGTGCAGGTCGACGCTGGCGCCGCGGAACGGCTGCACGTGCTCGGCGCCCAGCCACCGCGCCCACTCATTGGCCAGCTGCGGCGCCGGCGCAACACGCACGTGGCTGCGGTCGAGCCGCACATTGTTGGCTCGCCGCTCAACCACCGAGTCGACCGTCGCCACCGCCGCCGCGTGCCGCTCGACCCACCCGGCACTGCGCTCCCATAAGGCGCGCGCCTCCGCTGCCCGCCGCTCCAGCGCCCGCTCTATATCCTCGGCCGAAGCATCGACTGCCGGCACATCGGCCGCCTGGGCCATGCGGTGCCGGCACGTGCGGAAGCGACGATGCACGTGGTCGCGCTGCTCCCGCGCCCGCGCCGTCTGCGCCTCGGCAGCGCTCTTGGCCGCCTGCCACTGCCGCTGCGCACGCAGCCGGTCGCTGGTCCGCCTAGCGTACCGCTCACGACACGCCGCAACGCCCCCCTGGTCCTCCTGGTCCCCCCGGTCCCCCTGGCTATCCTTGTCCCCTGGCCGCGCCAGATGCACCCGCCACGGCCCATCAACCAAGTGTACGGCCACGACGCGCGCCAGCGCCCACAGCATCGACTCGAAGCGCACCCCGCGGCTCTCATCCACAAACGACCTGCGCACTGGCACATCGCCGGGCCACCGCCCATCCTGCCGCTCCAGCGACTCGCGCCGCAGCTCGTCGAGCCACCGGAACACGTGCGTGCGAAAGCCCCGTGCTTGTCGCGGATCGGCGATTGGCCAGCAGTCTGCGAGGTCGCGTTGCGCCCGTGCGCTGTCGAGGTGCGTTAGAAGAAAGTGCAGCAGAAGCTCGGCCGCTTTGGCGTGGAAAATGCCGGTTTCGAATACCTGCGCGTCCAGCCGCACGCCTGAGTACGACCCTGCGCACGCCGCCGATGCGTCGAAGCCCATTGCAAGGATCGTCTGCCAGAACTCGCGCCGCCGCTCATCGGCGCCGGCTGGCTGGGCGCGACAGTGTCGTTCATCGTCTGATATGCGCCTACACTTCGAGAAAGCCCACCTGCAATCTGATCAGTGGATTGTGATTATCATATGTGCGTGTCGGAATTCATACAGAACATTATTGGAATGGATGCGTGCTCAGCTGTGGGTGCTTGTTTTCAATGGGATTCTGCACAGCGACTGTAGAAACGCCGTTGCAAAAGACAAAATGCTGGTTGACTAGTACGCATAGAACCCAACAACAAACCCAGAAAATGGCATGAATAAATGTCGATGGTTGCCTTTACGGCACAACACCCAGCACACAAAAAGTAAACACCCTTGTGTCTTGGGCGCTTTGCGTCTTATAGAATGCAAAAAGAACAACTCACAAGAGATGTATTGCAGAAAACACAGCCGCCTATAAAAACCATCGTGTCCTTCCTCCATTTCTTCCTCTCTCCTTCTCACCCAGATCCAACCGTCTAGCCGAAAAACCGGGCAAAAATAGTGTGGGAATAACAGGGTAATGACATTACTGTGTGTTTACCGAAACGCCCATTCTCCTTTAAAGAAAAAGATAGCCACAAGTGCTATGTCTAATACACACCATGCCCCTTCCCTTCTCTAAATGGCATACACAAACGTGTAGAATGCCGTGAAAATAAACCAAAAAACACTGCAATTTTAAGGCCAAAATCTGGGTGGGTCGTCGGGCCTTTTTCCCCACTATGCTGACTACGAAAATCAAGGGCATTCAAGACCTAGCAAGCACACGCAATCTTGCAGCCACTGCCTTACCCCCTTTCCCATTCCAAGGAGCGAGTCTCACTCAATCTTCCCCTTAAATCAAACCAAACTCACTCCCAACCTTGGCCTTACACAGCTGGTAAAGCTTATGGCGAGAGAAAGGAATGAGAGAAGGGAAAGCCAAATAGAGTTAACAGAAGCTCCTCATTGAGCGGGAAAAAAGAATATAGTATCCCGTCAAACCTTTTACTATTAAAGTACATCATTGCACAAAGCCTCCATTCCAACTTCGAGTAAAAGTCCCAAGACGACAGACGGTTTCGTTGCTGCTGCTGCTTCTCCAAATGCGTGAATTGAAATGTACCTTTATATAATAAAATATTGAAAATTGAATAAATGTACAGAAAAAATATAGAATTAAAAGCAATGCGAGTTGAAAATGCAAAAATAAAAAATAATAGTAATGAAAAGAAGAGGAAACAATTCCCAACACGCGTTTCGTTTCAACTCACGAAATAACAATGCAACACTTGTTTGATCGCCAGACCAAACCAGTGCAAATCAAATCAAATCAAAACGAAAGATAAAAAATGAAATCACTGTATCAAACCCCCAACCTGTGGGGGGTAGGGTAGCCTTGGATATTGTGTTTACACACTTACCTTTACATTTCGTTGAAAGGTAAATATGAGTTATAAACCCTATCAATAGAGGTAAAACATTAAGTGCGATTATTTGGCAGAGACTCAGCAGCCGCAGCTGGGCGCAAAGCCAAGGAGCCAACCCTCTGCTGTGCGGCTGCTCATCCAAGCGGGCAGTGCATGTATTTGGTTTATCCACATATTATGTCGATAATCAGCCGCAAAATACAACCTAAGCGATAATTTGAAAGTGAGAAAAGCAGACTCGATTTGAATGAATATATTGATATAAACTTGATATGCTGATCTGTGCATTAAAACTATTAACGCATCCATGATATTGACTCCGGTTGTGCCAGTGGGGGGGGGAGCACTGTCAGAAAAACAAAAACAGCATTCCCTGTAAGGATTGTGGAGCGTCAACAACCCAAGGGACGGGGTGGCTATCCAATAAAACCAGGCACGCAGCTAGCGGGGACACTCTAAAATGGCTGTCTGGATTAAAATAAGTTGCTGTCAGTATAAGTTGTTGTCAGTCTCTGTGAGGGGAGTCTGTCTTGACGAGGTCTCAGCGAGATGAAGATGGGGGTGCGAAGCACGAGGAGGACATTGACGCGGCAAAATAGCGCTGCAGCTTGCAGGCTGTGAATAAATCTACCCCTTAGCCCAGAGCTGATTTTCGTGGGATTTCATGTTTCAAGCAATGAAAAAAGATAAAGGTCTTATCCCGTTAAATACAGCGAACATAGCAAACACTTTTTATCTGTTAGTTTTTTATTGCAGCGGCAAAATATATTACGTATTTCATATTAAGGCTTTCGTGTGCGCTGATTTATTGAAGGTATTTGAGATTTCAATTGCTCAGCTGTTTTGTCAGATTGTTCTATATCAATTATTCTAAAATACCCTTTCAATATTTTTTGTCATTTGATAATTCGACCCTATTGAATGTTTCTTCAAGCGTTTCCTGATAAAAGTCAATTTTTAAATTAAACACTCTTGGTGAGATTGGTCACTAAGCAGTATTGTCATAATTACTACTTTACCGGAGTATTCTAACAAAAATAATACAAAAAATTACATTTTTATATTTCTATTGAAAACATATTTAATAAAGGGTGGCTAACAATTTCACCTTTTTGTGCGACATGGAATTTCATTACATGGTCATATAACAATAAATCTTCAAGCGTAATTTTATCCTTAAATACACTGTATACATGTATCGAGAATTTATTTCCTGGCTAGTAGACGTCCCTGTGTAGTTGCGTTGCGAGTCATAACGTTAATTTGCAGAAAACTGAATAGTATGAATAAAGCAGGCAATTGGATAAATGACTAAATGACTGAATTTATAATGGTGAAAATAATAAATAAAATTGTTTAAATGGGGGAAGAGAACTGTCTTGCTTGTATAGTTTCAGATGGCTGTTATGTTGTTGCACAGACTGAAGACATGAAGTAGATGTTGAGGTTGAAATCATAAAGCAAGCTTCCATCTGCATGCCAATTGATAGGACATTAATTGGATTATGCAGGCATAAATTAGGGACATCATAATAATGCCCAGACATGCTCCCCATTTTGCAAAGCACACGTGTGAGTACACACACAAAAACCACAACACTGACTTCCAAAGATACCGGTCTGCTCACAGAAAAACCAGTTTTTGCCAACGGAGTACACAATGGGCAATGTGCACAGCAAAGGTGACGAGGTACATATATAAGATGAGGCCTGTGATACAAGGAATTGCGGCTTGTCTCCGGCTATTGATTAATTAATCAATCGCTAGTTAATTCCTGACTCGACATGCAAGGATATTCCATACGAGCATATAAATAGCAGAGTAATACAAATAATTGATGCGCTACTCATTAGCTTTATTTTAGTTCATTGTGTTTAATACATATTTTTAACATAACAAGGCCGGCGCTAGTAGTACTTTAGAAATATCAGTAATAAAACACTTTATAAATTCACCTCCCATTTTTCTAACACTAGGCAACTAGTGCTCCTCACACACACCCCTCTTAATAACAATGTAATGCGTGATTTTTTTGCTATATAGATAGTAATTCGTTTTATATTTTTTGAGAGCAAAAATAACCATTTTAAAAATAAAGACGATTTCAAAGCGAAATATAAAGCAAAATAAGCAGTTGCCATGCTAGAGCAATTGCAGTGACTGGATGCTATTTTACCAATGTATGCATGTAAAGTGGCCTTGTTTATTATACAAAGGGAAAAGGGAATGCCGCTGTCATTTTCGAGTTGTCCATTTTATTAAACAGTTTTACGTACTATTCTAAATTGCACTGACATGATGGAATTCATGACATGATTTCATACATTTACTTGTAAACTTCTGCATTTTTTATTTGATTTTAACAACACCAAACACGGGATATCTTTGACAATGACTACACAATTTGTTTGGTAGTTGGAATTGGTTGACAGCCCAATCAAAGAAGCAAGTATAATTTCATAATTAAATTAAACATATGCTTATGGTTAAATCATAAAATTATACAATGCAATTATTGTTTATTGTTTATGTCTGACAAATCAACCAACTCCAGGTGGCCAAATGAGTTTGTATTGCATAGCATCCCAACACATGCTTAAAAAATAAAGGCAATAGCTCGCTATGATTTAGGATATTAATTATTGAGCCACTTCTTGCGAATTGAGGCTTGGGCTTGGACTTTGGTTTGGGCAAAGTTTCGGGGAAATCTCGGACATCGCTGTAGTAGACTCAGGTTTAGCCGAATAGAACAATACCTTTTTGCGCAAAAAAGGGATACCGTTTGCCTGTAAACACGGCATTGAGGATAATGCAAAAGTCCAGCGCCTCAGCCATGTCACGATTCCACTTCTGGCTGCCTGATGGCACTTTTTGGTCATCATTAATCTGCAATCTCATGAATATCTCACGTGTGTGCTACCTTTCCCTACCCTTAGCAAAATGATTTAACGCGCTATCATTTAACAAAATGTAAAGGTAAGAGTATAAACAATCACCAAGGTTACCCAGTAGTTTTGGAGTTTTGTTACAGCGTGGCTGTCAACCGATATATTTTTAATCACCCATCACTGATTGTTCAATATTTAATTTAGCACTGTCAAATTAACAATGTATTTATTTAGTTGCTTTCAAATTGCAAGCAAACAAAAAGCACACATCAGCAAGTATGTAAATCCATGTACACAAACTGTAAAAAAAAACTATTGTTGACTGCAAGTAGTGCACATGTAGTACACATGGTCAAAATAAATCAGTGCATGCGACTAAAAATAAAATGCTTGTTTTCCAATCTTTCTCTTGTTTGTCACCATTCACTACTCTTCTCTTCGCCTCACACAATTTTGGGTGTTTTTTAACTCTTAATCAATAGTCAAGGCTTTAAAATGTCTTTTACTCTTTAACATTTCAGACTCTTCCCAGTTATATTATCGACAAAATCGTGGCATACACACTGGCGCTTCCCGCGTCGCTGGAATATGATAATTCGCACAGTGTCGGTATAGCACTTCGCATAATTGACAACCTGTCCGCTGTTAGCCACAAGTGGCGGGCCGCCGCGCTTAAAAATAAACCATTGTCGCTCGAGATACAAAGCCGGGAGTACTCGGACAGACTTTATGTATTGCAATATCCCGAGCCTTCTTACCGCAACGACAATTGCACAATTTGCGAACCGTTTATCGTCAAAAAAATTCAGCTTTCAATTGACTTTCCGCGCATATTTAATGGCAACGCCCTTGACTCAAACAAATTCTCGGGCCAAATGCGTTTTTCCCGAGTGTGTTGCAGGTTATCCTCAGCACCAGATTCTACACCCGATGCGAGCCCGAGCATTTATATGATGCGCAGTACAATATGTCCGAGTTTGTCGGCTACCTAAAGCGCCTGGTGCGAAGCTCGACAGAGTTTGCGTATCAAAACACGGGAAACTATGTTGTGGACGGCGAGCAGATTTCGCTTTATCTCGGTAGCCTCGGAAACCAACTTTTTGAGGGGGCCAAGAAGATAGCGCATCACCCCAACAACAGCAATCTTCCTATGCCCTTTGATTGCTCAGCGATTTCGGGGCTGACTCACATCGAGTACAACTGGCTGTATACCAGTAATCATTTCATGCGGGTTATCCGCATAAGCTCCCAGACATTAGACACACTGACAATCAATTCTCACTGGAACATTGACCTGAATGAGCTCATTTACAACGACGACAAGTCTGGCACAGTAGTGACCTACCCGATGCTGTGCTCCTTGTACTTGGATACGGCTAACGAAGATCAGAGCGTAGCCGACCCGACATCATGCAATTTTGAGCCATTCCCGCGTCTAAAGAGCTTGCGCGCAAACACAAAGTACGTCCTGGATTACGAGTACTTGCTTTGCGACTGCCTCGACACTCTCGAGTACCTGAAGCTTTTTACAGATGACGCGTATATGCTTCGTTTGTATTCTAGCAGCGTTTTTCTTGACAGGGAGGCCTCCCAGCTGCGGTGTTTAATTTTACATTGCTCGGACGATGACGAACTCGAGTACACGCATATGTGGACTTGCCAATTTATGCGGTGGATAATTTGCACAATGCCGAGTATCCAGATTCTGCAGTTTTCGCATATTTTTGACTGCTCAAGCCTCCGCGACGCTATTTGCGACACCAACACGACATTTGAACACATCCAGGTGTTGAATATGCCGAGTTCGTCGATTACAATGTTCACAATTATTTCGTTGCTTCGCACGCTGCCTCACCTATCCGAAATTACCAGCCTCATGGGTGGATATGGCGATTGCCCGCAGGACTGGTGTCGGAGCACTATCTTGCAGGCATGCGTTCGCTGTATTTTCCGCTTGGAAAGAATTTTAAGTCATGGCGCATCAGGGATTCGCCTGATTCTTCAGAGCTTTATGTTGCCAATCGCTTGATCACGCTGGCAGTCATTTGTCCCAACTTCTTGCCGAGAAATGTGTCGGATAATATGGACGCTGATGGCTGTGAGCTCGTTGAAGATGCATTTAGCAACGGGCATTTTGGCATGTTTACAGAACACATTAGGTGGTTTTTCAGCTTTTTTTAGCTTAGCTTAATTTTTTATTGATTTTATTTTATTTTCAATTGTCAATTGTCAATTTTGAATTGATTTTCACTGCTCTGGACAGACTTTGCTGCCTGTAGAATGGTAACTAGATTAGCAAGGCGTGTCAGGGCAGATCATGGAAGCATACACCAAGGAGGCAATACTTTTCACAGACCAATTGACAGCAGCACCAGCAGAGGCACCAAAAGAGGCAATGATAATGGTACTGACACCAAATATAGCACCAGCAATGTCAACATCAACAGTACAACCATTGCTTCTGGCCTTTGAATGGCTGCCAAAGACCTCATCCACGATAGTCACCACCATCCTCTGGGCGATGAATGTGGCAGTGAATAGAAAGGGTGTTTGGAATCACAAGAACTCCTGGTAACATCACCAATACAAGGAATTCCATCCATTGCTCCTTTGCATTAAGGATGCTTCTGCGCTCACTGCCTATAGCAAACGAACAGTGTAAATGATACCCCAATGCATACCCTAAACCACAGATGCGTTTATGCCCGTTGTCTGGCTGCCAGACCATTGAGATGCAGGGTCACATGTTTATATGTCCATGACGGGAGCGCAAAACTCTGACACGAGAGGACTTTCAATGGGCTCTTTGGGACCCAGCCACAGATCTCGCGGCTGAGACGGTCAACAGCCCCAAGTGTATCCAGGACCGACAGATGACATTGGAGGAAATCAAGAATCATGTGGATGCCATTACCAGGACAAAAAAGCTAGACTTGGATATGAGACGCAGGTGGCAGGAGCTTACAGAGGACAGGTACACAATGCTGGTCAAGAAACTCCAAGGGATTGCACAAAACAAGCAACAGTGCTTATAAACATAATCATAGATAAACAACATTACTGGTGCAAAGGACATCCAACCTACAGATTGAGCGGGAAATGAAGGAATCCTTGACCCCTGTGCAATGTCAATTGTTGATTAGACTCCAATCTCAACAACATCTCGAATACAAAATCAACACCTGCCGAAGTGACCGCGGGCAAACAGCAATGAGGACGGTAGATATGCACATCAGCTATCTGGCGACGATTGATGCTCTAGCTGAGAGATCGAGTGCTTGGGTTTAATTTTACTAACATCTGGCGGACACTTCCACCGCCAGGCAATTAGACACAGGTCTGGAAAAATCCCAACCACACTGCCCTTAAAGTAAGTTTTATTATAGGGGCATGTAGCCAGGTCTTCAATAGAGCCATGACAGGCAAGGTGGCGCGGTAGACTATCAGTTTAATCATTAACTTTAGCTCATGTTTTTTACTTGTTTTATACTTTGCACAATGTATCTATTTTTATTTATTAATAATACCATGCATTATTAGTTTAATAATTGTTTTATTGTCTGTATGTTGCCACAAGTTTAATTACTTAGACTCGCATTTAAAATTACACATATTTGTAAATGAAAAATGAAGTCACTATATGAAATTATTTAAATAAAACGCCAAACCTGCTAAATAAAACCCAATAACCTTTTAAGCTGTCACAATGTATGTCACTTAAATGAGGATACTCGGCACTGTACTTTTCCTTCAAGGGCCTGAAGCCTTTGTTAATGTTGGACTCCACAAGAAAATAGGTCAGAGAAGACACGCATAAAATGAGTTCCAGGAATGCGTCTTTCAGTGGTTCACAAATAATACAATTGTCATTGGATCCAAGTATAATATTTTTCACAGAAGTGGATCATGGCGCTGCAGTGGACAAACTGGCGAGATCGGGGGACCTGAGCTGCTCAAAAAGTTGGAATCATATGTGTCCTCACGTATACTAAATTCTAAGCTTCCGGGTTAGTCAGTGAGGGTAGGCGAGAAAGATGCGCCGAAATCGTCTTAGTATTAATATAACCTGAAATGGTCAATAAAGTAAGATTGATCCAGTTGGTTTTAATTGTGACGATCTTGACGCAGGCAGAATCAAGATCCAGCGCTGCTTGACCATCAATGCGCAGACGGTTGAAAAATATGTTTGTCATCTCGTAGAAAGTTTCCATGTCTGTCACACCGTGACATCTTATTATCCCAATCTTGAAGTTGCCAAATCCGTTGAATTTGTGCCAGAAAAAACGACTGGATCGCTTGAATTGACCCCGGAACGTGAATATTGGGCATGTACGCAGGAAACAGAGCAGTGCTGAACAAGTTAATATCATAATTACAATGATCAAGACGCAGATACTCAATAACAGGGAAGCTCATCTGAAAGTTATGAGTGAGCTCAGAACCCCCATTGTCCGTCCCCGTATGCTGAGAATTAACAAAGAAGCTAATACTCAGCTTTTTCAGTTGGGCAAAGCTAATGCTGCCAGAGATTTGGTTGTTGGCAACACTGGCCCATGAGAAGCCAGCAGAATAACTGTGCAACCAATGTTTTGAGATCATCGGCGTTTACCCTTGAGAGGCTTTCCGCAGTCGGTGGCTTTATGGTGAGAGGAAGGTGGGCGAGTTTGTCCGAAAACGCAGCCACAGAAATCGGGTAGGTGGCAGAATTCTTGAGCAATGCATCTGTGCGCCTATGGGTCTTAGCCTGGGTCACTTGCCTGGATCGTGGCCCCCTGAGGGGTTCTCAACAGGATTATAAAGTGATTTATTAGTAAAGAGAACTTTGTCGAAATTAGCAGCTTTATCCCTCTTTTTAAAAGGATTATTAAACTGCTATATTTTGCACTTTCTTGCATTGCTATGAAGAGAATACCTTCTTGGCATCCATTCTTTCCATCTGGCACAAAACTATTGTTGTGATAATAGCCACAAATAGTGAAGCAATTCCTACTCTGTCGATAATGAATGCTGTTTCGTGCATATCCAATGTTGTCACCAACTAATGTTCCTTTGTGAGGGGGCAACATTCATGATCAATTAATTGTGAACACTGATCATTAAGGTGGCTAGGCTACCTTATGTTCGCCATCGTCAACATCCATTTTGTCATTATTGGCTGCTAGTCCTGTGATGCAACAATAAAAAATTACATGGTCAAAATCTGAAAACTAAAGAGTGCTTGAAAGCAAAAAATAATGAGATATTATTAAATATGCTTGGATAATAATTAATTTCTGCCTTGGATTTTCTGGGGGTGTTTGAAGCTAAAACAAAATTGATTTTAACTGCGCCAATTGTATTTTTATTACAATTTTTTATAGGTTAATTAAAGTTGCATATATTGGTTGATCGCCTCGACCAGCATAGCTAGACCCAGAGGCAAAATATGACAATTGATGATTTTCTAAAAGCTGGCAACCCATTTTGCCCTCAACTATTTTCTAATTTTACATTTTGTTATAATCAACTGTAAGAGCATATGCAGTATGCGCACACGCACAAACACGTGCATGAGCAAAACCAGCATATCTCTACCCCTCTCTGTCTTTCAAAAGAACTATTAGTTGTTCAAAAATGCACATTTTATTTGTTATTTTTTATTGCTTGCTGTATGTTGCACGCATATTTTGTAAAAAATGCATGCACACGCTTGTTTTTATCAGCGGAGCCTTGCAGCCAGTATGTGAATAAATCAGGGATAGGGGGGCCCACTTTTTTCTTTGAATAATCAAGCCACATTCGCATATTGCGTCTGCGCTTTTATTTGTTTCCCACTCCCTATTTCCAGGTATATCCAGGAACCCTTCGCTCTCCCCCCACACAAACATAAAACAACACACTATTCACTGGCATCTTCTTTTAGTTATACTCACTACGCTTTTTACTACAATTTAATTAGACTGTTTTTATCATTACATCAACTACAAATACACCAAATACAATAAATACAACAATGAAGTCGTATCTCGTGCCAGACTCCGCCGAGCAGGGCTACTCTGCAATTATGCGCCGCGGGGCAACGAGGACGGCATGTTCCATGATCCGCACCACACATAACAACAGTTTACGAGCTCTTCCAGCACCGGGTCAATATCTCGCCCAACACCAACCTCATCGGATCGCGAAGGTTTGATCCTCTCACACGAAAGTTTGGCGCCTACGAGTGGACCTCAGCCGCCCAGGCCGCTGAGCTCGTGGAGCAATTTGGGTGCGGCCTCGACCACGTTTACCAAAAGCACGCACCAGCGGCTGCCACGACTGGCAACGGCAGCAGTGAGCGCAGCAGGCGCTGGGAATCTACTCAATCAACCGTCCCGAGTGGCTGCTGGCCGAGTTTGCTGGGTTCCGGTCTAGCAAGTATTCGGTTGCGCTGTACGACACTCTGGGCGCTGACTCTATCGAGTTTATCATTGAGCACTCCAGCGTTGCTGTAGTTGTATGCTCTATAGACAAGGTGCCCAAGCTGCTGAAGCTCAAGGACAAGCTGCCAAGCCTCCAGGCCATCATATCGATGGACTTGTTTGCCGATCACGGAAAAAACCCGGTCGCACTGCCGTTCACTGTAAACTCGATCCGTGTGCTACACGAGTGGGCCAAGTCCAAGGGCGTCGCTCTGTATGACATGAGCGAGGTCGCTCACATGGGCATCAGCAGCTCCACACGCCTCGGCTACCAAAGCCCTCGGACCTGTGCACAATCTGCTACACCTCAGGAACCACTGGCGAGCCCAAGGGCGCCATGGCCACCCACGCGAGCTACGCATTCTCGGCCAAATCCGGCAGTGTAGCAGTTCCGTGCGACAATTCTGTCTACATGTCGTTCCTGCCACTGGCACACTGTTTTGAGCGCAACATCATTTACGCCGGAATGGTGAATAAGGGCTCTATGGGCTTTTACTCGGGCGACATCCTTGCATTGCCGATGATGCGCAGGCACTCCACCCTACAGTCATGGCCGGTGTGCCACGCCTGTTTAACCGCATCTACGACCGCATTGCCGCCGCGACGCTCTACGGACCGGGTCTCTCGGGAGTCATTGCGCGCACGGCTATTAGACAAAAGATGGAGCGCTTGGAGGCTGGCCACGGGACGACACACCCGTTCTGGGACCGCATTGTGTGCAAAAAAATTAGACAGGCTTTTGGAGGCTGCCTGGAGGTTATGATTTCGGGCAGTGCGCCGATCGACGCCAAGGTGCTAAACTTTTTGCGTGTCGCGCTGGCTGTCACCTTTTCGAGGGCTACGCTAGCACTGAGTGCAATGCAACGGCCACTGTCAGTTTGTACAACGAGAATAAGGCTGGTCACGTCGGCGTGCCCAACCCAGGCATAGATATTCGCCTGCGCGACGTTCCCGAGATGAATTATTTGGCAACCGACAAGCCTTGCCCGCGCGGTGAGGTCTTGATCCGCGGCAAGAGCGTGTTTTCCGGGTACCACAAGGACCCGAGAAGACAAAGGCAGTTTTTGACGGCGAATGGCTGATCACTGGTGACGTGGGCCAGTTTAACGAGGACGGTAACCTCAAGATCATTGACCGCAGGAAGAATATTCTCAAGTTGGCCCAAGGAGAATACGTCGCTGTAGAGTTCCTTGAGACTGTGTACTCGCGGTGCCCGCTGATTCAGAATATATTTGTGCATGGCGACTCTCTACAATCCTCTCTGGTGGCCGTAGTTGTGCCTGATCCCGAGACCTTTTTGCCATGGGCACAGAAAATCACGGGTAACAAGGTCGCCTCGCTCGCTGAACTGTGCAAAAATGAGCAGGTTGTAGGCGCGCTTTTAGTTGAGCTGCGCGTGCTGGGCCGCGAGACTAAGCTTCAGGGCTTTGAGATTGTCCGCGAGATTCACTGTGATTCTGTGCCGTTTGACATCGAGGGCAATGGCTTGCTGACAGCAACTTTCAAGCTCAAGCGCAACATTGCCAAGGAGTACTACGCCATGCAAATTCAGAACATGTACGCCAAGATCACAAAGCCAAAGTAAGCGAGAGGATTTAGACAGAGCGGGGCTATAGCATAATATTTTGATATACTAGAAATATACACAAACTTAAATAATTCAATTTGAAGCAATTTCCAGCGTTGGCTGTAAAGCTCGACTACAGAATATATTGTGTATGTTATATTGTATTAATAATAATTTATGAATACTATTGAAAAGTTTGAACACAAAAACAAAAAAGCTACAGGTTTATCGATTGAAAGCTCGCTTGGTGAGTACGGCCCGAAAATGGCGCGCAAGTGTGGATACTCGCTGGCATACAGCTCCTTGTAAAATGCCACACTATTGACGTGCTGAAGTCATTGTCTTCTATTGGAAGCAACATGTCCAGTATTTAGTAGCTGTAAAAAAGCTTAGTTTAGGCAGACATTGAATCAGCTGCTAGACCATCTGGTAGCTAACGGCGTTATGTATTTGAAGAGCCGTGAGATTAGGGCAGTTTAACGTGGCGGATTAAGCACAGCATGCTTCTGGACACAACCAGAGTGCTTGCCTACTGACGTCACTTGCCTAAACAAAAAGTTAACGACACTGTAGAAATCATTATTAAAGGTCAAGTTTGACAAACCAAAGCTCATAGGAATGTTCCCACGTGATGCAGCTTAAGGTTGACCAGCAGCAAAAGTAAAGAGAATGGACCATTGAGCCTTAGACTGTTGAGTTTGACGGGGAAATTGGCGCTGAAAATCGGACAAAAACAGAACTGTCCACTAATAATTCTTCAGCTTGGGGATGTGTGTCAGCCACCTGGATGTTGACGGTTTGAAGATGAGTTGCTGATTTGTATCCCTATTAAACGAAATGCAAAGACGCTGTAATTCTTGCGAGTTTACTAAAGGCAAGATCTGAGGAGTGTATGTGTGCAGGGAGAGGCGTACCAGACGTAATAATTTGTCCTTAATGTGTGGCAATTCGAAGCCACGCTCAACCACACGCAGCTGCAAAACAAATTGCTTAACCAAATCTCCAACAAATGACTTTACCCGTCCATCAAACAACGCCGAAAAAGCAACAATGCTTATAATTCCGGCATTCTAGAACCCAGCGATGCTGCAAATTCTATACTTTCAAGCGTTATATCCTGTGTCGCTACTTGGTTATTGCTAGTCCCTTGACTATAGTATATAAATTCGAAGTGATTGGTATTGTGACATTTAAAGTCTTGGTGTAGCAGCACTTGCATGAGCGCCAAAGTGAACGCGAGCTGGTCCACATTAGCTGGCAGAAATACAGTCAGTCTTTAAATCATGCTGTAGCACTGCATCGGAATTACTGTGCCCATGTTGGTGGTAAATTTTGCTCCAGATACCGGTCGGACGCAACAGGATTATAAATACAAGCATTTCTGATGTCGCCTATGCAAATGAAACCATACCAGTAGACCGCGGGCATTGCTGCCTATCTCCATTGACGGCACACTTGCATGTATTTAAATTGATTGCACCACACACGCATGTTTCTGGGATGATGTTGAACGGCCGTGGTCATAATGTGCGCAATAACGTCAAAGTTAAGTCAATCAAAAGACATGTCTGATATTGAAAATAAATAAAAACTGAAAAATAAAAAATAAGTAATGGAGAGTTGTGAATGGTTGTGAAGATTAGTGAAAAGTATTGAGGCGTAATTAACAGCGGAATAATGAGGATCTGGATGAAAATAAGGCTAAGGATGCGTTGTATATGATTTTTAAAGCCAGCCCAATATTCTTTATCGTTTCTAAAAAATATCCTTTGAAAATAATCAGATTTTTGTATCGGCAACCTGAATATAATAGTTTGCCGCCAAGCGAGCTATTTTATTTGGGGCCAGATCTATAAAATAAAATTTTGCAATTGCTCTTTTAGCCAAGAAAAGCAAAGCAGTGATTTTGGCTGCTTTTCAATTTTTTGTTACAAGGAAATTACGCATGAGCTTCTTATTACAACGTTGTACACATTAATGTCAATTTTTTACGTTTGCTTTTAAAGGGTTGAAAACATTGCTAAAAGATTATAGCAAATATGAAAATAAAACTGAAAAGTTAAGACTATATTACAAAAAAACCAAAGGAAACATATTAGCGTTCAAATTGTTTTGTAGCAACATAAATGCTGCTATCTCGAGAGTGATACGGCGATAAATTGATAGTTGAGAGATTGAGCTTTGCAAAATCTAGGCGCATCTCACTCACTAACTCGTTTTTGCCTATTCTCCGACGAGTGTACGCAGCAAACCTCGCCCTTGGTTCGTCAAAAGCGGGCGTCACAACAAGCAATGCCAAGCAAAGCAACCCCTGCGTGCTAGGCATCACAATAGCCAACCCGTAAGTCCACGGGAATTCCTTGGCGCCAAGCTGCAAACTATAGGCCACAACTCGGAAATAACAGGAAGAAAGCATACAAAGCTATCCGCAGAGTGATCCGGCGCGTCTCCTCCTGCTGTATCTTGTCTTTGGCCCGTGGGAGTATTATTTCATCCCAGCTGTGGCTTCGCTGAGTCGAAGCGGGTGCGTGGATTTTTTCAACACTCTGGTTGGCATTACAGGATAGCGATATGTTAAAATAAATACAAACAAAGACGCCTGCGCAGAATAAAATAGTGCCCAGAGTCCATACCAATAAACAATCCAAACCGTTGGCTGGTAAAGAAAGGGCATGCCATCAAAAAAACTGCATGTAAATCTATATCCCACCGCACGCTATTGTACATGTACAAAACCGGATGCGAAACGATAAGGCTCGCAGACAGGGCAATGCACTCGTACAACATCTGGATGCGCCTGGCTACTTGCAATTTTTCCAACAAAACGGTGATAAACAATGAACACAGACTATCAATGCCAAAAACACAACGCACAGTTCAGAAGCCAGAGTAAACCAGAACAACACTCGCAGTGATGCCTCGCTTTGATGGCTGATAATTGATTCGTGAAAGGTGAGAATGCGACATATAGAGTGGATAATACAGGATAGACCATTGATGCTGCGAGGCGGAAGGATGTGCGTGGAAGGATTAAGCGGTCCAAGGTTGCGCAAAAGACGACAATGAAAATGGAGATGGCTGAGGTTATGATGGATGATATGTTCAATGCGTACTCGGCTGTTGCCCAGTTTTTTAATATTTCCTGGGTGTTGTTAATATTGGCAACGCGTGCGCCAGCTACATTGTGTATTGACATTTGCTAAGAAAGTGTGTAGATTAAATTAAATAAATAAAAATATAATAAAATGTTAAATAAGGATTAATAGAATGAAATAAAAAGGATTATAAAACTACTTGCCTTATTGTTTTATACTAAAGCACCTCCTCACATTAGCACTTTATCAAAAATTAAAACCAAAGCAGTTATTGTTTAAAAAAATTGAACGAAAAATGTTAGGTGTCCAAATGTTAGGTGTCAGCACAGTAAAACCAAAGCTCAAAAGTTTTTTATTGAGAAAGGACAAAGGATGTGCCCAATATGCACATGTTCACGTTACATTAACAGCAATCACCAGTTACTCTTTTTTCTTTTTAAACTACGTGAAATGCACATATCTTCAAAAAAATTGACACTGTTGAGTACAACCGAATTATTTTATTGATGGGGAGGCATTAAATGGCATGGAAAACGGAAAGGTTTTTTAAACAAGCCACTTTTATGTTGGTATTCCTATTCGACTAATAAACAAAACTAATTATTTTTAATGTATTTTGCCGTGGTGGTTTTTTTGTGATATTAAACACTTATTTTTGTACAAAGCGAATTTTTCGACCTTTGTCAATTTTATTGTTTTTTTCCGCCTTGATTTTCATTTATTATGTATATATGATTTTTCTTTATTCTGTTTTTGTTTCTTTTTTTTTGCCAGTGGTATGTATCAGCTGCATCGTGCAGTCAAAGAAAAATGTGTACAAAGACAAAAAACAGACAAGCATCAATTTTTTTATTACATTCCAATTCTTGGCTTTCTTATACATAGTAACAAAAATACGAGTACAAAAAAGTAGACGCCTGATAAGCAAAGCAACTAGAATTTGCTGCACTGGACAAAAAAGCCTCGCACTTGCCAGATAGTAGATCCACAGATCCACTTGCTCATTTGAAAAGCCCTGTCATGTGCTCAATAATTGATGGCCACAACTGACATTATAAGTGGATATATCAAATCCATGCGCTGCCCGCTTGGATGAGTAGCAGCCGCACAGCAGAGGGTTGCCCTCCTGGATTTGCGCCTGGCTGCAGCTGCTGAGTCTCTGCCAAATGACCGCACTTAATTCCCAACCTCCATTGAAAGGTGTTATAACGCATGTTGGGGTTTTGTTACAGTGTATTTGTCAACAGGGCCCCCAAGAAACAGACACTGTACCCACCCGATCACCAGCGATTATCCTAAACGCATCCGCGCTCAGCAAAATCCCACCCAATCCACACGCCTCACACTCATCCACAATTGCCGCGCGAACCAGTCCCAGGGGCCCTCGAATAAGCATGCATTTCCCACAAAGCACCGAATCACCCGTTCATCAATATTGCTGCTGCCAATGAATTGTTCTCGATTAACTGCCGCGTAATCCACAAACCCCGATAACGCACAAACACCCGGTGTGTAATTCATCGGTGCGCAGTTTCCAAACGCCGATAGGTGCAGTCCAGGGTCTCCTACATTGGTGCAGTTCCTGCACGGAGAGTCGTTAAGCATGGATAGATAGGTGACCATGATGGAGGAGGCTAGGGTGATGGCAGTTAATGGGCCAAGCCAGGAAATGTTTTTGCCAACGAGTCTTTGAATATGCGGAGTGTTTGCCGCCACCCGGTTCGCATAAACTCCTCGCTACTTGCCGAATCCTCCTCCACATTATTCCCGCTCGCGGTAGAGTTTTTAGTGAGTGCGAGGTATTGGAGGATGGATTTCAGTCGGGTTGTGTGTCTTGTGGGCCGTTCTGCAAGCTGCAGGGTTTGTCGAAGGGTCAGTGAGCCTGTGGTGTATTCTGAGCTGCGCCCGAGTGGTTCTAGTGGTGGGATGTTGGGGATTATCACGTAGTCCGGGGTGTCTATTGGGTGTGCCGGGGCAATGATGGCTAGAGGTGGTTCGATGGATATGGAGTTGGTTGAGGTGCTTTGGTCTGACAAAGAGCATCCTGGTAGGGCAGTCCTGTCGCGGAGCATGGCATGTATGTATCTGTAATTAGTTTAAAAAACATAGAGCAACAAGTGGGAAAATATATTTTTTTAAATAAACGAAATGGTTGGAAAAAGGTTATCTATATATACATTGGAAATAAAAACAAAACATGACTACCAATTTTTTTACAAACATGCATCTGTATCACAGCTCACAAACAAAACCATGAGAAATATTAACATAAACAAACACAAATAAATTCATTAAATATGCTTGTTTTTATTAAAAATAATTATTTGCTGTTGTTCAAAACCAAAACATGTGCTCAACAAGCAATTTGGACTTGCGTTTTCCCAAATAACCTCATCAATCGTATCGTTTCCAATAAACTTATATACTCTCACGTCCTTCGTCTGCCCAACACGATGCGCACGATCCTCCGCCTGCCTCTCCTCCGACGGATTGTTCCCGGCATCATAAATCACCACCACATTTGCCGATGTCAAATTAATCCCAAATCCACCGGCCTTTGTCGAAAGCAAAAACACCGGCAGCTTGTTCCCAGGCCGATTAAACTCATCAATCATAGTCTGCCTCTCATCAACCTTGGTCTGGCCGTCCAAGCGACAATAGTCGATGGACCAAACCTTGAACACCGACTCGAGAACATTGAGCATCGATGTAAACTGACTAAACAAAAGCAGTTTCTCCCCGCGCTCCACACACTCATCGACGATCTCCCGCAGCTTAATGACCTTGGCCGAATCCAACAGAAGAGAGTCAGAGAGCATATATGGCCGCATATGGCGTGGGTACTTGGCGCAGAGCTGGTGCAGTTCAAAGTCACTGCATACTCCATGTCCTCCAGGATATACTGCAGGTTGGCCTCGGCATAATCCGGCTCGCGCATCAGTTTCTTGGCCATTTCGCGCAGCTGGTCGCGCGAATACTGGCTGCGCAGCAAAAGCGGATGGTCGGCCACCTTGCGCATGTCCATAAACGTACTGATCCAGCTATTCCCACTGCTATTACTCCCGGGCTTATTCGTCGCCCCCGCCGTGTCCAGCAAAGCCGAGGCATCCTCCATCCGCACCAGCCGCTGGATTCCTCTGCCGCCGCACCGCCCTGCTGCGCTGGCGCCGCAATCGAGTCGTAGAGCCTGCGCTGTGTGGGCGTCAGATCCATGCGCACGATGATTTCGGTTTTGCTAGGCAAATCACCGAGCACATCGCATTTGCGGCGGCGAAGCACAAATGGCCGCAAAAGCGTCTTGGCCTGCCCAATATGCTGTGCCTCAACAGGGCCCACGGCACCACTGGCGCCAGCGGCAACAGTCGGCGTCTGAGCGCCATCGCCGTCCTCCGACTCCGCCCTCTTCCCTGCGCCACTGGCTGGCGCTGCCGCCGACGCTTTGTTCTTAAAGGCGTGGCTGAGCATCGGCTGCGACTCGGCAAAAACCTGCGGCAAAATAAAGGTCAACAAGGACACAAGCTCCTGCAGGTTGTTCTGCAGCGGCGTGCCGGTCAGCAGCAGGCGAAAGGGCGTCCTGATCTGCATCAGCCACTTGTACCGCGAGCTCATGCAGTTCTTGACCATATGGCCCTCGTCCAGGATCAGCGAGTCGAACGGCCGGCGCTTCAGAAACATCCGGTCCATCTTGTTGCCTGTCGCCACATTATACGTGGTCACCATGAGGTCGTACGAGGAGTCGTCTGAGTACTGCGCCTGGAGGGACATGCGCTCGGCCTGCGACCGTAGTACGCAACGACGCGCAGGCCGGGGGCAAACCGGCGGCACTCGTTCATCCAGTTTTCCAGCGTCGACGACGGACACACGACGAGGCTGGGCCCGGACACCCGCTGCTGCTCGATGCCGCGGCACACAAAGCAATTACCTGGAAGGTCTTACCCAGCCCCATCTCGTCAGCCAAAATGCCCGATGCCCCGGCATCCCGCAAGCACGTCAGCCACTCGACGCCTTCCAGCTGATAATGCTTGAGCGAAAACGCCCGGTCGATCATCCGCGGCTGCTCCAGCCCGACGGCCTCCGAGAAGCCAATGGCACCGGTCTTCTCGTTGCTCTGGACGCCGGCCGCACGCATCGCGCCTTGAACTGCGCAAAAACACCGGCGCACTGCGCAATGACATCCTCAACCTCCGCGTGGCCCAGCAGTTTGTCGCGGAACTGGTTGAACATGGCCAGCCGCACGCCCTTTGTGCGCCGCAGGCTCTGCTCCACCGCGTCGACATCGCGGAATGGCCGCAAGCCCAGGACGATCTGCGCCTCGGCCACTGACGCGCCTGTCTTCTCCATTAGCTCCGCGGCCGTGCCCGTGTTGAACAGCCGCATGACATGCGGGTCGATTGACGCGTATGCGCGCTCAAAGCCGCCGGCTCCGGCATCGTCGCCCGAGTCCTCGTCGGAATCGCCAATGACCTGTGCAGCAGCAGCGCCGCGCCGCGCCAGTGTCCGCCGCGCCGAGGTGATGGCTGCCGGCGCCGGCGACGGCGAGCGCGAATCGGAAACAATAATGGCAGAAGACGGACGCGCACCACGCTGCAACCTGCCACGGCGTGGGCCACGGCTCACGCTCTCGCCATCACTGCTGCTGCTGTCTGAAAGAACGGCCACAGGCGTGGGTCGCTTTCGGCTGGTCTCCTGGCGCACATCCACCAGCGACCGTTTCCTCGACCGTGGCGTGGCATCATCGCCATCAACAGAGGCGCCGGACCATTTGAATTGGCCCACGATCTGGCTGAAATCCCTCGGCTTATCTTGTTGGACTTCATCTTCCTGGGGCTGCGAAATGGCCATTTTGGTCAGATCGACCTGTGACGCACCCGCTGATCCAACCTGCACTAGCGACGAAGCAGACGATGCCGATGACATCGATTGAGCTGCGGGCGAGCTGAAGACCGTGGAGCTGTCCGCTGGGGTGGCGGTGCCGCGAAAGTAGAAAGAGCTGAGACGCGAAGCGGATGTGGAGGGTTGCTGCTGCTTGGTTGAGCGTGATACCTGGGAGGAACCGGGACGTGTAGGCGATGATTCGAGAACAACAACATCCAAGGAGTCGCCAATGGATGACTGCGAGGCTTGTCTCTCGGGTGTGGTTTGCGTGCGCAGTTTGGCTGTCGAGTCTGGCATTTAGTCCTTTTTTAGTTATTTTTTTTTTTGTGGAGTGAGGAAATGTAATATAAATTTATAAAATATAAAAGTTGATAAAGAAAATAATTAAAAATTTAAATGTAACGCGTTGTTTTCGTCTATTCAGAAATCGATATTCGCGAAATATTTTTTTTTTGCTATTGAGCGTATATCAATTGTGCAAAAAAAAAATAGGTGGTAAATATGCGCGCATGCAAATAAAAAAAGTAAGCCTGTGGTTCGGGTGAGTCGAATCGAGCTGAATCGAACTGAACTGAAATTAAACCCAAAGGTGAAAAGGGGATGATAATCGTCACACTCCATTCGCCAGGCACAGAATCGAGCACACCAGAGAAAGGTTTTTTTTGCTCTTGCTATTTATTATTTTCTCAATTCAAAATCAGCAGCAAAAGTCATGTCAGCCCCAGCCAAACCCATCATCCTCGTCACGCGTAAGCTGCCAGCACAAGCACAAGCGCGGCTATCCGCGCTCACCAGCGTCACCGTGCGCCAGCACCTCAGCACAGCGCCGATCTCGCACAGCGAACTTCTCTCCGACATCCGCGGCAGCTCTGCACTCATCTGCCTTCTCTCGACAAGGTCGACAGCGAGCTGCTCCAGGCAGCCGGGCCCCAGCTGCGTGCAGTGTCCACGGTCAGCGTCGGCTACGACCATGTCGACACACAGGCGCTCAAGCAGCATAATGTGCGGCTCGGCTACACACCCATGTGCTCACAGACGCCACAGCTGACACCACTGTGCTTCTGGCGCTGATGGCGTCGCGGCTGGCCAAGACGGCGCTGGCCAAGGCTGCAAAGGGCGAATCCGCATTCACATTGTCGGAGGGACTCGGCTCGCAGTTCACGGGCAAAACACTGGGTATTGTTGGGCTCGGACGCATCGGCTGCGCAACCGGCCGCCGCCTGCTGCCCTTTGGCTTTACGCGCGTACTGTACACCGGCTCGCGGCCACACAGTGACCGCGCTAGTGCGCTTAATGCCGAGTTTGTTGGGTTCCATGAGCTTCTGCAGCTCGCCGACCTTGTCTGCGTCTGCTGCCCACTGACCGACCGCACGCGTGGCATGTTTGGCCGTGAGGCGTTCCAACACGTGAAGCCAGGCAGCATCCTGGTGAATACCGCGAGGGGCGCGGTGATCGACCAGGAGGCGCTGCTGGAGGCGCTGGATGCGGGCGCATTGGCGCATGCTGCGCTGGACGTCACGGTGCCGGAGCCGCTGCCTGCTGGCCACCCGCTGCTGTGCCACCCAAAGTGCACGGTGCTGCCGCATATTGGCAGCGCCACTGAGGAGACAAGGAATGCCATGGCGAACCTGGCCATTGACAACGCGCTGGCAGCTGTGCTTGGCCAGCCGATGCCCGCCGAGGTCTGCATTGGAATAGAACAGACTTGAGCGCTGCACAACAACCCCCTTATCCTGATCCTGATCGGATTGCGATCAGGCCTTGTCTTTTTCCTTTTCCTGTATTTGTTGGCTGGCTTTTTGCGCAAAGACAAAAAACAAAGTAGAATTATGTTTTTCCTTTTTCAAGCTTTTCTTTTGCTTTTTGTTTTGTTTTGTTTTAGACTGCTCTTTTCTGCAATTCACCCTTTATAAATCCCACACACAAACTCTCTCTCGACACTTTACAGGCTTTCTCTCTCACACAGATGGATCCGCCCGCGTCGCTTTCTTTGGCAGCCAAAGCGCTCAACATAACCGCGCCCAGCGGCAGCTCGCCAGCAGCCACACAAGGCGCCGGCGCCTGCCACTCTCCGCGACCAATTGAAACCATCCCGCACAGCGTCTACGAAAGCGCAGCCAAGCACGTGCAGTCGCACCTGGCGGCCAACACAGCCATCCCGCAGGTGGCCATAATGTGCGGCCGGGGGCTGCAGGGCACGGCGGATAAGCTCGAGGGCCCAATCACAATAATTCCATTCACAAGCATCCCCGGCTTCGCGATCAGCACGGCGATCAGCACAGCGGGTAAGCTGGTGTTTGGCGAGATCCGTGGCACCCCGTAGTGTGTATTGTCGGCCGGTGCCACTACTACGAGGGCTACGCAATGAAGCAGATTACGTTTCCAGTGCGTGTGCTGGCGCTTTTGGGCGTGCGCACGCTGGTGGTGACGGCGGCGCTGAGCGCCATTGCGAAGGGCTGGAGCTGGGCGACCTGGTGGTGGTCAAAGACCACGTGTCGCTGCCGACCCTTGCTGGGCTCAATCCCTTGATCGGCCCTAATTTTGAGAAACTCGGCCCGCGCATGCCCAGCATGCACAACACCTACACTTTTCTCTGCGTAAGCTGGCTTTCTCGGTGTACTTGGAGGACAAGGATATGCTGAAACGCGGCGTGCGGCTGAAGGAGGCTGTGTACTGCTACACTACGGGCCCGTCGAGCGAAACCAGGGCCGAGTGCATGGCGCTCAGGGCGCTTGGCGCTGAGGTCGTTGGGTCGTCGACTGTGCCGGAAGTTATTGTTGCGCACCATGCGGGCTGGATGTCCTGTGCTTGGGCGTTGTCACCAGCGTGGCGGCCCAGGGCGCAGAGCCTAGTGCTGAGGACGCGGTGCGTGCGCAGATGGAGGGGAGGGCGACGCCTGCGCTGGACAGCGACGATGATCTGCGCATGGGTCTGCCACGGAAGGGCGGCCAGAGACCAAATGAGCTGAATCACCTGGTCCAGCGCATTGTTGAGCGGCTGTGAATGTCCACTTTTCCTTGTAGATTTTTTGTTTTTTTTGTTGAGTAAAAAAGGCTTGAACGTTTTTTGTTCTTACTTTTTTTCTGTGCGGCTGGATGAGGGGTGTGAAGCGCACGGATTCTTTTTTTTATCTGCCTGCTTTTGTTATCGCGAGTCGATCGATCGATTAAACAGCTTCTGCTTTTGCCCTAAACCCAAGAAGAGAAGCAAGCGTGGTGGGGAGGAGGAAAGAGGACCACGAGGAAAAGTGGATCCAGGCCTCAACAACGAAGGAAAAAATACAATTCCTTTGCCTTTACTAACCAACAACGTATCTTGTTCTCTTCTTCTCTTTAGTTATTTTCCACTTTCCAACAATCCTCTCGCCAGAACTCTTTTATTCACCAGAACCATGTCCATCTCCAACAAGCTTCGATCAACGACATCGACGTCCAGAACAAGCGTGTTCTCGTCCGTGTCGACTTCAACGTGCCCCAAGACAAGCAGCAGAACATCACCAACAACCAGCGTATCGTTGCCGCACTCCCCACCATCAACCACCTTCTTTCGCAAAACGCCTCTGTGATTCTTATGAGCCACCTGGGCCGCCCCAACGGCCGCCCAGTGGCCAAATACTCCCTGGCACCTGTCGCCAAAGAGCTCGAGTCTCTGCTCTCCCGGCCGGTCACTTTCCTGCAGGACTGTGTCGGCCCTGCTGTCGAGCAAGCCTGCTCCAGCCCGGCGCCCGGCTCCGTCATTCTCCTCGAGAACCTTCGGTTCCATGCCGAGGAGGAGGGCTCGTCCAAGGACGACGCCGGAAACAAGGTCAAGGCCGATGCCCAGAAGGTCGCGGAGTTCCGCCAGTCGCTCACCCGCCTCGGCGACATCTATGTCAACGATGCCTTCGGTACTGCGCATCGCGCGCACTCATCGATGGTCGGCGTTGCCTTGCCCGTGCGTGCCGCTGGGTTCTTGATGCAGCGCGAGCTGGAGTACTTTGGAAAAGTCACAGAGAACCCCCAGCGGCCCTACCTGGCAATCCTTGGCGGCGCCAAGGTGTCAGATAAATCCAGTTGATTGATAGTTTGCTGGATAAGGTCGACATGATGATTGTCACCGGCGGCATGGCGTACACCTTCCATAAGACCCTGAAGGGCATGAGCATTGGTGGGTCCTTGTTCGACGCTAATGGCGCCAAGATCGTCGCTGACCTTGTCGCTAAGCAGAAAAGAACGGCGTGCGGTTCCTTTTGCCCACGGATTTCATTGCCGCTGATGATTTCTCCCCCAACGCCAACACCAAGGTGGCCACCCTGGAGGGTGGCATTGAGGATGGCTGGCAGGGTCTGGATGTTGGACCGAAGTCTATCGAGGAGTTCTCTGAGCTGATCTCCCAGGCTAAGACTATTATGTGGAACGGTCCCTGCGGTGTGTTTGAGTTTGAGAAGTTTGCAAAGGGCACGAATGACACTATGGATGCCATTATTAAGGCACATGAGGCGGTGCCACTACTATTATTGGCGGTGGTGATTCGGCTACGGCGGCGGCGAACCGTGGTGTTGTGGATAAGTTCTCCCATGTGTCGACCGGTGGTGGCGCCTCTCTGGAGCTGCTGGAGGGCAAGGAGCTGCCTGGCGTGTCTGCGCTGTCGAGCAAGTAAAAATAATATTAATGTTTTTTATTCTTAAAATTTAAATTATAATATTAATTTGATTGATATAAATATTTTTTCTAGTTTGTTTTATTTGCCGTGTTTGCCGTGTGATGACGGGCTGCGGCTACGGTGTCTGCTGGATCCACTGCCAGCTCTGCGCTGCTCTCTGGTACCAGTATCAAAGACCATCTCATACTCCTCACCTCTCCGCTCCGCCGCTCCCCCCCTCTGCTGCCGCTTCATCCTCAGCCCTGCTCCCAAACCACCACCTGCACCATTTCTACCCCCCCTTGTTCTCGTCCATTTCCCAGCAACCTTTGCCACACTCTGCGAGAAATCCACATGAATCCTACGATCATCAACTAAAACCCCCTCCATTCTGAAATACGCCTCCTCACAAGCCCTGCGCTCAGAAAACTCCACAAACGCATAACCCAAAGACCTCTTATCAACGGGATCTCTGACAACATCGCAAGAGATTATTTTGCCGAACCTTGAGAATATCGTACGCAGATCTTCGTCATTAGTTAACGGGTTGAGCTTACATACGAAGAGAATGTTTTCTGCCGGTTTGATGTCTGCGAAGGGAAGGTCGCCGATCATCTCCAGGTTAAGGCCTGCGCCTTGGCCTCACGCTTCCTCTCCTCCGATTTATCTGATATTCCCGAATCCAACTGCAATTTATCTCCGGCCTCAATGCGCTCAAGCTGATCCCTATCGGGCAACAGCGGCGAACTAGGTAGCAGGGACAATGATGAGGATATACTAAACGGGTCGTGGAGAACAATAAGATGCCGCAAAAGTATATCCTTCAGTGGCGCGCCTTTGGAATCACACATTGCATGGTTAATCTGATCCAACACATCCAACCCCTCTGTGATTTCGCCAATAATCGCATGTCTTCCGTCCAAATGCTCCAGCGATGCAGCTCCACCGAGTGTGAAAAAAAACTCAGTGCCGACTATTCCATCAATTCCTCGCGTGGTTTGATTAGTGACAGTTAAGGAAACTGTGCCCCTCTTGTGGTGGTGTGTGGATTTGGGTGGGAAATAGGCAGGAATATAGGTTGATGATGAGGGTTGTTTTCCAGTTTGCGCTGTGTAGTTGGATTGGATCTGGTGGATACGTGAGAAGGAATAAGTTTTGAGAAAACAGTGGGTGAGAAAATGACGAGCAAGGATGGGTGAGGATTCGTGGTGAAGATCAATGACTAGGTCGCCGAGAGATGTTTCTATAAGTACGCTCATGTTTGGAAATATTTATATAGTATGAAATTAAAGCTTTAAAAAAGTGGTTTTTTTTATCAATTGTTTTTTCATTTTCCATTTTGTCTGAGTAGGTGTTCGGGCTGGGGCACAGTTAGAGTTTACATCACGTGTATATATATTTTATGATATTAATTTTCTATTCCGCTAAAAGTAGAGAATACCTACTCAAATTTGCATTATAAAAAACATTAATTTTTTATTTTTATTTTTATTGTACGTAAATATAATAATTTATGGCATATATTGTTGAAACCCCTTAGGGGGTCGCGACCCAGGCCAGTGGCCTGGGCTGAGACCCGCATGCGCGCACAGGTGTATCGGACAGACGCAGGGCGTCACTCGACATCCCGATCCAACCACATTGATTGTAAAGGCACATGGTGCTCATGATTGAATCTGTTTTTGCCAGAGAATGATATCAACAGAAATTGATATAATTGCGAGATACATTAAAATAGCATTTGTTTTACCATCAACACCTTTTTAGATGTTTGTATACATGTGTGTGGCATAGTAAATGCCATGTATATTATCATAGTTTAGTTTGATATATACTAGGGTGCTCCCACCATGAGGATGAGAACACCTTAATTTTCTAATAAATATTTAATTCCCCTTTTAGTAGCATTCCTTTAACTGCTTGTTGTATTTATTGGCTTCCCTTTGGCCATACTCACAGCACTATAGATGTTCTGTGAAGTGAAGAGATAAACCTACGTATATATAATTATTTATTGTAAAAGTGCTATACATTGATGAAGTTGAGAGTACAACTATGTGATGTGTCACTGTGTGACTATTAATTGAGTGTTTGTCTGGCTAAACAACCAAGACTGACTACTCAGTTGATCGCAACCAGCTAATAAAACAATTGCAAATTTTCATAACTATTTGGTTTAAAAACATTAGTACAACAATGGTTGCTACAGCGCACATTTAATGGCATTGAAAATAATTCATTTAAAACAGACTTAATATGTGTTCAAAATTTACACGTTAGAAAATTATTTTAATAGATGCATGGTAGTTTTTATTTTTAAAAGACAAATGTCATTTTGGGTTTAGCATTCTTAAATAACTTTCCAGTTTAGTCGCATCTTTTAAATGCTTTGCAATTTTGTTTTTTTCAGTAGGCCTTCAACAAAAAATTTAATGGACAATCCTAGTTCACATTTTGCACATCCCTATTTTCAATATACACAATCTTTAGCAAGCATTTAAACATTTCAAATAGTCTCTAGTAATGGACACAGCATTGCAGCGAGCATGTTAGCTCAATCAATGGACATTTTCCGCTCAGAATGCCAATTGCAAAACTGTGGTTAACAGCAGTATTTTCCCTTTAATACCAGACCCCAAAAACACCAACCCTTGTTCCAATGCGAGCGAGACTGCGGGAAATCACCACCTGCATTTGTCCACAGAATCAAACTCACTCACGCCCCCTTTAAACTTGTTACCCATCAACTGGCTATTACTATAAAACACAACAATGCCACAGCCTAAGTCGATTTCAGTCCAGTAACATCCAAGCCTTCCACTTTTCATTATACTGATTGCTGTACTACCCAAGCCCAGCGATGTTGCAGTCACTGTCGCTGTCCCATTCTATCTGCATATCCGCATGCATCTTAGGAGACACTCTGGAGATCATATCCGACGCCCTCACCACTCTTGGGGGAAAACTCACACTGATCCAGCACTACCCGACCTGCATCGGCTGGCCAGTAAACAGGCGCACATGAAAACTGTGCTTGCCACTAGCATTCTCCTGAATATAAGTCGTGGCCATGATGGACTTGAACTTCCGGCTCGAGCTCTACACTGTTTTGTCGTCGAGAAGTGCACTAAACGATGGGCACTATGGAAAGTACAACAAGGGGGGCTCATCTGCAAGGCAGCATTATTATCAACAATTGCAGCAGCAGCAGAGGATGGCTTGATCCTGAGGTAGGAAAACAAGATATCTGCGGCAGGCATCGGCTTCAGCATCTCTGTGAATTTGCAGTCAATGGCAGTACCGCGCAGCCCTGAGTGGTTCACGGCTAGCTCAAAATTGCCAAAGCTGTCGACGCCCTTATCATTTCTAGCCAAGGCAACATCTCGGTACTGTCTGCATCTGGCCACAAACCGATCTACTGTGAACTGTGCATAAAATTCGCCAGAACCGCGCAACAGCCAGTGGTTCAACCTCGGGAGCTTATCAAAATATTTGGCTCCAGACATTCCCCAGCATCAAAGCGCACACCCAGTCCCTCCAGAACCACTGCTGTCTCACTCCCATCTCATCCACAAGGCACTTCTCGTGCTCTTCCGCTTCACCCGCCAAGTCAGCAGCCACATTGGCTCTCAGCATAGGTACTTTGCGCACATATGCAGCAATCGAACGCGCCACTGCGGCACAGCGTATACACGTTGAGAGCAGCCAAGGTATGCAAAGTCAAGGCATGCAACACGGCGGCAGCTCACGGCCGAGGATGCGCAGTAGATATAGCAGGCGGCGGGTAATCTCTGGCGACTGCATCTCAAGCCCAGCCACCAGCAGTGAGTCTGCCAGCACACCCAGCATCATCTGGACATCGGCAGCAGAATATGCGGCTGAGTGTTGCACAGTTCCAAGGGGAAATCCTCACCGCTCCGGCCCCCTTCGAGTCATCGCCGCACAAAGCACCCAGTCTCGACCTTTCCCCACTGCGCTGAACCACGGGCGCTCACTGCTGGTGTCCTCCATGCGAATTTGTGCTCCCGCAGCAGCTGCACAGGTTTTCTGCACGCGCGGCAGTGCGCGCCCTCCTCCTCACTAACAACCACGTAGTACGACAAACCACAGCTTCAACACCCATATTCACAGTGCTGCTCCAGATGCCCAGGCTCTTCATGAGATCCACGTCCAGCCCACACGAGTACTGAATGTAGGCGGCCATTGGCCAAGCAACCCCATCTGGAGGTACCGAGCGCGTCAAACGCAAGCACACTGGCATCCATCCACATGCCCTGCAGCGCGACCATAACCTGCATGGCAAAGAACAGCACCAAGGCAGCATTCATCCACTGGCCCAACCTGGTGCCATTTGGCGCGATCTCACTCGGCGCTTCGTCGCTGTCGCTGACGGATAGAACGCCAGCTCGGAAGTATTCAAATACATGCACTCAGCTGCCGCAGGAGCAGGGCCAGCACATCGAACACAACATCCTTGGCGCCCACCTGCCCAGCGTACATCAGCGCAACCAAGCTCTTTGCCACGTAACTCTGCGTTAGACCACCGCTGGTACCATTGGCTAAGACTATTTTGGCCAGCCGCGTTTAATTGCGTCGTCAGCCATCAGCAGCTGCAGAAAGCGCGCAAATCACTGTGGCATTAATGATAGCCATGATGGCCGAGAGATGCGCCGGCTCGACGTCAGCCGTAACTACCTGACACACATGGTTGCGATCGTCGGACACTCGACCATCATTGGCGCCACATCGATCGAATGACACAGGCACGAAATGATGCCGGCCATCTCAGGCATCAGCGTCAGGTAGGAGTCTGGAATCAGCATCTCGGCTACGCCAGCCATGGCCTGGGCATGCTGTCAGCTCCATCTTGCCGACACTTCACGACACAAACTCATGCAGATAACCCAACGCCCCATGAGGACATGCCCTGTTCATCCTGGCGGACACATGCGGCGATGACATCAACGACGCCCAGCTCCAGCAGCTGCACCATCTGCGGATTCGCCACCTTTATTACGTTTTCTTCTGCTTCTGGAGGCCGATACGCTGTGAGAAAAGTTCACAGCCGCACAAGGCTCTCCATCAGTGCGTGCAAAGGCTCGAGCTCAGACACTGACTGGCATGCACCACCGAGCAATGCAGGCAGAAATGCCAGGTCGACCATTCACCAATGGTACTCCGTGCGCAGTGCAAACTGCTTTGCCATGGCCACACATACCGACACAAGCATGGCGTCTGACTGCTGGCTCTGCTTGCTGCCACCTCAGGGTGAGCCACTGGCCGACTGCAGAAGTGCCTCGCTGAGCGCCTCAAGAAACCCGCAGCCGGCTGCCTGCCGCATGTGCCGCTTGGACACTGCCGTGTCTGATGTGCCCAACACCTGAGCAGAGTGGCAGCTGCCCACGTCGCTACCTCATTTTCCCTGGGCGTGCGCATAGCGTCCACCAGCGCCTCAATGCCGCTGGCCCAAACCACCCTGCCGACCCGCTGCGGCGTCATCACCAGCACCTGCAGCAACACAACTGCCCGCAACCGGCCCTCCTCTGCTGCTACTGAACTGCCCTGAGCCTGCACGACTATCAGTTGCAGCATCTCTCTCTGCATGGCCATATCGAGCACTAACTCAGACGCAACATCCCACAGCTTAAAGTTGTCTGAATTCAGCGCCAATTGTGCCAAGAAATTATCCATTTAGATAATCTGAATACCCAACACTGCCTCATTGTCCGCACTCCCTTTTGGAAGTATTGGTCCTGCCATATCAGGTGTGTCGCTGTCGCTTCTTTTGGCAGTGTGTGCAGCAGAAATCTAACTCATACTGTGATTAGTCCAGCAGATGCGAAAGTACCTGGTACGTACCGAGCACTGCTCCAACACCAATTGCGAGTTAGTACCAACTATCATCTATGCCAGTGAAAGGTATTATTGAGTGTGTAAAAAAGAAGACTAAAATGTAAAATGCGAATTGTGAAGGAATGGAAAAATGTGAAAGTTAGAGTAATAAGAAAGAAAAACATTAAAATGGAATCATTTGGAAAATAGTAAAAATCGAAAATTATGGATACAATCAACCCTGTTTAAGTAAAATTGGACAATGTGCGAGTCAAAGTATTTGTTGTTTACAGTTAAAGTGATCGGTGGATCGGCGAATTTGTAAATAAAGAAAGAGTTAAAAACTTTATTTAACGTAATCAAGAAAATAGAGCAAATCAAGTGTTGGTTTTTTGCGATCATAAAAAATATTAAAAACATAAAAAACCTAAAGTGTGCATATCTTTTTGAGCAACTCAGCATTGACCTCGTCCTCAGCCGGTCGCTTAAGCTGGCCATTATCCTCTTTGAGCAGCTCAATCGCTTTGGGATGCATAAACTTGGGAGCGGCATCCCAGTTGGCCCGTCGGACAAATTTCTTGTCCCACCAGAGCCGGTGGTTCATAACCTTGTTTTCCGGTTCAAAAAGGAACTGGCGCATCACATGAATGAGCTTTTTGAGCCTATGGCTAATATCGTCAACACTGAACCCCTTCAGCAAGATACCACCACCTTGGATCAAGCCCCACCTTGTGATGGCAAGGGATGGAGAGTCCAGGAACTTGAACCCCTGAACATCATCCCTCTTAGTACCAGCTGGGCGCACTGCATCCATAATGACATAGAAAACACTCTCCAGGTCATCAAGGATTCCCCGGATGGGGCTGCTGCTGAGATGGGAATTCCCATGAAAAGTGGCGTCCCTATAAACGGGTCCTTGGCCACCTCCACCTGTCCCACTGTTATGCATTGAACCCCCACTGCTCAGCAACCTCAATGTGTTTGAGTTGAGTTGGGTCAGTGTCCTCAGCAGCATCCTCAACAGCATCCCCATCAGTGTCCTCATCAGTGTCCTCATCAGTGTCCTCATCAGTGTCCACATCAGTGTCCCAGCAGTGTCCTAGCAGTGTCCCTAGCAGTGTCCTAGCAGCATCCTTAGTAGTGCCCCAGCCAATGACCTTGGCACAGCCCCAGTCAATGACATACACCTTGTCGTTTTTGACGCACACATTCCCTGCCGAGATGTCCCTGTGCAGGACGCCAGTGTCATATGCCTGGGCAAGGCACAGGGTCAGCTGTTGACAAACCTAGGAACTAGCTTGCGTATCTCCTTTTCGGTCTTACCTTTCAGATACTCAGCCATTGGCTGGCCACAGTCCTCCATGAGCACAAACTCCAGCCGGTATCCATTGAGGTGCTGATGAGCAGGCCACTCGAAAAATCTTGGGAATACATCGACTGGTCTCTTGTTGAGGATGGCGTATGCGGCGCCCTCGGCAAACGATTGACTGGGTCCAGGAAAGCTTCAGCACAGCATCATGCGTCCATTGAATTTCCCCCGGAATAAATGGACATGGCGCCCAATCATGTATGAATAACGCGCTATTGTCTCCTGATACAAACAGAGCAGCCCATCCTTGACATCCTTGACACCTTGACATCCTGGGAAACCGAGTATAAGACTTTGATTTTGAATCGCCCTTGCTCTCCACATCAACTTTCTGCGAAAAAATGAAAGAGTTGGATTTCTCAGAGACATTGCAGAAATGCCCGAAAATGTCCGACTCAAGAGTCAGCAGGAACCAGAGCCGCATGAGGCATTTTTGGATATCTTCAGCTCCGTTATACATCCAATAATCAGTATCAAAGCATATATCACCAAACTCAACGACGTACAGTTTGTCACGATAATATGCATGAAGCGTCAGGAGGTGCCCATGGAGGTAGAAGACGGGTGCAAACGTGCGGGTTGCCTGCTTATCATTAAGCACATGGCCGTAATCTGCGAGCTGGCCGCGAGTATCCTCTGGGGGTCCACTGAAAGCTGGATCCACCTTGGCCTCAAGTATAGCATGAACGGAATGAATGTCCCGTGTTGTGTACCTGTGGTAAAACGCGATAGCTGGCTTGTGTGGAGTGCCTTGTATGACATCCCTCTTATGGACCATCGCAATAAGCCCACACTCTGGGATTGGAGTTCCACCTGCCGGAATAACCCTATTTGCGACATCAACCGCATTGACCATCGCGTTGAAGAGGAGGATAAAATACTCGACCAAACGAGCCTCCTTAGTCAACCCCATCAATTTCCCCGAGTACTTTTTGAAAATGTCAGCAATGGGAAAATCGTCAAATTCGTTAATCGCATAACGTGCATTGGCTACAATGCCCTTGCTATCAGCCACTGGCGACCCCCTGGCTATGTGAGGAAGAGATCAGGCCAATCCTTGATGAACTTTTATACCGCTGCTTCACACCCAGCGATTTGACAAAGTCATCGAACAGATAGCTGTCTCCTATGTTATCGCCTAGGCATTTCAGCAGCCACTGACGGCGCTTGTCACGTACGTGGTCGGTCTCCCATTCCTCTGGCGGCAGGTTCGCCTTGGTTTGACTTTCAGTGGAAGTTTGGAAAGTGCCGTCCGTTTTGCTCTTCTAATAAAATAAAATAGCCAATTGGTCATTTGTAAGGTTATAATTTTTCTAAAAAAAAATTTCAAATAAACAACTGCAAAGTAAATAAAGATCAAAATAAAACATTGACTGCTTCTACTTACTTCTGTTTCTGTCGGTGGAGTTAACTCAGACATTGTTGTAGGAGAGAGAGAAAGAGAGATAGAAATTGAAAATAAAAAGTAAATAAAATAAAAGTGAAGAAAGAAAAAGAAAAAGAAAACAAACTGCGCGAAATGAAAAAAGTAAATGTTAAAAGTAAAAGCAAAGATGAAATTTTGGAAATGTGGAAAATGTTTAGCGAGAGATTGTGCCAAAAACAAAAAATAATAAGAAACAAACGAAATCTTAATATAAACAAACAAATTTTGAGTTTGTCGTTGTGCTCGCATTTGGTTGGCTGAAATATGGAAACAAGAAATAATTATATTTATGGATTAATTTCCAACCGGCATTGTTCTTTGTTGCACATTGATTTTTTTTAGCCTTTATTACTTCTTTTGGGGTATAATGGCCCTGCTATTCATTGTTTGTAAAAAAAAATATGGCTCTCCAATGCATACACTGAACCAGAGATGCGTCTATGCTCCGTCACCTGGCTGCCAGGCCAATTGAGACATAGAGCCACATGTTTCATGTGTCCACGACGGAGCATAAAATTATGAATGTGAGAAACTTTCACCGTGATCTATAAGACCCAGTCCAGTTATTGCAACTGAGACAATCAACAGACTCCAGGTTATCCAGGACCAACAGACAACATATCGGAGAAACTCGAGATACGGGTGAACACCTACCAGGATAAAGAAGCGGAACCTGGATATGAGGCATGACTGGCAGGAGCCGACAGAGGACAGTACACAATACTGGTAAAAATATACCAAAGGGAGTGCGCAAAAACAAGCAACAGTGTTTGTAAATGAGATTATAGACAAACAGCACGACTGGTACAAGGGCCAGCACAACCCGCAGATTGAACGGAAATGAGGGATCCTTGACACCTGAGAAAACGCCAATTATTGATAAGGGCTCCAGTCTCAACAAAAATCACGAATACCAAATCCATGACAAGACAAAGATGATGCGGCCTGCCAAAGTGGCCGCAGACAAACAGCAATGAGAATGGCAGATATACTTACATACTATCTATCTGACTACAATTAACGCTCTAGCTGGCAGATCGAGTGCTCGGGTTTAGTTGACTAACACAATGGCGAACAAACTTCCACCGCCAGGCATTTAGACCCAGGTTGGGATAATTCCAACCTCCCTGTCCCCTAGAATAATTTTTATTACAGGGGCATGTAGCCAGATTCTGCAATAGAGCCCATGACGGGCAAGTGGCATAGTAGATATTCAGTCTTAATCATTAACTTTAAGTTTGTATTTTTTATAACTGTTATATATTTTGGAAAATGGATCTAGTTTCTCTCACAGCACATATATATGTTTAAATAACCCCTCTATATTCAAAACAGTTAAAATACACTTTATTTTATTTAATACACAAAATAAAATCCCCGATTGCTCCCACTACCATTACCCATGACCATCTGCCGTTGACATTCAAAATTCCGGTTTCTACGACCCATGCTAATCCTGGTGACAACACAAGCCAAGATTCCGACCAAAAAAAGAACAATATTAACCGAATGTCCAAACACAAACCTCGGGGCATCCCAATTCAAAAACACGTTTGATGTGACAAAACTCGCCGAAGCACCCATGAACACTGTAAGTCCCGATGCCACGGCCGAATTCGCTACTGTCTGAGAATTTGCTGTAATGATCCATCCTGGCAAGATACCCAAGCCAGCAAATGACCCAGTGCCAACAAGACACAATCCAAAGACACGCATGGGCACACTAAGCGTAGCAACCATGATTATGCTGCCACCAGGGCAACGCCTATTGAGAGACTTCCGGCGAGCCAGTGGCTGCGGCATAGCTTGACGATCTGCCCGGCAAGCAGATCGCTATTGCGCCGCAGGCAGACGGCAGGGCGCTCATGGTCTGCGCCTCGGTGGCCGAAAACCCTAGCTCATTGATCACTTCCGGAGCAAAAACCGACACCGTGACACATCCCGCACACACGGCAAAATTCGCCACGGTCATACACCACAGCTGCCAATCGAAAAGCGTCCGCTTCGTATCCCGCATTGACAACTGCTCAGACCCACCCAAGGTACCCTCCCGGCGCTTATACGCCACAATGAATTCCTTCTCGTCGTCTGATAGAAAAGAGCATTTTTCCGGATGGTCTTGGAAAATATAATATCCAAAGAATGCCACAACCACTGTAATGAGTCCTTCGAGGATAAACACCCATTGCCAGTGTTTTATTGTCGGATGGTCAATGTGTGATAGGGCGGAGGCCAATGGGCCGGAGAACACGTTGGAGAGTGGCGAGCTTAGGTAGAAGAATCCGACGCGCGTAGTTAGTTTGCCTTTGGGGTAGAAAAACGACAGAATAAGCAGAATCCCAGCCGTAAATCCACACTCGGCCATACCCAAGAGCAGTCGCATCACATAAAGCTGGGTTTTGGTTTTAATAACGCCCTGTAGCGCACACACTATGCCCCAGAGAATACCCAAGGTGGGCAGCAGCCGTGATGCGCCAATGTGTTTTAGCAAAAAGTTTGAAAACATTTCGAGCGAAAGGTACCCAACTGTAAACAGTGTCGTGGCAATGTTAAAGTCGTTATTGACCATGCCCAAATCCTTTTCCAAGCCGACAACTTTGGCTACACCGATGGAACCGCGGTCACTTTGGTTGAGCACACATAGGACGATGGCGTAGATGAGAATGCGGGTGTCGATTTTGCGGCAGTATTTGTTGAGCTTGCGGGCTATTGCCGGGGTATCTGGGTGGGTTCCGTGGAGGTATTGTCTGCAATAAAGTCTGTGGCGGGTTCTGAGTATCCACCGAGCGTGTCAACTTCGATGTACTCGACTTTTGATGACATTGAGGAGCCTAGGATAATGGGTAGAAAAAAGTGTAACAGAGTGTGTTGTTGTTTTGTTTTGTTGAATTGTGCAAATAATGAGCTTTTTTTGTTTTTGGTGAGGATGAAGGAGTCGAGTTTTTATATGGAGGGGTTATTTTGAGTGGTTTATTTTACTTTTGAGTGGTTTATTTCCACGGTTACTTTGGTTTTTTTACTTTGAGTCGTTTACGTATATGGTTACCTTTTTCATCTTAATAAAGCTAGGATAGTAACAGGTAAACCATTTTACGCCACAAATGCACGTTGCTCAGAACAATTGAATGGAAAAGGGGGAGGGGGACGCCTCGAGACACGCCATAAAAAAAGGACTTTATATTTGACAATTATATTGATTATGATGGTGATTTGTCATGGAAATTAAAAAAGGTATTGTTGTGTGTATATTCATTCTTGTGGGCAGTACAAATAGTAATTGCAAAGGGGGGGAAGCGACTTACCCATGGTTTACAGTATGTATGTGTAATTATTTGAAGTGTGGTTTTGTTGTTGTTGCCGTTGCCGTTGCTGTTGTTGGATGCTTTAAGAAAATAAAGCAAGGGGGGATGATAACTAGAATACAAATAAAAATGCCTTCTATTTTTTTTTTATAATCCAATGTGCGTGTGTAAGAAAAAAAAAAAAGGTTGGCCGAGCAACGATATGTAAGTTTAAAGATAATAAATACAATAAGAAAAAAGGGGGGGAGGGGAGAGTGAAAAAGAAAAGGGTGGATATTTTATGTTCTATTTTATTTAGCGACACATATCAGGTTTTCTTTTTATTTGTTTGGATTTTTTATTTTTACTTTTATCTTTTTGGTTTTTTGTTCTTTGCTCTTTGTGCGTGTGCTCATGTCAGCCTTTTTTGCTGTAAAAAAGATGGGATTGTTCGCTTGATCGATTTGTTGATTCACCTTACCTCGCTCTTTCCCTTTTTTCCCAAGAGAACATACAAGCTGTTTCAGTTGGGAAAAAGAGCCGAGAAAAAAAGCCACCTCAGGGCGCCAGCATGAAAAGAACATTCCAGCATTTATATAGCATTATATAACATATACACACGCTTCATAGAAACAATACAGGGTTGATATGTGGGCTTGTTCTTTTTCTTTTTCTAGGCCAATCCCCCTCGCAGCGACACCATCTCTCCGTCCACCGGAATTCCCCTCGCAGTGGCCATGACCACACGATGGTCCGCCCAGAAGCTCGCCTCCGCGCCCAAGCCCAGCTCCCTGCAAAGCGCAATCAACCAGTCGTAATCCATGTCCAAAAGCGCAATCCCCCTGCGGTCCCAAAACAGCGCAGCCAAGGCCCGCAGCTCCGCAAAATCCGGCTCCTCCGCGACCATGCGCACCACAGCCGACAGCAGCTTGTTGTCCGGACGCACAGTCGACTGGGCGTCTGTGGGGGGCAGGCGAGGCTCCAGCTGCAGCGCGCTCTTGACAAGCGCGCATTTGAGCGCAAACGGGCAGGCGATGCGCAGCACCATGCGCAGCATATCGACGTTGAAGCGCACGGCCGAATGCGCCTGCATGAAGCGCACAATCCGGGAGACCTCTCGCAGAGACCCGAGCTGCGCAGCCACCTGGACGATGCTCCCAAAGGTCACCTGCGTAAACACAACGCCGCGCGGCGCCAGCGCCAGCGCCAGATTCATCAGGAAATCCACCCAGGACGGCGCTGCGCCTGAGGCCTCAAGCGCACTGCACGCCTTGGTGCCTGGCGGGTGCAGCAGGAGCTGGTCCGTGGGGCTGTTGGAGATCTGCATGCAGACGCCGCGCACGAGCTGCGTCCACGCGGCAATGTCGTTGAGGTGCGCGTGGCGCGCCATCAGGTGCAAAAGCGTCGGCACATCGCCCTGCAGCGCGTACGCCTGCAGCGCCTTGACGTACACCGGCCGCTCGACGCGCGAGAACCCATCGCCGCGCGAGCCGTGTGGTGCCGAACCCGGACCCGGACCCGGGCCCGGAGCCTGCGCCAGGGCGAGGATCTCGTGGCCCCGCGTGTGGTAGAAGCCGTGGTCCGCCGTGGGCTGCGCCGAGAGCCCGTAGAGGTCGCGCACGTGCGGGAGCTGCTGCGCCAGGTGGCCATGGACGATGCGCTCGAGGCCGCGCAGCCCGGCTGGATCGCTGGCGCCGCTGGCCCCGTACTGCGGCCACGCCGACTTTAGCAGCGCCAGGTACGCGACGGCCTGCAGCGTGCGGCTGGCGCGGCACAGCGCCTTGAGCATGATGCGGTGCGTGGCCAGCGTCGGCAGCCACGGCACCACCGGCGCGCCAGCTGCGCCTGGGCCGCCCCCGCCCGCCCGCCGGCCTCCGAGGGCCGCCTGGCCCTCGTGGTGCGCGGCGGCCAGCTCGCGCATCCACGTCCAGATAAACGGGTCCAGCACGTGCTGCCTGCCGGACTCGGCATACCACTGCTCCCACAAGTTGGGCTCCGGCGCCAGCACCACGCCCATCTCGGGAGCAAACATCCCGCACCGCTCGGAGCCGCCCCGGCGGGGCAGAAACTCCAGGTGCAGCGCAAACAGCTTCGTTGCGCTCTCCAGCCGCCCGGCCGCGCACATGCCCATAATCACCGCCGTCCACGTTGCCGCGTCCGGCGCCGCGCCCTCCCGCTGCATCGCGCGCAAGGCGGCGCCGACGCCGGCGGCGTTGCACGCCTGCGCGTCGCCGTGCATCATGATGTTGTGCGCGCGCGCCTCCGCGTGCACCCAGCGGCGGCCCAGCGCGTAGACTGCGGCGATCTCGGCCGGCGGCCGCCCGGACTTGCGCGCGCACTGCATCAGCCGCAGGCACAGCGCGCGGATCGCCGCGTCGGCTGCAGCATCGGCGGCGCCGCGCTGCCCGTGGATGATCTGCTCCAGCGCGCGCCGAGCCAGCGCCAGGCTGTCCGGCGCCGCCCACAGCGCGCCCATAAACCCGGCGCCGGGCGCTCCGCCGCCTGAAATGTCGCGGTACGCGTCGCGCGCGGCCTCCAGCGCCTGCTGCAGCTGCTCTGGCTGCAGCAGCTGCGCGCAGACGCGGTCCAGGAAGCCGCCGACACGAGCTGCGCGCCGGTCGGCCAGTCCAGCAGCAGTTCAGCAGCACGCCGGCGCACCGGTCGTTGAGCGCGCGCGCACACAGCGCCACTTGCCGTGCGCGCCGGTCGCCGTCGGCGCGCCGGTCGCCCCGCTGCGCCCCGCCATGCCGCCCGCGCGCAGCCTCGCACCGCACCTGCATGGTCATTGCGTGCGCCAGGACGATCTCCCTGCGCAGTGCGTCCGCCGGCGCCAGGCCTTGGGGTTGGGCCTGGGCCTGGGCCTGGGGCCTGGGCCTGGCCTTGGCCTTGGCCTTGGGCGCACCCGCCCGCCGCTGTGGGTGCTGAGGCAGGCGCCGGCGGCAGTGCGTGCGCCCAGCCGTAAATGCCGCTCCACGCGTCGCGCACCTGCCCGCGCCGGATCTTCTGCAGCCGGTGCAGCAGCCGCAGCAGCTGCGCGCCGCTGTGCGCCAGGCTGTGCTGGACGGACGCACGGCTGTGGATCGCCAGGACGTAGTCCCACGGGTTGTCTGCTGAGATCTGCGCGCTGGCGCGCTTGCCATGCCGTGCTGAGAGCCTGTGCGGGCAAAGAGTGTCTGCGGACCCGGCAGTGGTGCTGACTGTGGTGCTGACTGTGGTGCTGACTGTGGTGCTGATCCGGGCGCTGATCCTGGCGCTGATCCTGGCGCTGATTCCAAAGTTGGTCCGGGCCTGAAACAGCGTGCAGGTGCCGGGTGCTGGCACAATAATACAGCCTGGGCGCCAGTGTAAAAGAAGTGATATGAGTGCTGGTGCCGCCGGTCGCCGCGCCAGCAGCTTGTGTGAATAATGTCGCCCGAATGACATTGCAATGAAAAAATACGATAAATATAAAGTCCAAAGAAAAAATTAATGCCACAGCCAAGAAACAGAAAAAAGATAACCGGCCGCACCCAGCTCGCCCTCGGGAATCAAAACACAAGGTGCGTCTGCGTCAGCGGCAGCTCCGTCGCCGGCTCGCACGTGCACGGCTCACCATCCAGCCGCACCTCGTACGTCTCCGGGTCCACCGTGACGCTGGGCAGCGCGCAGTTCAGCTTCATGTCCAGCTTGCCAATGCCCCTGCAGCGGCTCACGGGCTCGAGCCGCTTCCGCAGCCCGTATGCACGCGCCGGCGCGCCTGCCGCCTCGTCCAGGCTGGCCTTGGACACGAACGCCAGCGCCGTGGCGCCCTGTGCGCCGGCCAGCGCCGCGAACATCGGCCGGCTGATGACCGGCTGCACCGTCGGGATCGACGCGTTGGCATCGCCCATCATCGCGCGCACCGGCACGCCGCCCTTGATGACCACCGATGGCCGCACTCCAAAGTCTGGCGGCGCCCACATAACGAGGTCCGCCAGCCGCCCGACCTCCACCGAGCCGACAATGTGCGCGACGCCGTGCGCGATCGCTGGGTTGACTGTGTACTTGGCAACATAGCGCCGGATGCGGAAGTTGTCGGCGCGGTCGCGGTCGTAGCTTCGGCGCCAAGTGGCTCGGCATTCACGAGGTGCCCGCGCTGCCGCTTCATCTTGTCGGCTGTCCGCCACGTGCGTGCGACGACCTCGCCGATGCGCCCCATCGCCTGCGAGTCCGACGACATCACCGCGATGGCGCCGCAGTCGTGCATGACGTCCTCGGCCGCAATGGTCTCGCCGCGGATGCGACTCTCGGCAAACGCCACGTCCTCGCAATGTGTTTGTCCAGGTGGTGGCACACCATCAGCATGTCCAAGTGCTCGTCGCACGTGTTGCGCGTGTACGGCCGCGTTGGATTGGTCGACGATGGGATGACCGACGCGTGCCCGCACACTGCCAGGATGTCTGGCGCGTGCCCGCCGCCGGCGCCCTCCGTGTGGTACGCGTGGATCGTGCGCCGCCGATTGCCGCCAGCGTGTGCTCGACGAACCCGACTCGTTCAGCGTGTCTGTGTGGATCGTCGCCTGCACGTCCATCGCGTCGCACACCGAGAGGCACGTGTCGATGACTGCTGGCGTCGAGCCCCAGTCCTCGTGGATCTTGAGCCCAATGGCGCCCGCCCGCACCTGCTCGCGCAGCGGCTCCGCCTGTGAGCAGTTGCCCTTGCCCGTCAGCCCAATGTTGACCGGCAGCGTGTCCGTCGCCTGCAGCATCATGCGGATGTGGTGTGCGCCGGGCGTGCACGTCGTGGCGTTGGTGCCCGTGTTGGGCCCGGTGCCGCCGCCGATCAGCGTCGTGATGCCCGACCCCAGCGCCTCATCGGCCAGCTGCGGGCAGATAAAGTGCACGTGTGAGTCCAGCGCGCCGGCCGTGATGATCTTGCCCTCGGCCGCCATGGCCTCGGTCGACGCGCCCACGTACATCCCGGGTGTCACACCCTCCATGACGTCGGGGTTGCCAGCCTTGCCGATGCCGACAATCATGCCGTCGCGCACGCCAATGTCGGCCTTGTAGATGCCTGTGTAGTCGATGATGACAGCGTTGGTAATGACCAGGTCCAGGCACTCCCGCCTCCCGAGCCCTGCCGCCTGCCCCATGCCGTCACGCAGCGTCTTGCCGCCGCCAAACTTGCACTCGTCGCCGTACACTGTTGCATCCCGCTCGATTTCAGCCCACAGGCATGTGTCGCCCAGCCGCACGCGGTCTCCGGTCGTTGGCCCAAACGTCATCGCGTACGTGGCGCGGTCGACCGTGCGGGGCAGCAGCACGCGTTGGCTGATCTCTGCCGCCTGCTCCACATGCAGAGCGCCCTTCTTTTGCATTTCGATGACCTTCTGCCTGACCGCCTCCGCCCCGCTGACCACCTTGCCCGGCGCAAACCCATTGCCGCCGTGCACAATGCGGTTGCCCGCAATGTCCACTAGCGGAACGATGCGCGAGTCTCCAGGCTCGAAGCGCACAGCGGTGCCCGCCGGGATGTCCAGCCGCCGGCCGTACGCCACCTGCCGGTCCATCTCGAGATCTGCGTTGGCCTCGCAAAGTGGTAGTGCGAGCCCACCTGCACTGGCCTGTCGCCATGGTTGGTCACCTTCAGCGCGTACCTCTGCCGGCCCTTGTTGATCTCAATGACCCCGGGTGCCGGCACAACCTGCCCGACCAGCGCCTCATCTGACGCAAACTCCGCGGCGACCTCTTCCGACCACGGAAACAGCTCGTTGTTGATCTCCTTCAATACGAGTTTTCTCTCCTCGCTCAGAATATCGTTTACACGATCCATGCCCTGCCCAACCTGGATTCCAGACCCATACAGCGCCAGGCGCAGGTCGCCGTGCACCGTGCACACTGGATTATGCACCGTCACCAGAAAGGTGCCGTCCCGGAACGTGCCCTCAATCTGAACATCGTGCAGCATATAAGGAACCGAGCTCATTACGTGCCGGAACCCGAGAATTCCCTGCCCCAATGACTGCAAGTCCTGACCGAGTGCGTGCCGTCACGCATCAGCTCCAGAAGCACTGTAGCCAGGAGCGCTGTGCTCTCGGATGCATTGAGTCGAACTCCGCGGGATAGCCGCCTCTGCGCCAGCAATCCTGTTTGTACTAGCGTTAGTTTGTCGAGCTCGCGTGGTAAGAGTTTCATTTGTTTTTGGTAATAGAAAAATAATAAGTCCAAATAAAAAACAAAGTGGACAGAAAGGGGCTAAAGGCCCAGAGCCTTTTCTGTTCTTTTTTCTACTGGAATAGGTAGCATACACCCAGCCAAACTAAACTGCAGTAATTCTAGGAAAGTTCCCACACACACACACAAACTTAGATATGGAAAGAATAATAAACAATGTATGCCAAATGCCAATTAATAAAGCAAATAGTACACCCTGTATAATCACATCGCCCTTTCTTCAAAGGGCGCGATCATAAGTTCTAAACTTGGATTGACAATCTACAACGCAACAGAAAACTAGCAATGATGATCGCGAAATGAAAATGACCTTATCGATTAATTCACTAGCAGGCAATTATCATTACTCGCAGATCAACTAAAATTGAACATATTCTTTTTACACCATTTAAACACTATGTTGGTTATTATTTGCTAAATATTATTTAACTGTTTTAAAGCTTCATCTACCTGAGTTAATAATGTTCAGACAGCAAAACTAAAAATTTGCAATTGCTATAATTCGCACTGCAATAATTTCATATTAATATTTATCTATTAGATTAAAGTTTTTATTCATGTTATTTCAGCCAGATTGCGTAAAGCGCATAAAACCCGTCGATTTTGGGGCTAACAGGGACCCGGTAAACGACAAAATGCTTCAGCAGCTCTGCCAAAAACACCTGGTGCACCAAATCCGATCTCAGCTCCTGTCCAACCATTCCGACGCACTTTTTGCCATCCACCCGACTTTGCAAACATCAACCAGGGTATGCACCAACATTGGCGCGACGCTCTCATGGTAGACACAATCGCTTGCCACCACCATGTCAATCGACTGTCGCACGATTCTCTGGTCCTCGGGCATCTGGCCCCACACGTATTCTGTTGCAAACATTTCTAAAGACGAGCTCTTAAGTCGGTTTGCATCCATATTCTTGGTGAGTAGGCGCATCATTCGCAATTGGTCCGTGAGAATCGTTCGCTGCATGCCGAGTCTGTGGAGAGTCAGCCCAACTAGGCCGCAGCCGGATCCTAGTTCGAGCGCTGTTAGCGCACTGAGGTCCCAGTGGGGCGTGCTTCTTGCGAAGAACTCACCCATCACTATGCTGCTGTTCCAAAGCACTGCGCCTGTTTGCCCAGGCTCGCCATTTATATTGATATTTTGGCTGATTGTGAGCGAGATCGGCCTTTTGCCGCCTAAATGCCGAATGTGTTGAATAATGTCAAATATTTTAAAATATAAATTATGAAGCTGTTAGAGTCTGCGTCAGAGAATGAATTTGCCCAAATATTAATATATATATATATCTCTCTCTCTCAGCGCTCTATGCCTTCCAAGTGCTAGGTGTAGAACTTGATCAGCATTTCTGTGTATTTTAATTTGTACCTTCAATTTCGATATCCACCTCAGGTTTTCTTGGCTCGACAAGATCTAGCCGATCGTTGCTATCTTTGCTGTAGTACACACTGTACAACTCACACAGCTCCTCCTCAGCGTCTTCAACCAGTATGTATCCGTCGATTCCCTCGATCAATTGATCGTAAAACGACACCATCTCTGCAACAACACGATGGCAAATAATGAAAAAGAAATCTAGATCGAATTGTGTAAAAAAAAGTATTTATTTGATACAAAAAATCGCACTTGGCTCCTCGCGCGCAACAACTCATACTTGCGCACCCTCTTTTATGGGTAAAATTTTGCAACTAAATTCACATTAAACTTGATTTTCTTTTTTCAACTAACGAAGTATGTCAATGTATTTTACCCGTCTAAAAAAATTTATAAAACGAGATAAAATAACCAGTCCAGCAGTGCCGAAACAAAAAGTAAACCGCTCGAAAAAAACTACATGTAACAAGCAAAATATCGAAAAATGTAAATTATACAAATGAGATATTTAGTAAACCAAGTAATCCAAAATGTTAACTGTACGCAAAAAAGAATGGCAAATCCATGGGTTACAATATGTGTGTGTCAGGTATTGCAGAAAATCTTCCGCATAACGACCAGTGAAGGAAGTAATCGGACAATGTAAGTAAATAAAGCATCATACACAACAAAAAGTAAGAATAACATATGGATCCAGCAAAAAAAGATAATGAGACTTACATTTACTTCTTCTTGGTGACACCGACGGTGCGTCCGCGACGACCGGTGGTCTTGGTGTGCTGACCACGGACACGCAGACCCCAGTAGTGACGGATACCACGGTGAGCGCGGATCTTCTTCAGGCGCTCGAGATCCTTGCGGAGCTCAATATCAACGTTGTTGGCAACCAGCTGGTTGGTAGTGCCATCGGTGTGATCTCTCTGCTTGTTCAGGAACCACGCGGGGATCTTGTACTGCAGGGGGTTCTGGACGATCTCAATGACGCGCTCGAGCTCATCGGCGGTGACCTCACCAGCACGCTTGGTGATATCAATGTCGCCTTCTTGCAGACAAGGTTGGAGTAACGGCGACCCACACCCTTAATCTTGGTCAGGGCGTACATAATGTTCACGTTACCGTCAACGTTGGTGTTGAGCAGACGGAGCATCGGCTGGAACTGGTCCTTACTGGTAGCAACGAGAGACTACAATACATGTACCGCGGAAGGAATATAGTATGAGTTAGTAATAAATGGTTTGCTGCTGGGATTGGGATTTGAATTAAGCCTCGTTTCGTTCGAGCGAGATTTGTTGTTGTGCCGATTGGACGCGTATTTATGCGAATGGAATGAGGATGTCTACGTGGTGTGTTTTTCTGCTGCAGCAATTCTGAATTAACCGGGCCGTTTGTAAGCTCTGCCTGTTGAGTCGTTTTGTATGTTCAAGTCTGGCTAGCGCGGCTGCCGGCTCTGGCCATGCCCAGTTTCCACTGTCAAAAGTAACTTGCGCGGCTCTCCTGAGACTAGCAACGCAATCTCTCTGCACAGCCTCGTAGTGCCAGCAACTAACCAGTGTCTCTGCCACCACATATACGCCAAAACAAGCCTCGCTTATAGTCCAAATCTCATTCGATCAAGAGATTGTACCAAATTTGAAATTTGAAATTCAAAGGTTCATTCCATTCGAAATTCAAATTTCTCAAGCGGGCATAGTGGGTCCGTCTCTTTTAAAAATTATCTGCAGCATCCATCACGTATCCAACTCGCATCCATCGCGTAAGTACTGTCCGAGTCTCCGCCGACGTCTGTTGACACGCACCATCTTTAGTTCAAAATATATAAATTTCGCAACCAGAACGATTTTTTGAAGAGAGGGAGTCAGGCTGAGTACACCACACGCCAAAATTGCTTTTCTATATGTGTAAATACTTGCTCTGGTTCATTGGATTTTTTTATGCTCTTTAAGCTCGAGGGAGAATCTCTAATTTTGAGGTGCTTTATTAATCACCTGCTTGTTTCGCTGCTTATTTTGCGCGGCCGTTGATGGATGCTAATCAGCAACTGATTTATGATTAGCTCCTGATTAACGCTTGATTGCGGGTTTTCCTTCTATTTTCAATTTTTGCTGTGCACAAGATCAAAGGTGGAGAAAAATGTATGCACGCCTTTATCTGCTATTGTTGAGCCAAAAAATAAAAAGCTGGGCATTTAAAAGCTTGTATGAAATGTCTCGAATCTTGAATTGAAGCGATTGTTCTGCCAATTATCAAGTATATTTTTTACTTTATCACTCTCGGCGTTTTGACTTTTTTCTCCTTGAAGCTGGTCAATTGTAAATTTAGTTTCTCACCGGCATTTTGCAAAATTAAAAACAGACACATTCACATTAACGATGCACACCTCATTGGTCACCTTTGCGCGATCTGTGTGGAAGGGCCCCTTCTACGTTCACTTCCCGAACCTTCAAGAGAGCATTCGCACAGGAACGCCGATTAAAACGATGGCGCGGGCATGCACGATAATGCCCGATATGGTCAACGCAAAATTCCTGGTTCACAACGGCAAGGATTATATTCCCGTGCGCGTCACAGAGGAGATGGTTGGCCGCAAGCTGGGCGAATTCTCGCATACACGGAAGAGCTTCTCATACCGTCTCACCAAGAACAAGTGAGCGAGCGATTTTTGGTTTTCTTCAATGCCGTCCCCCCAGGTCCGACACTATTTCAAATACACATTATTTTCTCTATTTCTGCATTTACCTTGTCTCCCAACTGGCCTGCCTGCCTATCTGCCTGCCTATCAGTTTTGTTCTTGTCACAATGGGAGCTGAATTATACGGTGTGCTGCTGCGTTCCATCCGACATTTTCCGAGTTCTGCGTGATACTATCTGTTTCGGATGGAATCAGCGCTGAAAAAAGATTTCGAGATACTCAAGTATTCAGCAATATATGTGCTGAAGATGAAGAGTGCCTTCTTTAGATATTAAAAACATATTATGCTGATTTATAAATGGGATATTATATAAATCACCAAAAATTGTTGACAAAGCAATATAGGCGTGTGCCATTGACATTGTTCTTAATTCATCTGTACATTGTTCAATCTCGACACTGTATGTCACTTGCTCTGCCGCCGATGCGAGGCGGGAATTGGCTCATACATCTGGCTACAGTGGGAACAATTCGAACTGGGCCACAACAATTTTACATATTCATCAACAAAAAAATGGAGTTTGCCCTTGTCTACTTTATATTAAGTTGCTGGGAAAGCTTTTGTCAAGAATGTTCTTTTCAATTGCAGTGATGCAATCGATTTCTGGGATAGAGCTCATGTTCTAGTGTTGAGCCTTCTTGCTCGTCTGACTGATTCAAACTGATCTGCTGCCGACTTTTTTACCTTGAGTAGTTTTCTCATTTAAAGTGGACTTATTTTGGCAAATAAATTATTTTCCCGCACATCATGAAAACAATACTATATCTGCACATCCCTCAAATGAGTGACAAGCAACAAAAAAAGCAATATATCATTTTTATTTAAACGTGTTCATATTCTAAAAAAAGGAATGTACTGGCTGTTGCCCATGATGTCCATCCCTAAAAAAATACTGCTGGACCCAGCTCTTACTCTTTTGAGTGGTATAAAACAGACTATCCATCCCGTATTGACCTTGGTTTTAGACCATTACCATTCAATTGCCACTGGACTAACACCACTTTATTAAGTTTTACACTTTACACTACAATTTTTTGGATTTTAATTGTCGGTAATCATGAAACCACTCAGCGCAATTGTCATTAGTCTTGGTATTATTTTCATTTCGTCGTGTTCCAGAACAGCTGCAATGTGTGGGCGAGCCCATGATCACCATCAGCTACAAAGCAAGTAATTATCTATTTTTGCAGATCACCTCTCGCGTCCATCATTGGATTACATCAGCGCCTTCTTGTTATATTTTTTTAGTGGTGGCTTTCACGTTTTCGACTTTAGCATCTGGTTTCTTGTATTCTCAGCAAGTTTATTATGTCTCGCAATGTTGATTTTATAAAGTTGTTTTAGATATTTGGTACCAGAAATTCTTGGGAAAAGTCCGCTTTACACGTCCTTGGTCTTGTCCTTTCTATATTGACATGCCGCGTGTCATTTTGGACAAGGTGCCGGTCAAGCGGGGTCTTACTCTTGCCGGATTTTTATTTATATTGCTTATTCGGGATTGCATGCAATACCTAAAACTGCACTTTGTGGATACAATTTCTGCAAATGTGTTATTTTGCACATGGGGTGGCTTTCCATGCAAAACAAATTAGCCTTTATTTATCTCGCTCAATTTGTGCATTTATGCTATTACCATGTATTCCTTTTCTATAAATTTTCTGGGACATTGATTTCGCTTGTATTTGAATGATATCTGTAATAAGTCGGTGCAATATTTATTGTTCATGTATTTTTATTGCCAAAGCTTAGCCACTGTCAGTTGTTCTGTTCCAAACTGAATTTGGCAAGATAAAAAATGAACTGTCCAAGTATGATCTATTTTTTATTTGGTCTTTCTTTTTCCACTCAATTCCGCGTGTGCTGCAGTAATAAATTCCATTCCGTCATTTATTCACCCCTTCTGCTGTCGTGAGCTCGCCGCTAATTACCCAAAAAATTAATTTTTTTTGCTTATTGCACTAGAGCCCCACTTTGTTTATTTTTTTCATTCGCTTGGATCGGCATTATTGAAAATGGCAATAGACTTTGCGAAAAAATAAATTTTTATGTGACTGTGTGCACATGCGGGAAAGACAGTGAATGGAAAAAATAGGGACTGTTTGTATGAAGGCCCTTCCGAGGCCCTCATGCATCCAGTTCGTAATGCCGTGATTCCATTTCCTGTTGCAATTTTCCAAGTCTTGTTATTGCTTTTTGTTTTTCTCTCTACAGAAAATTTTCTTTCTACTTTATTACTTGCGCCTCTTGTTTTTTCTAGCTATCCCGGTATTATTGTTGTTGTCTTTACAATACCTGTTTTTTCATTACGGACTATTTTCATATAAATATCATCCTCACCACCCACCTTTTCCCAACTTTTCAAAAGGCTTCCTTACCATTCATGCTTCGGCCTACCCTCCCACTTTCTAACAAACTTCGCTTCGGCTCAATTCTTTCAAACAACAGGATGATGGCTAATCAGGTTCAAGAGAACAACTCGTCAATCAACGGCGTGATCCAGAACAACAAAGACTGGGCGTTGGAGATGCAAGTCAAGAACCCCGAGTTCTTTGTTGAGCTGGCCAAGGGACAGTCGCCCAAGCTCCTCTGGGTCGGTTGCTCGGACTCCCGCATGGCTGTCGATGTCATGACGCAGACCAACCCCGGCGACATCTTCATTCACCGTAACATTGCCAACCGCGTCCCCAGCGAGGACCTCAACGTCCTCAGTGTTATCGAGTACGCTGTCAAGCACCTCAAGGTTGAGCACGTCATTATTGCCGGCCACACCGGCTGCGGTGGTATCAAGGCCGCTATGTCCAGCGATTCCGTCGGTATTCTGGATCACTGGCTGCGCCCCGTCAAGGACTTGTACCTCGCTAACCAGGAGGAGATCGACCGTTTGCCCAAGGCTGACCGCGTGGACAGACTGGGTGAGCTGAATGTTATCCAGGGTGTCAGCACTATCTCGAAGCTGCCTGTCGTGCATGATGCTTGGAATGAGGGTCGCGAGCTGTACATCCACGGGTGGATGCTGCAGTTGAACACCGGCCTGCTTAAGGATCTCGACATCTCGGTGACTGGCCCCAAGCAGGTCCCCAGCATCTTCAAGCTGAACGCTGCCGAGCACTAAAGCAATAAGGGGGGAATTATTTTTTGTTTATTCCATGTCTATTGGCCTCTTTTTCTCTCCTTAGTTTTTACCTTCTTTCCTCTGCATTGCCTGTCTTTTTCTTGTCCTCTTGTCCGGGTTTAATATAATTTTACGATCTTATCATTATCTCATTCGTTATCTTGGCAAGATAAAGCTGTGTGAGCGTTTCATTTTTTGCGATTCCACACTTTGTCAATATATATATAAAAGCGCGCTCTGGTAATTACGCTCAGTGTGGATCCAAAAGCATAATCTTCAACCGCAAAAAGCGGAAATAATTTTTTTTGGGGATCAGATTGAACAATGAAAATATAGTTTGCTTCGTCACAACCGTATCCGGGAGGGAGGTGGATCGCAAGCCACAAGATCCACCAAAAGCCACCAAGAGTAAAAAAGCTATCTTAAAGATTCCTAATGCAAAACCCCCACCCGCTAATGCATTTTTTAATGCGAATGCATATCGGAAAAGAAAATACAACTTTAAAAACTATGAAAATAAAATTTTAAAGTAATTAAAAAACAACCGCGTGTGTCATGTGTGACCCAAGCAACGTTGGTGGAACACAAAGATGTATTGACAATATAAAATAATGCGTGGAGGATAAGACCTGTAGAAAAAAGTTTAGCCTTGAAACATAAATAAACATGCTTGCTTCGCGTCCCTATTTTCACATATTTTCTGCTTTGAAGCGATCCTCGCGCAGCGCGCTTGCAGCAGCAATTTAGGTCGCGAAACTCGTGATAACAGTAACATTTAGGAACAGCAATTGGAGTTTGATGATGTCTGCGAGCATTAGCAGCAAAAACAACAAAACACCAAATGCAAAACATCCCATACAGAACAGTAGAAACGCAAGAATTTTTTTTTTGTTTTTCACTCTGGCATGGCACGCAACGCTCTCAAGTTGGTTGATCAGTAGTGGCCCTGTCCCTGCCTGTCGCTGACAAAATAAAAATTGCGAGTCGATTCGGCTCACTCAACGCTCTTTTCACAATTTCTCCCCCAGCCAAATCGCACTCGTCCCAACCAAAATACCTGCCAATCATTTCATTGGCCCAATGTTATAAATCAATATGCACGTGATTTGCTGTAGGGCATACCGTTTATTCCTGAGCATGGAAGCACCCACCCCCAGCCAGCCATTCGCGCAATCAATACGAAAGCTTGATCTGCCAGATCACCGGCTGAACGAACAGAAAAATAAAGGCGTGCTCAAAAAAGGCAGCAAAAAATAAATTTTTTTCTGCACTGGGAGGGGTATGTTGCCCGCGAAATATGTTGAATCTCACTTGCTCATTGAGAAAATTTGAGCCAAACACAAGCAAGCAAAAGAAAAAAATCGCATCACATACAGTTCTAAGCCTAAAAGCAAAAAAATTGGCTGACAAAAAAAAGATGAGAGCAAAAGAAAAAGCGCTGAAGAAAACTTGGAAGGGGGAGGGGGTATATGCGTAGAGTAAAGCTTTGCAATTTCAAAGGGTTACTTTCTCTTTCTCCCACTTTAATAAAATAAATACGGGCTCGTAGTTCTTTCTTGTCGGACACGAAGAATAGTTGAAATGTAAGCGCTCAATTGAAATCAGCTTTAGCTTTTTTTATTATGTTCAAATCGCGGAATGGAGAAGGCTTGAAAGAGGAGGAAGAAAAATTTTCTCTGTCGTTTAAATCGAGTGAAATCTCGACACTCGTTTAAAAGTGAAAAAGGCGTTTCTTATCGAGAGGAGGGAGGGCTTGGACGGCAACTTGAGCAGCTTATAACTGGACACCGTTTGTTTTTGCGACCCAGCAGCAGAAGCAGGAAATACACAGGGCGGCAGACGGGAAGGAGTAGCAGCCAGAGTACAGCAGATAGCCGCTCTATACTGTTCCTGGTTTGCTGGCTAGAGCAAACGCGTCTTTTGGGATTCTGTCAACACAGCCACAGGCCCCTTTGTGGATTGTGTTTTTTTTCGAATCTGGAACAGACAAAAAACACTCAATCGGGGCTGAATCTCGCGAGGTGGTCAGTTTGTTTTAGCCAGCCAACTCAGAGTCGGAAACGACGCTGCGCGGGTGTGTTTTAGCGCCCCTTGAGTCTCTTTCCGTTAAAGTAGGCGGAGCAGCGCAGACGGTTGTTTTTGCGCTCGTACTTTTTGATCCTGTTCTTTCTGTGTCTTGCTTTTTCCTCGGCTTTGTTCCCAGTGCTGGCTGCGGCCATTTGGTCAGTCGGGTCACCCCAGTTGCTTCCTCCCCCTTTGCTCCGTTCTTTGCATATTTTTAATTGCCGTTATTATTACCAAAGAGGACTGTAGACTAACAATATCCTTTTGATTTCTGTTCAACGACTATAGGGCTAACCTTAACACTCAGAAGCGTCTCGCTGCCTCCGTCCTCAAGTGCGGTCAGCGCAAGGTCTGGCTCGACCCTAACGAGACCACCGAGATCGCCCAGGCTAACTCTCGTAAGTATTTTTGAAATGCTCTGCAGCGGCTGCCGCCAATTATTATGCTTGATCCTTGCGTTAACACGCACTGGCCCTGTATAGCAAAAATAACAGCAAACTAATAACGCTGTTCTTAATTATAACTTTTCTTTTTAGGCCAGAACATCCGCAAGCTTGTCAAGAGCGGTCTGATTTCAAGAAGCCCCAGGCTGCTGCCTCCCGCTTCCGCGCTCGCGAGCACGCCGCCGCCAAGCGCCTCGGTCGCCACTCCGGCTTTGGTAAGCGCCACGGTACCGCCGAGGCCCGCATGCCGACCTCCGTCCTGTGGATGCGCCGCATGCGCGTCCTGCGTAGCCTCCTGCGCAAGTACCGCGAGCAGGGCAAGATCGACCGCCATATGTACCACACCCTGTACATGAAGTCCAAGGGTAACGGTTTCAAGAACAAGCGTGTGCTCATGGAGTACATCCACAAGGCCAAGGCTGAGAACACCCGTACTCAGATCCTCAAGGACCAGGCTGAGGCCCACCGTCTGCGCAACAAGGCTGCTCGCGAGCGTCGTGCTCAGCGTGTCGCTGCCAAGCGCGATGCTCTTATCTCGGGCGAGTAAATTTTATCATTTTTTGTGGAATATACACGCTAGAGGTGGGGAGACTCTATGGGAAAGCAAGCGGTTAAAAAAAGGACAAGATCTTGTACTTTTTCTTTGGTTGATAGCTTTAAATTTAAATGTAAACGGGTCCTGTTTCTGTTTTATCCGTTTAATGTGGTTAGTGTATCAGGAATGAAGGAAGGTTACTTGTATTTTGTATGTATCTTTTTCTTGCTTTATTTCTTTCGTGTTGCTGTTTTACAACTTTTATTGGAAACATAAACCCCCCCAGCATTGGATTTTATATTTATTAAAACAGCAAGCAAGAAAGGAAATACTTTATATTTCTACATTTGACTATATCGAACAATAAAGTAAACATTATTAACGCAAAGGTAAAAATAAATTGATACAAAGTGCTTTACGCTTGCCATTTTATTTATTATTATTTATTTTGATATTAGTGGTCTTTTGCCCACAAGCTTTCAATAACCAAGTTTTTCAAACTACAAAAAAAAATCCCAAATCCCAAACTCTTTTCCCTCCTTATTCCACCATATTTCCTATTCATTTCGCCTTTCTTATTCCAACAATAATATGTCATTATCAATCACGCTAAAGTTTACAAGTGGCATGGAGCTGCTAGTCAAGGACAAGGCCAAGGAAGTCATGGCCAACTTCCAGCCACAGTCGGCAATGTCGCGGATGGGTCGTCGTATCCGGTCACGATGAAGGAGCTGATCGAGCATGTGCGCGACTCGGTCATTGACGAGAGGTGCAACAAGGATCTGTTCTATAAGGACACTACCGTGCGCCCTGGTATCCTGGTCATTATCAACGAAAGCGACTGGGAGGTTGAGGATGGGCCCGACTACAAGCTGCAGGACGGCGACGTGATCGAGTTCATTTCGACGCTGCATGGCGGCTGAGCTAGATAAATATCGATTTGCCGCGTCAAGCTTAATTTGTTAACTAATTTGATCACGGATCGAAATTAAATCATTTATATTGAAGAAGCAAGTGTGTGAATACAAGATGGGAGATGATGGAATGAAATTTGAATAAAAAAGAAAAACAGCCAAGGCGTGTCTTCTTGGCTTCACTTGAACTGTGTCTCGGTCACGCCAGCGCCCATCGCAGAGGTCGCGGACACGCCACCCGTGGCAATGGCCATCAGGCTGTCGACATACTTTGCGCCGGACCACTTCTGGTGGGCCAGCGTCTCGACGCCATTGGCGCGCTCCTGGCGCTGAATGCCGTTAACGTAGGCGTACATGCCGCGCTCGGCGTAGCTACGCGCAAACAGGTCCGACGACAGGCCCGTGGCGTGGAAGCCAGCGAGCGTAATGAACTGCCACACAAAGCCGAGCTTGCCCAGGCTGGGCACGTAGGCCTCCATGTCGGCGTCGCTGAGCCCGGCCGCGTCCCAGTTGAACGACGGCGACAGGTTGTACGCCAGCCACTGGTCGGGGAAGACGGCACGCACACCGTGCGCAAACTCTTCGGCCTGCCTGAGAATTGGCTTGGCCGTCTCCATCCACAGCAGGTCGCTGTACGGCGCGTAGGCCACGGCGCGCATGATGCATGCCGCCGTGCCGCCGCGGTAGCGGTAGTAGCCCTCGCGCGGACGCGGCGCGTCCCAGTTCCAGTAGATCTCGCCAGCCTTGCCGCCAAAGACTGTGATTGCCAGCGCGCGTGCCTCGATGTTGGACAGCTTGCCGACCTGGTCGCCAAATGTCGCAATCTGCTGCTTGGAGCAGCCGGCCTGCGCTGCCCAGTCGGCCGCAGCCTCAGCAAAGGTCTTGACGCCAGCCTTGTCGTTCCACCCCTTCTCGATGCGCTCGAGCCCGGCGCCAGATACGCCACGGCTCTGCGCATCGGTCATGGCGGTGGCCAGGTGCGGCAGCGCCGGGTTGGTCGAGCCCAGGATGAACGGGTGGTCGCGTGGGTCGATGTTGCTGGTCAGCAGCGTGGCAGCCTCGGCGTCGGTGCGCGAGACCAGCAGCGTCTCGGTGCCCATGATGTCGAACTGCGCGCGCATGGCAACCAGCCGGTTGATATGCTCGGACACAGGTACAAGCACCTTGCCGGCCATGTGCCCGCACTTCTTAGTGCCTGCCGCCTGGTCCTCAATGTGGATGCCGGCCGCGCCAGCCTCGACGAACATCTTGGCCAGCTTCATGTTGGCCGTGATGCCGCCATGCCCAGTGTCGGCGTCGGCAATGATGGGCCGCAGGAAATCAATGAACGGCAGGTCGGCGCGCTCGCTGGCCGGCACGCTGAGGCGCTCCTCATTCTGCCGCCGGTCGTGGAACAGCTGCGCCTTGAACAGCTGGTCGACCTTCTTGGGCAGCGTGTCCATCGGGTAGTCGGCGAGATCCGGCCCGGGCTCGTTGCTCGAGCTGGCCGTCGACGAGGACTGCCAGCCGGACACGTACACGGTCTCGAGGTACTTTGCCATCTGCGCCACCTGGATGGGGTCGAGGCACCCGAAAGTGTGCGACGCCGTGCGCGAGGCAAACCGCTCCTCGAACAGCGCAAACACCTTTTTGGCCTGAATGTCTGACGGGTACGTCGGCTGGATCGAGCCGCGCTTGGATACAATGCTCTCGGCCGTGTAGGGCCGAGTGATGCCGCGGAAACGCGGGCTGTTCCACCACTGCTCCACCTGCTCGACTTGCTCGCGGAACCGCTTCTCTTCAGCTTCGATAAGCTGCGCAGAAGTAGTGTTGACCATTGTCAATGTAGAATGTAAAATTGAAAGTGTAACTTGATGATATTAATGTGTGGGCGCGGGCGTCAATAGGAAAAGATCGAGATTGATGGTTTAATTTCGCGTTGTATTGGATAAGCGGATAATATTGAATATTAATTCTAAACTCGAGCAAAAAAAGGCATTTGGCGTTCGCCGGCCCTCATTTATATACATTTTGCTTTCATGCGAAAATAACAACATCCAGGGCAAACATAAACACAGACACAGACACAGACACAGACAGACACACAAGCCAAAGATAATGATAATGATACAATTCATGTGTGACCTTGGCCAAAGTCACAAGCTAGAGCATCATAGAGCCACTTTATCGGCGCGGCATAGACAAATATTTGCCGTATTGGTTTTTTTATTTGGACTACATTATGCTCCCGAGCCAAAAATAAGACAAGATAAAATGAGTAATTACTCATACCATTCGTCTTTATCTCTTATTCTTGTAAGGGATTAAACTGCCATTTGCTTATATTGCGGTCTATGCGCCTATCGCTTCTTTTTTTCCCGCGCGTACGCATACCATTATTAACCGAATATATATTTTGTTTCTTTTAAGAAAAATCAAGAAAACATCATTGCCGCAGATAAAGAGCATGAGTATTTCTTAAAAGCAGTCACTAAAAAAGTGCAATAAAAATATTTTCCGCCAAGGCCTATCAATTAAACTAGGATTGTTTTTCCATGTCCAGAGAGGGTTTTCGTTAACGCTTGCAATCCATCATCTGCGAATAAATTGTCCGCCTGCTGTCGGAATTTAATTGTTCACATGACAGTTCTCATCAGAAATTAGCACATGAAACCGTAAAAAAAAGAAGGCTGAGAACAGACACTTGGGCTTTGTCTTTCAGTTAAAATAAATAGGGACATTGGCCCGTGCTCAAACACTTAATTTACATTTTTTCACATGCGATAAGCGAGAAGAATGTGACAACCAAACCAAGCCAGAACACAGCAAGAAAAGGCATAAAGATATTTGATTCTCCTTTCGTATTGCGGTTGTCCACAGCCAATGGCCAAGAATCCACTAATCAAACATAAACTTTAACCTTTTTGTCACGAGGACAGCTAAATTGAAACACTTACCAAAAGAAATTGCCTGGGTAAAACACAATTCTGGCGGGCTTGCGCAGCGGCTTGCGACTCAGTTGGCGCGAGCAAGGCTGCTCAGACAAAGCAACCGAATCGAAAAGGGGGTTTTCTTGTCGCTCAAACAATTAGATCTAGCCCGATTAGATCAACTCTCCACCAACTGGATCCGTTGTTTTGATTTTCTGTTGAAAGGAAAAGCAAATTAATTGGGAGTGGCAATTAGAAATCCTCACTCGTCCTAACCCTTACCCTGTACATAATGGCACTGTTTTTCATTGGTAATTTTAATACAGAAAACATAGCAATTATGCTTGCAGACGGATAAAATGATGCGCACCCACAACCTCTTGCAGGGGCTGTCAGGGATCTTGTTCTGTATCGGTGTGCACGCGTGCGGTTGCTTTAAATTACCCAACTTCTCGCAGACATATTCTGATACATCTTATCTCTTTCCTCTTTTTTAGCCCAACTTTTATATTTATCAATTACTCAAAATGGCAAAAAAATTTGATGTTACTTTAATTCCAAATGGACAGGAAAATAGCAAAAGTTCTCACACAAAGGTCTCTGGATGCACGTAAGTACAGTCGATTCTCTGCTGATCAAGGTTCTCAAAACCAACACGAATTTGGGTGTACTAATTTTGTTGACTTTTGCTAATATACAATATATCATTCAACATATGTAGTAGTGATATGAAAGTCAAAGAATTTGTGGAAAAATTTAAAAAAGCATGTACTTTGACACAGGTTCGAAACGCAAAGAATTTTACTTTCAATAATAAAATTGCCCATAAAACCGCATTATCCCCAGCCAATAATGACGATAAACTTGACGTAGCTTTAGAAATTACAGATAAGTGCTCTATTATATACACCTCAAATTAAAAATAAAAATTTGTTGGCAGGCTTCAGTACATTCGCAAGCAACAGCGTCTCCCATCCATCCATTTCTTCACTTCTTTTTGTTCTTTTTTCTGCCAGGGGGTTTTTTGTATTTGGAATCCGCGCGTCCAGGCAGCAGCAATCCAGTCAGGGCCAAACTTTCGTGGGCATCTAGCGCAGGGGCGTACTTTGTGGCGCGCATTCAAGGTTACTTTTACCCTATATCAGTTCAGCATTTTTCTTCCTTTTCCAACTCAGATCTCAATATACCCTTTTATTGCTTTTTGATTGTGAAGGTGCAGCGCAGGTGCAATTTGGATCCAGATTATGGTTACGCACGCTCAGATCTCGTGCGCATACAGTGTGAACCAAATCAAAATCGACAGCCATTCGTCTTCTCCCTCTTTTTTTTTTTTTGGGGGGGGGGGGGTGCTTGTACTCGCATTTGCATTTGCATTTGCATTTTTATTTGCTTGTCGCATCTTCCCCAAACGACCCGCCAATAACATCCAATTTTTCTTCCCTTTCATTTGGTTATTTTTCGTTTCTTTGCGTTCCGTTTTGAATCGGATTGCATCGAGAAAATCCACTTTTCTCTCGTTCTCAGTGTCCATTAAGCTGGGATTGGGTAAAAGTGAGCATCGAAAAGGAGCAGATCGACAAGGCTGCATTGCCCGCACGCCCACCCTCAAAGAAACAGTCAGAGAGAAATAACAAAAAAAACATGGGCTTATGCGGGCTCGGGGGTGGTTGGGTCTTTCAGAAGTGTGAATTCCATTTTTTTGTTTATTTTTCAGCGTCACAATCGCCAGAATGCGCGGCGCTCTGCAGATTAAGCTGCATCGATTATATTTTTTTGCGATTGCAGGTAGCGAAAGAAACCAAGCTAGGCAGAATCGGGCTTGAAACACCAAACAGCAAACAAACAATACAAAAAACAGTCCACACAAACGTTATTATTGCTGCTGCTGGCCTCAATGTTGATTGCGCGTGGGTGGTGTGTCCTTTCTGTCTTTTTTATTCAAGTATCTTTTCGTTCGTTCCTGTACGGCTCTTCTTATACTTCTTTTTCCAGTGGCTACCAAACATAAGAGAAAAAAGGCTTGGCTTTGTCTATCGGCGCCTCTATACCATATACACACCCAATTTTGGTCTCTTTATTTATCGCTCGTTCACTTTTATTTTCGCTTTCACTTTTATTTTCACTTTTTCGTACTATTATATTATTTTTATTCACCGTCTTTCCCATCCCCCTTGTTATCCTATCCTTGTGGTCACAACGAAGACGGTACTTTATTTTTTCATACTTTATATATATATATTTTGTAATTTCAAATGGTAGGCGTAATCTCGCGTGCCACTCGCAGCGTGGCGCGCAATCCCATCGAGACAATTGCCTTCTGCACCATTCTTGTGCTGTGCGGGTGCTATTTCCTTTGGCAGACAATAAAGCACGACGAGTTATTCAGCGGCAAGCAAGACCTGTTCCCCAGCCACACAATGAGCTATACGCGCCACGACAGCGCAAAGTTCAACGTGGCCATGGCCAGGCGTCCTCGGCAGCGTCCAGCCTGGCATACGATCCAGAGGTCAAGAGCATCGACGTCTTTGCAGTGGCCATCCACAGCTCGACCGGCGCCACGCGGAAGCACAAGGCGACGTTCCGCAAGAACATTGGCGAAATTGACGCCCTGTTTGTGCAGATCCAGGGACACAGTGCCGGCGCAGTGGCCTTCGACCAGGTGTGCGCCAGGGACCCGGCCACCGACGAGTGCCTTGCACTGAGCCCCATCCGCCAGGACGCAGGCAAGATGATGCAGATGGAGGGCAAGGGCAGCGTGGAGCTGTTCAACGCCAAGTACGAGTTCCTGCGCGGCACGCCCGAGTCGCCGGCGACAGTGCTGGTGTTTGCGCTGGACACGACCGGCAGCGAGCGCGCCGCCATGGCCGACCAGTGGGTGCGCAGCGCACGGCGGGAGCTGGAGGCGCAGATGGCCCAGGGCCCAGTAGAGTCCACCAGAAACGCCGGGCGGAAGAGCGCTGTGGCCGTGCGCATCGTTGAGCGCGTCTACCGGCTGCTGCGCGAAGCCACGGTGGGCGAGGTTCTCCTGGTGTTCATGAGCTACGCCATCACCATTGGAACATTCATCAACACATTCATCACTATGCGGCGGTACGGCTCGCAGATCACGCTGGCGGTGTCCGTCATCTTCTCGGGCTTCTGCGCCTTTGTCTTTGCCCTCATGACCACGCACCTCCTGGGCTACTCGATCGACGCTGTGCTGCTTACCGAGGCGCTGCCCTTCCTGATCATCTGCGTGGGCTTCGACAAGTCCTTGACGCTGACGCGCTCGGTGCTGCTCGCGGCGTACAGCGACCGCCAGCGCAGCGACTCGGGCACTGAGCGCACCGGGTCGGCGACACCGTCGCAGATCCAGGCGCAGATTGCGCGCGGCATCGACCGCTGCGCTGGACAGCTGGCCAAGGACTATCTGTTTGAGATTGGCATCTTGGCCGTCGGCGTATGCTCGGGCGTTGGCCCGCTGCACGAGGTCTGCCTGGTATCCTCGCTGATTCTTCTGTTCGACGGCGCCTTCATGTTCACTTTGTATGCGGCCATCCTTACGCTCAAGCTGGATCTGATCCGCGTGCGGTCGCAAGTCAAGCTCGTGGCCAACGACGACGACGAGGGCACGAAGGACGCCACGCCGGCGCTGTACAAGAAGATTGCACTCAAGGCGCTGGCCGACGATGAGATGCGCGATGAGAGCAAGACCATCAGGCAGCTCAAGTCCCTGGTCCTGGGCGGTTTTATCCTAGCGTCGTTCATTGAGTCCAGCGGGTACATGGCCGGCACCTTCTCTCTCAAGACCATCTTCCGCCACGCCACGCGCGGTAGCAGCGCAGATCAACTGGTCGAGGCCACGCGCTTCCCGATGCTCGACCGCATTGCCGCGCCCCTCGTCGAGATGATCGCCAACATGGTACCAGCGCAGCCGCTGCTTGTGCGCCTTCTGCCCGTGACCAGCCGCTTCGCCGAGGGCGCGCACGCGCAGCCCATTGTGCAGCCCACTGTACTCGACGTTCTGGACAGCAGCGGCATTGTCGTGGCGCTGCTGGCCGTTGCCGTGGCTGTGTCGCTCGGTGCCAATGTTTACCTGGCCTTCTTCCGCACCGCGCCCCTGTCTGGTGCCGTGCCCTCGGCCTTTGACAGCATTGTGCGCCATGGCGAGCTCACCCGCACGCAGACGCCCTCGGTGGCCAACAGCGAGGACAGCTTCGTCGACGACACTGTTTCTGAGCAGTCGGCTGCCAGTGCGTCGCTCGAGGCCGCGCGCGCCAAGCTCGTTCAGCAGCAACGGTCGCACGGCATTGCGCTCAACTCAACTTCGGCCTTGTCGTCCTTTGTGCCGCGCATCGACTCGACCACTGACATGGTGCTGAAAAAGTCGCCGTCAATGCTGTCCAACGTCGTTGCCGCCCAGGCGCTGGCCGAGGCCTCGTTTGGCGTATCGGAGGAGAACGGCGAGGTGCGGTCACTTGAGATCTGCCGGGTGATTCTATCAACACAGGGTCCCGAGTTCCTCGGCGACGAGGAGGTCGTGCAGCTGGTGGGCGCCAGTGTCATCCCAGCGTACGCCCTCGAGAAGCACCTCAAGGACAACACGCGGGCGATCAAGATCCGGCGCGCCATTATCTCGCGCGCTTCAGGCACAAAGTCACTCGAGACATCGCTTCTGCCCTACCACCACTATGACTACAGCAAGGTGCACGGCCAGTGCTGCGAGAACGTCATCGGAATTATGCCCATTCCTGTGGGCGTTGCCGGCCCCATGCGTATTGACGGAGAGCTTCTGCATATTCCAATGGCCACCACCGAGGGAGCCCTGGTGGCTAGCACATCGCGCGGCTGCAAGGCCATTACGCTCGGTGGAGGCGCCGATACCATTCTGACAAAGGATGGGATGACGCGCGGCCCTTGCCTGCAGATGCCCAATGTTCTGCGCGCTGGTGCGCTGAAGATCTGGCTGGAGAGCGATGTGGGTTTGGAGGAGGTGCGAGCGGCATTCCAGTCGACCAGTCGATATGCCAAGCTGCGCACTCTCAAGGTGGCTATTGCCGGGCGCCTAGTCTACGTGCGCTTCACGACCTTTACGGGAGACGCCATGGGAATGAACATGATCTCCAAGGGCTGCGAAGCGGCATTGCGGTTTATTCAAGAAAACTACCCCGACTGTGAGGTCATTTCGGTGTCAGGCAACTATTGCACGGATAAGAAGCCCGCGGCCATTAACTGGATTGACGGTCGTGGCAAGTCGGTTGCCGCCGAGGCTGTTATTCCCGGAGACGTCGTGCGCAAGGTACTCAAGACCACAGTTGAGTCCCTGTGCCGGCTCAATATCAGCAAGAACCTTATTGGTTCCGCGATGGCCGGAGCCATCGGAGGTTTCAACGCGCACGCGGCTAATACCCTGACGGCCATCTACCTGGCAACAGGTCAGGATCCGGCGCAGAACGTCGAGTCCTCTAACTGTATCACCCTGATGGAGCCAGCTAACGATGGTCGCGATCTGCGGATCTCCTGCACTATGCCCAGTATTGAAGTCGGCACCATTGGTGGCGGCACAACGCTGCCTCCACAGGCGGCTTGCTTGGAGATGCTTGGCTGCCGGGGTCCTCATCCTGATACCCCCGGTGCTAATGCCCAGAGGTTGGCGAGGATTATTTGTGCTTCGGTTATGGCTGGTGAACTATCATTGTGTGCGGCTTTAGCGTCTGGTGATTTGGTCAAGTCGCATATTGCTTTAAATCGCGCTGTGCCCAGTACACCGGCAAATACTCCTCAGCCATCGTCGGTGGATATTCAGGGATTGAATAAGATGCGGAATGAGGCGGCGGCGAATGGAAGATGAATGGGTTTTTTTTAAAAAAAAATATACCTACTCACTCATCCACTGTTCATATTTTTTTAAATTATATTCAGGCTTGATACATATTTTTTTATTATCATTTATATATCTCAAATGTGCTTTGCTTATATGTGGCCAAGAGAGGGAGGATATGTTGGAAATTAAACTAGACGTTTTTTTAAATTTATAAAAGTTGAAAGTACATTGCATATTATTGAGCAGTCCAATTCTATGGAAGTGGATGTCGAGGTTGAGAATCGTGAAGCGAGTTTCTATCAACATGCCAATTGACAGGGCATAGTGGTACCATGCAGGATCAAATCAGGGGACACAATAATGACACCCTGATATGCTCCTCATTTTAAAATGTACATGCGTTAACGCGCTTACGTGAAGACCACGACATTGACATGGCAAGTACCAGTCTGCTCGCAGAAGAACCAGCTCTCGCCAACGGAGTGCACAACTGGCAAAGTGCACAACAAAGGCAACTAGACATATATATATAAGACGAGGTTGGCCTCATGCTTTTGATTCCATTGATAATAAAAACCTCTATAAACTGACACCCCCACCCTTTAAAACTACATTGTAGTGCTCTCTCTACCCACACACACATCTTATTATAACAATATATTGATAACCGTGGTTATTGTATGTCAAGCAGAAAGCTTGGTGCAATTTTGTTTGAATTAGGGCTTATAAAATGCACCAAATAAAAAACAATAATGACAACAATGAAAGCAAGCTGGAAAGCAAGCAAATGAGCTTTCATTAATAATACTCAGGTAATGAAGAAATTGTGCCAGTGAGGTCGCACACATATCATCATTTAAAAAAGAAAAGGTAGCGAGTGGAATTCCATACATGAGCACCAAGACAAAACTTAAGGGCATGCGCAAAAAAAAACAGCTGTTACTTTTATAAAGCTGATGCGTGATACTCTTTGTCCACGGGTTCTGCGGTTTATTAATGCAAATAAATAAGCAGTATGTAGCAACGCAACGAAAACTAGTAAAAGGGCACAGAGCAAATTCTTTAGAATACTTCATTATTCCCACAATGCTGTTCTCTTTATTACAAAGGTAGACATTTCCACATAATTATTTTTTCTATGCAAAGTGCGCATTGCCTTATTTATTAAGCATTGGCGGTATTGTTTAATAAAAAGTGCAAGCAATTAAAAAAACCAGAAAGTATTGGCCTTGAAAAAGTATATAATATTCCTCTCATTCCTTCCATTCCTTTCATGCCTCTCTCCAATTCATTTATTTTACATCGTAATATTTACCTACATTTTTCATTAATTTTTTTTTATATTTAATTTTTATAGACACATTTATCTTTCATTATTTTTTACATCGTTAAATTATACATTTTCATTCTACACTTTTATTTAACTTAACTACGGTATTCGTTTTATCATGAATAATTTAGTTTTCATCCTCATGACATATTAAACCTAAGTGGTAAGCCCAGCAATTTCAAATCATTCGGGCCAAGCATGAAAAACATGTCTAAAGCGGCTGGCAATCTCAAGAAATCTGCGGTGGACATGGCAAAAACAGCAAATGATAAAATGACTAAGGAAAATATGAGTAAAGCAGCTGGCAATCTCAAAACATCTGCAGTGGACCTGGCAAAGGAGGCAATGGACAAAATACCGA